CTTTCAAACTTCGTAGGCATAGTACCATCCCATCAAGGTCACTGTTGATGCCTTTCTTTCGCCCTACCTATCTCCAATATCACAGAAGCTACAGACTTCGTACAAATCGCTCTGGATAGGGCGAGAGAAGCTCTTTCGTTTGACACGTAGAAACATGGCGTCATTGCACGCACATCGTTGTGACACGATTGCATTTCTAGTATTCTCCTTATATTCCTCGTCAGAAAATCGCATTCGTTTTACACATGGTGCTTGTGATTCCTAGTTAGGTGCTTTCCTCATGTCCTTTTCATTTCAAATTTCATAGGCATAGTCTCTAGCATCTCATCAAGGTCACCTACTTTTTCGATTTTCGAAATCACTCATGCATAACCGTCCAGGCGCCATTTTGTCCGTTTCTGGTCCATTTTAAGGCCTTTCTTTCTTCCTTCCTATCTCCACTATCCTAGATCCTACAAACTTCTAACAAATTCCTCTAGATAGTCTGAGAGATGTTCTTTCATCTGCGACATATGACTTGACCTTCAAAATGCCATCTTCATACTCGAAATTCAAATCTAAAACCGACTCCGTCAAAAATCTCTCAAGTTCTTGAAAAATGGACCCCTAAATAATCTAAAACTGCCATAACTTTCTCATATAAATTCCGTTTTGTATTTAAATCTCACAGTATCTTTATCTCATAATTGCACATAGCCATGCCAAATTTCACGGTCCAATGGCTTTGCACAACATAAATAGCGCCCTCTAAAGTTCTGGGAATTGGCTTTCTGTCTGTGGCCGTATCTCCAAAATGGCTTGGCAAACCCGTACCCTTTTTTGGATTTAGATACTTGAAGATATGCCCTTTCCAGCCATATACAAAATTATATACCCTATCACTGACCAAATTTGAGAAAATTGCCCTCCAAATTCGCCATTTTCAAGAAAATTGAGAAATAACTTCAACTTGCTCTAAAATGGCGATCGTTATACCTACATTAATGAAACTTTGCAGACATATGTATCCATATACGTGACAACTGTTTACCAAGTTTGGTAAAATTCGAATATGTCAGCGCAAAGTTATCGCCAAAAATGATGAATTTACTATGGATTACGTAATAGCGCGTTCAATGCGCGCAATACATTGCGCGCAGTTAACAATGGTGTCAAACTGACCGCAATGAAGAGCCCTTTCGGATGATACCAAGTATTATATATGTTCACACAGAAAATTGTGAGTAAATCGCATTTGAACAAAGATCACTACACGAATTCCGCCGAGTTTCCGCCCGAACCTAACACGTTTCGGCTATGACGTCATTTTTTCAGACTGCTTTTCGCCCCTTAAACGTCCTTTTTTTTCCTTGAAAATTTGCAGTGACATGCCGAGTTCCAATACGCAGGGCACCTCTTGGCCGGATTTTTGAAATTGGTCAAGGGGGCCATTTAAGACGCCATTTTGTCCTATACATCTATTTTACATCACGTGTTTCGATAGGATTATCATAGAAAAAAAGAGAGTGGTTTACAATAACAACCATGAAATTCTCTTTCTAATGATACCAAATATGGCCCATAAAGAGACGTAAAGAGAGAGAGAAATTTTTTTTTAACTCCGGCCATAATACAGATCCTGCACGTTTTCCGCCCATTCATTACACGCATTGTCTATGGGGCATATCGGGTTCACGCTTTTGGCCCCCACAACGAACTTGATTGCAATGTCAAACATGCACCAAATCCCATTGGTTTGTGCACGCAGTGCTTGCGAGCCCTTTCTAGGTTCTTTCCCCTATCCCAATTTCTTTCAAACTTCGTAGGCATAGATAGTACCATCCCATCAAGGTCACTGTTGATGCCTTTCTTTCGCCCTACCTATTTCCAATATCACAGAAGCTACAGACTTCGTGCAAATTGCTCTGGATAGTCCGAGAGAAGCTCTTTCGTTTGACACGTAGAAACACGGCGTCATTGCACGCACATCGTTCTGACACGATTGCATTTCTAGTTTTGTTGTTGTTGTTGTTGCCATTGCTGTTGTTGTTGTTATCATTATTATTGAGCAGTAGTAGTTGTAGTAGTAGTTGTAGAAGTATGCTCCCCCAAAGTGAATGGACATGCGCAATAAATTTATGAAAGGAAAAGAAAAAGAGAATTAGGGATAGAAAGTACTGGAGAGGGGCTGGCAAGCAGCAACATGAAAAGATGATATGACCCTTTACCCCCCCCCCCCCCCCCTCCCCCCTCAAGTATTAAGGATGAGTTCCCCCTTATTATGGCTGGATCCACACTACACCTAAGACTAGCTGCTATGACTGGAAATGATAGATAAGTTTTCAGAGAATGATTCCAATATCAGATAGTGATTAGCTTCTAGACATAATATTCGTTATGTAAGACAAAACACAACTGCTATCATTGTTTACATACAGTACATGTAGATGTTTAATTTGCCTTCCAAGATAGGGCTGCTGCCCCTACATTCCAGCAGTCAAAACCTCATATAAGCCCTACACAATAAAATATCCTTTTCTCCTAAAACTCTGCAATTATTGGATTAGAAAGCTGTTAGCAATTTATTTTATTTTACTTTCTCCCTTCTTTTCATTCCATTACTATTGACATGTAAGTTGTGTATGTACTTCTTTTCCAGTTTCCAGTTTCCCTTTTCCTTTTTTTCCCATAAGTGAAATCTTGTGAGTTCTTCTGATGAAAATATGTGACCACATGGTGTTAGCAAATACTTCCAATTTCACTCACCATGGGAACCTGCAGAGAACTCTTTAAAAAAAACGTTTTGAATACCTGTGACCCAAAGCAAAGTTTCACAAACGAAGAATATTGGTTTCAAATAACAATTTTTAAAGTTTACTTGAAACATACACTTTGCCGTACCGTATCTGTGGTAATGGTTTATAAAAGTCATCAAACATGAAAGTGGAAATTGTTCAATTTACACAGTAAAGAATATACAAGGCATACCATTGGTGAAATGAAAATATCATTAATCTGAATAACTATTGTGTATATCTACATGTACATGCGAATTACAGATACATCCTTTTCTGTTTTCCTATTTGAAGTGGAGATATATTAATGATTGTATATGATGATATCTTGGGTAGAGTAATTAATTAACCTACCCTGGACAATGGACATACATTATGTATAGAGCCCAATTAATGGCTTCTCATTTCCTTGTTTTCATTTTCGTAACAAGAGGATACTCTCTCTTGTATCTACATGTACTTGAGCAACAGTATGTAGATAATGATTCAAGTACGCAATGGATAAGAGGACCATAAATCATGTTTACATCCTACATTGTGCAAATATTTGATTGTCAATACATTTACATGTGCATGTTTGTTTGTATACAAACATGCATGCTTTTGCTTCTCAGACTTCTTTGATTATCATTATTTCCTGTATATTTTTCCCCCTTTTTTTTAATAGTAAAAACATAGATGTAGTCATGTATCAAGTTACACAGAACTTCTTTTCAATTACAAAAAATTATGGATTCATTTTAAATGAGGGTTAGCCCTGCAGCGACATTATAGCTTGAAAGTGGGTATTCCCCCTTTTGGTCAATGAAATATTCATGTCTTGTCAAGAAAAAAATGTTTTAGATGCAAAAAAAGTAGGGCTGGCTTCATTACATAACTCTAGCATCTGGCGCAAATTCAGTTATGCAGATGTCAAACCTATGATCTATATGGAAATCAATGAGTTTCATGACTCTATCCTCTTTTCGTAATTAATGTCTATTTCGTAAGAGCTAAAAATTGATTTACACTTACTAATACCTCTTCCCCTAGTTGAATGTCCTCAGCAGAGTCCAGGAAAGGACCATTTATTGATTTGGCCCAAGCCTTTACTCCACAACATAGATGAATCATTGGATGGTGTTGAATTACATTCAATGGATACTTAGGCTTCCTGCAGCTTGGGAGGAATACTTGCTTTCCTATTTCCTTGATTTAGAAAGCTGATGCCAAGATTCTTACCGGTAATTGCGACCTAGAAATAGAATATTGAATGTATGAACAGTATTCCTGCGGACTTCCCTGATAAATTGAACTTGATGCATAGGCCTATTATTTCTTGATTGCGATAGCTTAGCAGGATCCAGTAATTGGTTGGGAGGGAGCTCTTTTGCCTTCCAAATTTCATCCATTTTGTTAATAAGCTCACAAGTTAATGTTCTGCCGATTTTCTCATTATTTAGTTTCAGTTTTCTTTCTTATGTCATTGTAATGACAATATTTTTATTCTGTATTTCCATATTGTAATATTTCTATCCTGTCATCTTTAAGTGCCAACTAGAAAACTGAAACTTAGTTACATGTTAAGTGCAGAAGATGGGACAAAATAACAAAGGGAATTTCAATAAAAAAAGTTTCAGAATCATTTGTTCTTGGAAATGTGAAAGAATTGTTTCCACAAGCCAGCTTTCATATATATATAGAGCTTCACTTACAAATAATATTTTTGCTGGGGGAAAAAGAAAGAAAAAATTCAGGGTGAGCAGTAATTAGTGCGTCACATGATCATGTAGGGATTCCTGCAGGTTTATTATATCCTTTTGACAAAAACAGAACTATGTTTTCAGAAGAAGGCTTATTGTATGCAAATGCTGAGAAACATTGTGAAGATAACATGATTTTAATGAACAAATAATGTCTTTTGCCTCTAAACACAATGTCAAGTTGTGTTTTAACAGACAGTTTTTGGTGAGAGTGCATTGATAAAAACATTTTTTTAATTGAGGGGAAAACAAATTCTGTATACCTTCTGCAAATCTGCACATACATGTACATGTAGACTAAAAAGATCAGAATTATGCTACATTTTTGTGAGATTTTGTTTGTACCTGTAATTTAATCCTTGTATATCTCTGTATTCATTCAGGAAATAATGAGTGATTATTGTATCACTTGTGTTAGCTTTAACTTAAGTTCATATAATTACATAATTTTAATGCAGTTTCTTGTTTCTTTCCTTTCTTTTAGGTCTTTAAATTGCATGTGCAAAAATCAGCGACCGATGGTTACTTTATTTTCAGGAGATATACAGACTTCACAAGACTAAATATGAAGGTGAGTGAGAAATGGGCAATTTCATATCAATTTGAAACGATACATTGTTGTAAATAGTGTCGGGTGATGAAGAAATGGAATGGAACTATGGAAGTGATAGAATGTAGGGTTAGATGAAGAGCGATTTGCTGTAATTTAAATGTCTGAATGAAGGAAATAATAGAGAACGTTTTGTCTGTTTGGAACCAGAAAGGCATTAACTCACTCACTTAAACATAGAATTCAGCCATTTGGGCTCAGAAAAAATGATATGATAGTCAAAAAGTATACAATTGTTATATTTTAGGGGTGAAGAAGAAAAGTCATATGAATTTTGTTAACCCTATTCATGAAGATGGACAGTGATAATGTTGATTGATGAATATATATGAAGGCTATTTATTTTATAAGAGCGGTGTATTGTAAAGTCAGATGCTATGTATTTTGTGTGGACGCTAGCTTGTTCAGGAAAATGCCTGCTCTAACTTCTAAGTGTGGGAAATCCTACCTCTTTGTTTGTGACAAATTATGATTTTATTCAAGTTGAATAATTTCATATATATGCTTCATGTTTGTGCCTGAGTTAATGGCACTAATTTTCATCAGACTAAAACCTTTAACTATTGATTTCTTACTTGTTTTGTATGTATTTTTAAAACTAGCAAAAGTTTCTGATATCTTCAGCTGCAGTTTTTGAAAATAACTCAAACTCTACTCTTCTACATGCAGCGAAGCACCATGCTGGTTTACTCATTTAAATCATCAGATTTCAAGTCATCTTTATTAATTTAAATCACATGTTTTCTTTCCTCCCCATACCATGTGCATCACAGCTGAAGATGTTGTACCCCTGTTTCCGTCTGGCCTTGCCTCCGAAGCGATGGTTTTCGAATAACTTTGACCCCATCTTTCTAGAAGATCGCCTGCTGGGTCTACAAGCTTTTCTGAACAATGTCACAGGTCACAAGGATATTAGGAAGAGGTAAGTTCATGTCCCTGAGAATCGTTTGATTGAGTGAACCTGTATATAAAGACCATTCAAGTAGGGAAATAAGAAGTAGTTCTTACAGATCATAGGGTCTGCAAGTCCTTCTTAAGTATGTCACAGGTCACAAGGACGTTATGAAGAGGTATGTTCGTGTGGCTGAGAATCATTTGATTGAGTGAACCTGTATATAAAGACCATGCAAAGGGGAAAATAAGAGGTGGTCTTTACATATTATAGGGTCTGCAAGTCTTTCTGAAGTATATCGCAGGTCACAAGGACATTAGGAAGAGGTACGTTCATGTCACTGAGAATCATGTGATTAAAACATATGACTTAATGCCCTTCTGGCTCCACTAACATAGGATTTCAAGCAGCCTTCATGAAAGTGAGACGGTCATTGTCGCTTCGCGACAAACAGTTACTACTACTACTACTATTAACATAGGATAAAAAGATTAGAAAGAGGTAGGTTCCTATTGATAGAATTTGAAAACTCTGTATGAAGACCACTTGAAGGGATCATGACAGGCAGACTTTTTGGAAAGGGTTTGCAAGCCATTATCAACTCCATTGCAGATCATACAAAAAATAGAAAGAGGAAGATATCTGCTTTGGAATCAATTTTACAGTCAAATCTGTACATAAAGCCCACTCAAGGAAAACTAAGTACCATAGATGTAGACTTTGAGAACTCTCAGAAAAGTTGAAAGCCAACAAAACTGAAATTCCTTTCACTTGGACCTTCATATAAGTTCATACATCTTTTTAGCTATAAAGAACTGTAAGTGGGCCTACAGTATTTGATTTTCAGATTTCTTTAAAATGTAAGTCCTGTACATGATCCCCTTTGAGTAGAAACTGTGATGATACAACCTTATCTGATACAGACATGCTTGTATGACTCTTCTCCCAAATCTACCTTGTCTCTATTTCTCATGTTCTCCTGTGTTCTCTTCTCCCTTTTATTTCTTAAGCAATTTGAAGTTAATTCAGGAGCTGCTTGATTAATTGCAGTAATCCCACTGACAGTTGTTTATAGTCAGCTGTCATTAGTTTATGAAGACATCTTACATCAAGACACGAATGACTAAATATACTGAGAACATCTCACATTAGATACTCAGTTCTATCATCCAGATTAAGCAGATAGCTCAAACATGCTTGCCCCGCCCCCCTCTGCCAGGGAAAAAATACTTTAAACATTTTGGGGGCTACCTACAAGCTTGCTTGCATGAAAATAACACTCTTTTCTTTTTTTTTTTTTGCATTGAACTCTATGCAATTTTGGGGGCTCTTTTTGGCATTTTGGGGGCTAATTCGCCCGAGCCCCCATGTATTTTTTTCCCTGCCCCTCTCCTCCCCCTCCTTTCTTCCCAATTCAGACTACTAGGTATAGCTTTATGAAAACCGTTCGGCTATTCGTTTCTGGTCTGAACATTGTACAATGAAACATATTGAAAAGTATTATAGTGAAATCACTATTTAAGCATTGTTTCAAACAAAAACTTGATAAAGAATCAGTGTCCACAGACACTTCTAATGTGAAGGTTGTATCATACAAAAATGATATAACTGGGCAGGGCGCATCTTTAGTGTTCATTGATGATTGGCTAGCTGTCATCTGACTGACTCTAAAAATACTCCTCATGTCACCTGACCTTTCCATAACTAGTTTCTTTATTTGATGCGTGTACGCCCCTTTGTACGCCCCTTTCACAGAAAGATTTTTCTTCATATGACGTTTCTTTATATGAAGTTCATATAACTTTCCCCCTAGTGCAAACAAGCTTTAAAACAGGAATATCCCAGCCATGACTCACAATCATTTATCCAGACAAACTGGTATTTCTTCCCCTCCGCTCTCTTTTTAGGGGGTTCCGTCCCTCAGGAATTTAGTGGTTTGGCCTATGAATGCAACCCTCTGTGAACCATGGCTTTCTAGGTAGCAGAAGTTTTCCTAATTTGGCAGTTTAGCCTTTAGCCTAGGAAACTCAAACCAAATTTAGACTAAATGCAGATGCTCTCCATTTGAGCTCTTCAAAATCAATGTATGGGAAAAACTTGCACTTTAGGTGCGATATTTTGATTATGATTTATAATGCCATTATATTGCCATTATATCTCCTTATTTTAATTATTGTAACCTTGCCTGGGGATCCTCAACTGATCATGCAATGAGAAGATTATTATGCTTACAAAAAAGAGCTATTCGTTTAGTCTTACACGCCGATTATTTTGCTCATACTAAACCTTTATTTCTAAAATTAAAACTTTTGAATGTCCTACATGTAGATCTTTGTAATTATAGCTTTGCAATATTTATGTACTTATGTTTTCATAATTTCATACCAATTAGTCTTTCCAGCATATTTTGTCTTAATTCTGCATTACATTCATATAATACTTGAAGTTATTCTAATTTTCATTTAAATAAAATATGACTAAATATAACTAAGAAATCAATATCTTTTAAAGGGCCACAATTGTGGAATAATATACCTCAAAATATAAAATCTAGTCCATCAATTAACGTTTTTTAAAAGGAGATATAAATCATTTTTAATCCAACAAAATAAATAAAGATTGATCATGTACACAGTCTGTTTTTGTTTTTTTGTTTTTTTTTCTCAAACAACAATATAATACTGCATTATACTTTATTACTGTTTTGGTGGCAGCACCAATAAAGCCTTTGGCTTTCCTAGCTTTCTCCACATTCATATATATTTTTGTTGTTGTATTGTATTGTAAATGTTTTTCTCTAACTTGTACGCTATATTTTGTATTTTATATGTTTGTTATGATGTTTTTATGATGAATGAAATAAAGTTCAATTCAATTCAATTCCCCCTTTTGAAACAAGATCAATTATCTTTTTAAGTAATTGGTATAATTTGATAATCATTACTGGCCATTTTAAAGCAATACTCAGGATGGCATTGTTTATTTAGCTAAATTACAAAGAAAAACTAATCTGCAGATAGTAATCCTTAGATATTTTTTTTCTCTACTACTCTAGCTAGTTGTATGTATCTTGATCCTTATAACCTAGACAGTAATACTTTTTAAACATGTTTTTTTAGAAGATGATTGATATATATTTATTTTTTTTAATCAATTTTTATACTAGTTTTGCCAACATTTTATGGGAAATTGTTGTAACTTGTCAAAATACTCCTGTGTTCTATTCTATGTTTACAATGATGTGATGCAAGCATCACGATTACTCAGGCAATGATACATACTACTGAAAGACCAGTTTGTGATATTCTATGTAGACAGGAAATGTGTAATGGAGTCTAAAAAAGACAAACTTGGCAGCCCTGCTAGGGTTATCCAGTCAGATTCACAGCCAGACAGAGGATAATTCTCCTCTATTTTGCTGATCGCCTTGAATTAATGTAGGATGAAAGTCTGTTTGTTACAGAAGCTCTGCTTAAGTCCGGACTGTAGTATAGGCATTTTTTCCCTCTGTGGCTGGCATGTATTCTGCATTGCAGTTCATGATTTTGAAGGTTCATTATTTCAAAGAATGCTTGTGACATTTTATGGATTAATGAACGGTTGAACCCCTGTACTACTTGAACATTTTCTATGTTGGGGAAAAAGCCTTGGAATAGTGAGCATCTCCATACTTTCTTTAGGTATACAAAATATGTTGACAGCATTGTTTTCATATATGCATCAATTAATCTCTTAATATTTCATAAATTACTTGCAACATGGTATTAACAATGTGTGTTATAAAAGTGCTTTAGGCCTTTATGGATAAAATATAAGAAATATGTTCTTGTTACTTCAAACATGTTTTTATTATGTAATCTCTAGCTTTACGGTTTACCCCTTTCATTAGTGATTCTTACAGACAGGCTGAATGCAAAATACTCAATTTTCTATCCTTCTTTCTCTCTTGATTTTCTTCATTTGAATAAGAGACAGCTCTTGGATAATGATCAAGGCAGACAGCGTTTCATTATAATGGATATTTGTGTGACATACCTGCACATATCCTGAAAAAAAGTCAATTTCCTTGTAGAGGAGATTGAAGTATGATGAATTGCTCTCCAGATATCTGCTATGAATGTTTGTAATTTCCCATGCCAAATTGAACTGTAAGGACAAGAGGAACGTACAGACCTAACACAAAATGCATGAAATAAGGAGGCCTCCACAGTCAGAACTACATTGTATATTTTTAAATCTTTAAATGATGAAAAAGTAGAGCACAGTAGGCAGGGCTCGACTAACATGCACCTGGGAGCACACGTGGATGCCCAAAATCTAAGTCTCGACCCCTAATTTGTTTAAATTTAAACACATGGCTTATACATACAGACACTAAAAAGATCAGTTAGGGTGATAAATGGCAACTTTTTTTAAAAGTGCAATGTAAATAACAGACATGGGACTGCAAACATGAGATTGATTAGAGGACTTGCGATTGATCTTGATCAATCGCAACTCTTTATGAGACGGGGCCCTGGACCCCCTACCAAAAAGATTGGTGTGGAGCCCTGCAGTTGGTTTCCTTAGGCTTTTGCTTGATGTCACAAGACCAGAAGTGTGGGAGAGCGTAGATTGTTAAATTGTTAAATTCTTTTTAAGCAGGAGCGCCAATAGTTTGTTGAACACTAAGTCATACATGTACATACATACATTAACATTTAAGTTGAGATACTTTGAAGTTACTTTAGAATTGTTTGACAGCACAAAATATAACCACTTTCACATGACAAATTATTCTTATCTGGGCATGTACAAACATGTCATCCTACCTCAACTGTCAATACATTATCTATTAAAATGTTTATGAAAGGAAGTATGCAGCTTTTGTATTCATGAAAACCTAATAAGGTTCTCTGTTGTTTTGTGAAAGTAGTTGAAAGGGCTGAAGGCTTATGCTTGAGTGGTGAGTTTCTTTTGTCTACATATCGTCATGTTTCAGCTCAATTTTAACTTCTTGAACTTGAATTTTTAAGAAGAGAAAACTCAACTCCCATTCTAGAGTTAAATATATATGCAAAAGTGGAATATTAAAATTTGGCATAATACTAGTGTGGCCTCATGATTAGATTTAAAAGTGATATGATTTTTTTCAGCTGCAGACAAAGTGGATATATAAATATAGCTTGCTCACAACATGATACATACTCTTACAGATATGAAGATAAAGATTTGTTTCTGGAGGAAGTATGAGTAACATTGATGATTAAGTTATCCGTCTACAAAAGTTGATTTAAAGATAAAATTCTCAATTTGTTTCTAACAGACCTTCCATGGGTATTTAATATGTTTCAATTATCAGTCGACATAAAAATTCATTGTACCACCATGCATTCGTAGGGCAATAGAATGGCTTGGGCGAATAAGAAAGAAAAATTGAACAATAAAACAAAAATTCCCTTAGGATTATGTTTATTCACTAATCATTGAAATCATAGTTTTTTTTCTGTCATGAATCCTTTGCAAGGTAACAATGTAGGTGGGTCTGGAGTTTGACAATCATAATACATTTGTATGGTTCATTGTTGAAGTTTTTTCTGTCTGTCTTTCTTTCTTTCTCTCTTTCTATGTTTAGCATACAAGTATCTTGATCATGTAGTACCTGCACGTCCTATAGAATGTGATGTGAGAAGGAAACAGCAGGGAGGATACAGGAGGATGTTTATGTGGGGAAGGCAATGATAAAAGACTCAAAGCACATTAAGTTCAAAGGCTAGGTCTGTGTTAACATGAATGGCTTGAAAGATTTAGGCAGTCATGCGAGGTTCCATGGTTAGGGGAAAAGATAGGGAGAGATAGAATTAAAGATGTATTAATACAAGCAGACATTTATGAATATTTCATGCATCCTCCTAAGGAATTGAACATGGACAGGTACGTGTCAATGATACATGTCTACAATGTTCCATGGATGCAATTATTCATGTAGTATGAGGTCGTGTCAAGAAGGGACGGCGGCAGGCTTATACAGTTGGTATTATTGCTGTTATTATTACTGAACTTGCACTGATACAGTCAAACCTGCTTTAGCAATGACCTTGTCTATGAAGAAAACAAAATGCATTTTGTTTCCCCTTGAACAAAGACCATTTTCTTGAGTCCCTTGATCTGTTTATAGTAAAATTATTAAGTCAATTAATTATTAATCCATTCATCAACAGAGTATGCATGAGCAGAGACCATGGTAGAATTTCCCACAACATGTGGTTGAATATCAAATGACTACATATCAGCAACATAATTTAACAAAGTTTATAAATTCTTCCTTTAGAATAAGAGGAAACTGTGGTCATTTCCCAATCAGTGATCTACATGTGACATATGCCTATACAGTCATATTATCTCGGGTACCAGTCCTCGTGGGCACTTTGACCCCGTCTGGGCTACCCAATAACAGATGTTACAAATCCCCCAAAATAGATTTATTCTAATTGTATAATTATGTTATAAATGAAATGAAGAAAAAAAAATGAAATAAATGGTGAAAGCTCAATATTTTTCATCTCTCTCTCTCGTATCTAAGCGCATAGAGACAATTATGTTATATGCGCTATCTGCCGTCTGTCCTTCCTTCCTTCCGTGCGTGCGTCCGTCTGTCCGTAACAAATTTGGTTTCCGATCGATAACTTCAGTAATGTTTGACGGATTTTAATGAAATTTGATATGTAGGTACATGATATCAAAATACAGGCTAAGTTCAATTTTGGAGTACGTAGGTCAAAGGTCAAAGGTCATAGCTCATTAAATATGTGAAAAATACACATCTGGTCTCCGATCGATAACTTTAGTAATGTTTGACAGATTTTAATGAAATTTGATATGAAGGTTCATGGTATCAAAACACAACCTAAGTTCAATTTCGGAGTATGTAGGTCAAAGGTCATAGCTCATTAAATATGTGAATCTGGTTTCCATTTGATAACTTGAGTAATGTTTGACGAATTCTAATGAAATTTAATATAAAGGTACATGGAATCAAAATACATTTACAGCCTAAGTTCGATTTCTGAGTATGTAGGTCAAAGGTGAAAGGTCATAGCTCATTAAATATGCAAAACCCCTAATTATATATGTGAAAATGTGGTTAACTTTCTTGCCTAGTAATATACATGTAATAGTATAGTCCAATGGAGGTAACTTGTTCTGACGTATATTGTACCCTGCGAGGGGATGCTACGCTTTGCGTTGACTTGTTATTATTATTATTAATTATGATTGATGGGTCTTACATGATCAAACTTAATCTGAAAATTTCAAACATATCACAAGCACCCACCCAACCTTTGTCTAAATAGTTGTAGATGTCTCTTATCTTTTTGTCAGCTTTGTGTGAACACAAACAGTATTTTGAACCAGAAGCTGCTGGTGCTTGCCATATACAATATACAATGCACATGAGAATCCATAAATGTATAGTGAACAATTAAATTATTCATACCTCTAGTACATTTAATGTTTTTTTGTAACACAAGAACAAATGGTGGACCGGTTGAATTAGGACCTTTGTTAAATACTTTTAGATGTACAATGTAGGTTTTAATTGTCATATTCTCAAGAAACATGAATCTGGAAAATATTACATACAGTCCTTATACATGCTTTAGCAACCACGTGTATAGAAATACCACATTGGAACCTGTACATAAAGACCATCTTCCTATAAAACAACTTTCCATGTGTCCCTTGAGTGTTCTTTGATATGCAGGTTTCACTGTACTTAAAAAATTACAAAACTTGGTAATAAGGGTATGAATAATTGACATGTTATTAAACCAAAATGCGTGCTGGTAGTACCTTTAAGTTTGATCTGTCTTCGATAGGTGAAGGACATGTGATGTGCATTGTTTTGATCTTCTCTTCCTACCGCGCACCACACCCCGAACGTACACCCTCGTGATGCCTGCCCTCTATGTATAGCATCACTAAGTATGCTTGTCATGTCTGATATTTATTCTATGTATCTCCTGTTACAGTGCACCCGTCAAGGAGTTCCTGTGTCTCAACGATCCGCCTGGACCGCATGACAGTCTAGAGGAGAGCAGGGTAAGCCAGGGTTCATCATACTTCATCAAGGTTTAACCCTTTTGTGACAATAATTCCACATTTTGTGGTTTAATTGGCTCAATAAAGTTTGATTCAAAGCCCCCCAAAAATATGCCAGATGCCCGAGTAGAAAGGGCAACCAATTCTGCACACACTGCATCCATTTTTGTTTCATGAATATATTCTGTTTAATGTCAGGAATTTTTTAAAGAAATATACACTTTAAAATCCTTAAATTGGCAACATGTTGAGAGATTCAAAATCATTGTTTTTTTTTATCAAAATTGTTTTCAACTTTTTTAGTACACTTATTAAAGTTTGCTTTATAAAAATTTAAAAAACAGTAAACAGACACAGTTTACCGCGGCATATGTGGACGACTTTAGCTTTCCTATTTTATTTCAGGTTGGGTGGGGGATGTTAGACCTAATGAGCTAATGGGTTAGACAGAAATTACAGCATTAGTTGAATATGTCCTAGAACTGCCACATGTGCCTTAAAAAGAGACTCACACATTCTAAATGGTGGTTGAGGTGTGAAAACCCTGACACACCGCTCTAGCAGACAAACTAGTTCATCCGTCTGCAGTCATCAATTTATCTCTCCTAAATATGTTTGCTATTCTAATATCCCTATTTGTCATCGGCCCAAATTTTGTAATTGCATTACATCACTAATTACATCACTAATTACATAATCACTTCTGTTTTTACTTCCAAATTAATGTTGGAACTAATTTCTCTCTCATACATGAACAACTTCTCTATAAATTGAATTATGTTCTTGGGATTCTAGGGGATCTCAATAATGTGAACAGTTCATGCACACCTACATAAGCCTTGCCAATTGCTCAGGATCAGTCCTAATTAGCGCAATCATGAAGCAATCCTAGCTTTACCTATCATCTTGATCTTTATCTTTTAATTCCGGCCTACATCCATGGATTCCCCAAAGCCACTATTTTGTGACTAACATTTCTATTTCTGTACTTCCCCAACATTCTTTGTTCATTCAAGGAATTTCTAGTCCATCCTCACTTTCTTTCTCTCCATCTCTCTCCCCCCCCCCCCCCCCCCCCCCTCTCTCTCTCTCTCTCTCTCTACATATATATATATATATATATATATATACATGTATATATCTCTCTTTCTCACTCTCTCTTTTTTATCTATCTTTCACTCTTTCTCTCTCAAGCATGCACACAAACACATACACACACTCTCTTTCTCTCTCTCTCTCTCTCTCTCTCTCTCTCTCTCTCTCTCTATATATATATATATATAAATAAATATCTCTCCTTCTCACTCTCTTTCTATCTCACTCCTCTCTCTCCCTCTCTCTCTCTCCCTCTCTCTCTCTCTCTCTCTCTGTCCTCTTTCAGCTGAAAGGACATGGAAACATGCACAGGTGACTAAACTATAACTCCAAATGCACTCTGTCTTCCTAAAGCTTTGGGTCCCAAAAGACAAGTGCTCACGTGAGCTGTCACATTTAATAGCAAAATGGAGGAAAAGGAAGGGGGAAAGATTGGGAAGGGGTCCTATCAGGTGCTATGGTAGGACTCGGCTGCAAGCATAGACTCTGCCATGTGACTTCAGACTAAACTCATGCTAGGTCAAGCAAATCCAAGAGCTTGACCTATAGTATCAAGGTGATATAGTCTGTGGTCAGTACCAACACAGTTTAATAGCTTCTATGTGTTTTTTTGCTAGTGAAAGATCATACCAGAAAGAAAAAAAATGAGGTTGTGATATGTCTGCCAAATCCTGAAAAGAGACTCCCAAGAATTGTTGAATATACAAAAAGTTCAAAGACAGGTTTTAATATTTGAAATCACTGACACTAAATATGATTGCAAAGTTAAGTTTAGTTCGAAAATCAACCTGGAAATTAAATTACATTTTTCACCCTGGATAATCAGAGCATCATGCCTAAACATGAGTATAAGTATTAGATTTTTGCCAAATGCCTTTCAGTTTTTCTCCGTGAATCATTTGACACCCAAATTGTGCATTTGTAGATCAGATCATGTGGTAAACCACATGAAACCACATTAACAAAAATAAATCATTATCTAATTTGGGTCCAGGTTCTTCTCATAAAATCTATATTTAGAGATCCCTCTACATTCACATAGTCAAATTAATGTGAAGTCCAGGTTCCTATGTGGATTCAGATCTGGGCGTAGCACATCCATCCAGATTGGAAATTTGTGTTTCTGCTTTCATTATCCTCTCAAATCTGGCTTGTATCCTGTTTCCTCTCATATGCTATGTGGTATCCTGATGGCTTAGACAGGTCCTGGATAAATCCTGGATGGTAATAGGAGAGACGGGAGTGGCAATTTAGGATAAAGGGATGTAGGGATGCTCCAATTGGGTAATAAGGTTTGGGCTACATGCATGTAGGTGTGAGGTGTGACATGTTATAATCGGGAGTAGCTTACCCCTGTCACCCCCTCTTTTTATCACCATAACCTTGTCTGTTTTCTACCTTTCTCTCTCTCTCTCTTTCTGTCATGTCATTCTCTGTCTCCCTCTCCTTTTTTCTTCTCTTTCTCTATGATTGTAATTCTCTCTTGCATTCTCTCCCCCCAAAAAAACTTTTTCAACCCTTCTCTCTATCTCTCTCTATCTCATTCTCACTTTTACTTTAATCATATTTTCTTCTCTCTCTCTCTTTCTTTTCTAACTCTCTTTATCTTCTCTTCCTTTCAATCTCTATTTTAAGTATGCATTCACTCACCCCCTTACACCTTACTCTACCTGATGTTTCCTCTTTTTTTTTAAATCTCCCCCTCTCCCTTTCTTTTTTCTCATTGTAAGCTTGAATACCTGTTCTCTCTTTCTTTCTCTCTCTCTCTCTCTCTCTTTCTTTGTTTCTATTTCAAGTAGTGATTGAATTGTGACTCGCTCCCCCTTTCTCTCTTTTTTGTACTCAAACAGAAGAAATATACTCAATGTCAATGAATATACACTGTAACAGGCAGGCCAGGTTGGATTTTAAATTCTTTTTTTCTATCCAAATAGCATTGCTCAAACAGCATTCTGTGTTATAGTTTAAAAATTCTGATTGATTTCATTGCAAAATGTAAACAGAAGATATTTTACAGCCTTCGTTTGAGAAACAATTATTCTGTACAGTATGTTAATCATAGAAATCATTCATGTGTAATGACATTGATGCGCTTGAAAGAAGAAAAATAAAAGAAACATTCCCTGGTATTTAAACTAAATTGCTACAGCCATGAACTTCTTTGGCATAATGGTAAATGATTTTGACCTTAGTGTGACGCTTTATGTATTTAACAAATATTTCCCCATTTTTAAGATCGATTTAAATGCTGTGCAAGAGAAGGGTTCATTTTGTTTCTGGTTTTTTTTTATTCATCAGTCAATTCCAAATTTCATTTTTTTCTCTGTTCATCACTATTCTAAAACTGTTTTTAAACTTGTAATTCTGTCCTTGTTTTTACAAGTACTTTATACATGTACAGTTGGTGTGTGATTGCTATAAATACAATGTATATATTTTGTAGGAATTGGTACTTAATTATCATTTGATATACTGTACCATTGTTAATCACCCTATCCCCCTATATCCCCCCTTTCTCCCTCCCTCCTCTCTCTCTCCTTTTCTAAATCTCTCTCTCTCTCTCTCTCTCTCAATCTCAATCTCAATCTCTCTTGCCCCTCTCTTTCTCTCCCCTCTCCTTTTCTAAATCTCTCTCTCTCTTTGCCTCTCTTTCTTTGCCTTTCTTTGCCTTTCTTTGCCTTTCTCTGTCTTTCTCTATCCCATACACTTTGCCTTTGATTTTGTCTCTACCTCCAATGTTCTGTCAGATTAGTCTGTCGAGTTTTAATAAGTTCTACCCTTTAGCAAGACAGGTCTTTTCATTACTGGTGCATTAAACTATGTGAACGTGTAATGATAAAACATTTCCCCAATCACCGTGCATGTTTTAATTAGCTTCTGCAGATTGATGCCTTAATCAGGAGGAATCTCATTCACGCTCAATGGTTTTGACATTTTATGCTCACTGCCCTCTAAATGAACGTTTGCAAGTATGCTCGCTTTCATGCCTTACGATCAAGACTCCGTTACAGATGTTAATTAAAGTGAACATGAACTGTATACACGTGGTCATGTGCTGTGACGTAATTGGTCTACTGCCCCACAGAGATAAGCTAATTAGCAACATTTGAATTTCTTCATCTTCAAAGCAAGAAGGAAGCTTTAGTTAGAGAGTCATAAGGGAATTAATGCTTTATTTTAAAGGCACACTGTCCTACTTGTAGCTACTTGCTCCCTCTATATAGGAAACTTCCCAAATCGGTGCCTGTTGGTCCCCCATGATCCTCTTTTTCTTATGTTAAATGAGAGCTGAGTTAATGAGATAGCCACCTGTCACAGTGACCTCGATGGCTCACTGGGTGGTCTAATCCGAGTCTCTCCTCAAATGAATTAAAAGAACTACGCACATGTAGATGAGCATATTTTCGAAGAGGATGATGCAGTTTGAAACAAGAGACAAAGTATGACCGGGAAACTATGAAAATATATAGCTCAGAGCATGAGGGATGACATTTATCTATGTAGTCATAGTTATTCATTTTGACTATGATTTAACTTCTTATAAAAGTCAATCTTGGAAGGAATAAATCAAAGCTGCAAACAACTTTTCCATAACTTTTTTGAAAGGATTTCTTTGTTTCAACAAACAATGCAATCAGATTCATCTGAATATCAAAGGGAAGAGTGAGTGTATTAGAGGATGCAATATATCTGAAGGATTTATAGATTATCCTAATCTTTGGGATTACTGTGATAACTTGTCTTGATCATCTTCTAGCCTGTTCAGACTAGAGAAAATTGTACGAAAGTTGTATAAAGAATCATTGTATTGTGAAAGAGGCTTACACACTGGATAACCACATAATATAAAGAATCTAGTTTTGAGGAGGTTAGTTGACCTCAGAGCTGGCCAATCATAGATGGGCACTCTCGATAAGCCCCGCCCAGTTGCAGGTTTTCTTAATGATACATTGATCACATTAGAACAGGACCCTGATTCTTTATTGCCCTGCATTCAAAACTATACGATATTTCGTTATACAAACTTCAGACTAGAAAATGTTAATAGCTGTATGGTTTTCATGTATATTTACAGAAAAGTTTGGTAGTCTGAACAGGGGGGTTGGTTAAAACTCTCTGACAAGCTGTGAGCTTTAATATCCAGGGTATAAGCACATGGATTGATTCACCTTGATCTCCCCCTTAATAAGCCCCTTGTCCCCCACAGAGTACCTCATAAATGTCAAGGGTGAGGAGACATTCATGAATGATATGATTGCTCCAAAGGGAGGGATCCAGTTCAAGATCTACTAAGTTTTTTACAATTTAGAAAGTTTGTAATGTTTAAATATGTTTCTTTGATTGATAAACAATATTGATTAAAATAATATGCTTCATAATTGAACTACATACATGTAGGTATGTCCAAACTCTAGAGACGATCTGTATTTCAGTATTGACAAAATATATTAAATCATTTCATTTATTTGGTTCTTCAAAAGAATTAAGTTCTATTTTCGCTTGACATAAATCTTAGAATTAAAACTTCTTAATATTTCAGACTTCTAAAATTACTCCTGGGATATGTTTTGAAAACCGATTCAAATCACCTTCAAATGGCTTTTGAAATTCTTCACTGTTTTCAATTTTGTATGCTTTACTATAGAGAAGTACAAATAACAATTGACTTACGGTAGTGTCATTAAAAAGGGCCTTTGTATTTCTAGGATATTATCTTTGTAGGGTTCCTCAGCTCATGAAGAGTACATTGAAGTCATAATGGGATGTCGTTAAGTGATGTTTTCTCTAGGAAACTGATATGCTCTGCTTCTTTCCATGGCTCCGCTATAATTCCCCCATGCAGTGCCAAGTGAATGTGAAGGTCTTAGCAGTGTCTATGGGTATGTTTATGCTCAACTTTTTCTGGCCAGAATCAGGCATCTGTTACGCCTTTAGTTCAAAACACGGTTGTGTCCTTTCTCACTTTTGTAGAATCACCAAAAAACGGCGATCACGATCATCGATCGTAAACTCACAAAAAGGTGCGTTTACAATTTGTAAATGTGTTTAAATGGGGTCAACGCACTGACCTCTAGTGGGTCTACGTAGCATGCACAGTGCAGTTTTGCGAATCCAACTGCAAGGCCAATTAAGGCCACCCAGCGAGAATTGCCTGGAGGAGCCAGAGAAGTGAGCATAAACAGTACACCGTGGAACTGCGATTACGATGAGCGTTTACGATGTGCGTTTCAAATCGCTCATTCTGCCTTCAAAATTGAGCTTAAACGCACCCTATGAGTAATGCATTATAAAGAACAGGAATATAGCGAGTTGGAGGTTTGCCACAGATATTAAATAGCCAAATCATATTTCCACTATAAAATAATATAATTATAATGAGATGATGATGATGATGATGATGATGATGATGATGATGATGATGATGATGATGATAATAATATTAATGATAATGATAGTGAAAATGATAATGAAATTATAATGAAAATGATAATGAAAATGATAATAATAGTGATTATGATATTGAAAATGATATTAATTATGATAATAATAATGATAATAATAGTGATAATGATAATAATGATAATGACTATGATAATGATAATATAACGTCATGTATATAGCACTGACACATATTAAACAGTTTCATAGCACTTCACATTGTGGGAAGATTTCAAGTTTCTCATATTGATTATCAGAGATTATATCCTTGCATGTCTAACATTGATCAACCCCATGTCCTATGTCCTGACATAGTATGTAGTGCATCAATGTAAGCATGCTTCTAAGAAATGGAAACATCTAACATTACTATGTAGCATCTCAAGTGTAAACAGATTCAGCTACCTGCAATAATCATAAAGTCATTTCTAGGGCAGAAGACAGATTATGCTTGACTTGTATCACATGTTCGTTACACAATCCTCAGCGCTCATGAATTATTGCTCCAATAGTACTTTGTCACTATAGTCCCCGAAGACGTACCTTGTAAATGTGAAGGCCGCAAAGGCATACAAGCCTGACTCATGAAGTATACCCAGAGTTGACAGCACGTCGCGATGAAATGCTGCAAAGTCTCTAAAATTCAGTGGTTTGAATCACTGAACAGGGGCTGCCTGCAATAAGGCTATAAGCGCTGTGTATTGTCAATGGCAGTACGGTAACTGCCTTCTTGCATGCAAACCTATGATGTTGTGGTGAAGTTACAGTGGAAAGGATTTTAATGAAAAGTCTAACCACCGAAGCACGATGTACCTGTAAAGTTATGACGGATTCGATTTACCTTAATATAAAACTGTCATAGATGATTGGAAAGATCTATAGTGAATGTATTGTAACTGTAAGTGAATTTCCATACCGGTAATTTGAATTATAACTTGGCTGCAAATGTGTGCAGTTGAAATGTATATGTATTCTATTCTTTTATACATTTCAAGGGCAAGGCAATATTTTCCTCAAGTCTTTCTTTCATCTGTAATTAGCTTGCTGTGTAGATCTTTTCTAATTTAAATCCTAGTCTGTAACAGTTATAGAACATGATAAATTCATGTATTTCCTGTTAAACAATCATGCATTGTTATAAAATGCACTCAAAATCATTAATTCTGTATTTTGTTAAAATCTCATCAATTGTAACAAGTTTTTTCATGTAGAAGGACTGTTCGTGCTGCTTCAGAAGAAACATTCTTCATATATCTTTCATTCGCTGTATTATTGTAATGTAACGATTGTAATGTAACGATTATTCTTCTCGTTGCTGTATTTTGTTCAGGTAATGGTGGAATCTTTGGAAGAAGTAGCATACAACCTGAGGAGAGACTGTGCTGAGAGGGATAGATTGTTGAGGAAGAAAAATGAAGAGATAGCGAGTCTCAAAGCTAGGATACAAGAACTGGAGAATGCAGGGCTCCCACTGGAGACTCTGGAGTAAGTTATCATTTCGCTCCATGGAATTTTCATATTTATGTAGCATTCAATACTAAGTTCGGTCTTGTTTTTTCCGAGCGAGCTTGTCACAAGGTGGATACTGAGCCAGACCCTAAGTTAACTTGTCACAACTTGCAGAGATATTGAAAAACAACTCTGTAACACTTAAAGGGATCCGGTAACTTTGTCTCAGATTCTGAAACCAAATCCTGGATTTTGCTCAGGCTGCAATGATAATTATAAACCTTTAGGTCAGTCAGGAACCCCATGACTTTTACAAGCCAATCACCTGTCTGATTATCAAGATATTTATGATTGGAAATCAAAACCAAAGTTTGCGTTTTCCTAACGGTTTTCATAACACTACAGTCTATTGGGGACTACGAGTATGGTAAAACCAGTCACTTTACTTTTTTGAGGCACTTCTTGATCATTTTGAAGCGCGTTTTTTTTTTAGGGCTTCAATATTACACCATATCACAGACACTGATAACACGTAGGGCTGTGCATCTCAGATTTAACATTGTTAAACGATTCATTTAATACACACAACTTTTAGCAACTTGCCTATAGGCACAACAAATACAGTGAATCCTGTCTTAGTAGCCACCTCTCTAGAAAAGCCACCTGTCTATAGTGGCCATGTATTTTGTCTCCCTCAGGAAAGAAAGATGCATTGTATATCCTGTCTGGGAAGGCCACCTGCCTACAGTGGCCACTTTCTCTGATTCCCTTGGGTAGCCTCAATAGACAGATTTGACAGTGCATGTATTTATAGAACATGCAGAAAGCGATTGCAAGTTGGTGCCAATCCACACAAGCTATGGTAATCTATTGCAAGCTTCTCCTTAGCTCCACCCAGTCAGCTTGATCTAACCATGGATATAGTAGGTCCAAGATCTAACCTGGCACCCAGCTTGCACCCAACTTGGCAAGTCTGAGAGGAGTTTCCTTTTTGGGGGGCCTCTTTAAAAGTACTGTCAAGATTATTATAAGACAGGTTTAAGAATACACTATTAGGCAATTCAATTGGTCAAATTTAGAAAATCTGTTGAATTTCTGGCAATATATATGCCATTGAATACCAATTTTGATCATGATACTTTATCTCCATTCTCCATATTTTCCAGAAATGAGCGTGTTGGAACAGACCAGGAGAGTGAGAGCAGTACTGTAGAAGGTGATCGAAGATCCTGCGTCGAGGCCGACCTGATGGATCATGGGATACCCGATGCAAACGACGAGGGTATCTCGGAATCCATGGACAGCTCCCTCAAAGTCAAGTAGGTTTATGCCGAATCAACTATTCGTATATTAAAGAGTAAGGGGGAAACCCCGGTGTAGTCGTCCACCTTCACAATCCCATTCAGTTATACCGGGAGGAGAGACCCGAGGGTTACAGTGATTCAGTTCGCTTTTTGTTTCCCAGGCACAGGTGATGCCAAATACACAATGATGATAATGATAAAGCAGTTTTAGCATTGTTGATGTAGATACATGCTTTTGATACCAATGATGGGTTGATAATACCTCTGACAGCTTGTCCACACACAAAACAATTTATCCCGAAACTCTGTAACGAAACGTCGTATAAAGAATCATCGTATAAAATTTCAGAGTGTCCACACACAAGAAACATCGTATAAATATTCATTGTATAAATTCCAGGATGTCCACACACAGAAGAAAGTAATCCTGAAACTCTACAGCGAAATGTCGTATAGGTGCACAGTTTGCTACTGCGGTCATGAAATGGAAGCGGAAATGAGTGGTCAGGTCTCCTTTCGCGCGAGGTCACGTTAACCCCCGCCCAGTTAGTTACACTAGTTACGTCCACACACAACACCTTCCGTGATTAGGCGTGATTAGGCGTGATTCTTTATTGAGTTCTAGTTCGAAACGATGCCCAAACCTGTGTTTCGTTATACAACGTTTCGTTATACAACGTTTCGTTATACGACGTTTCGTTATACGACATATCATTAGTGAGCGTCCACACACACAATTTCATCGTATAACTATCGCGAAACTGTATAACTATCGCGAAACGGTATAGCTAATCATGCCTAATCACGGAAAATGTTGTGTGTGGACAGGGGGTTAACTCAATTTCTGGCCATTTATTTTTCCTTTGTAATTTTGTATCTAAGGACCAATTTAATGTTCTGATAAACACAACACATATTTTCAACAATGTTAACACAACTGACCTGCATAGTAATGGTCATTATCTATGCTCTTGTTGGGCTAAACTTGAAAGTTTTTTGCACTCTTGTAAATTAAACATGTCTAAGTTAGAAGGTATTATCGGCCCACTGACAGTGTGCAATTACTAAGATATGAATAGGATTTAAATTAAAATGTAGACTAGATTAAAAACCCTAATGATTATTAAACTCAGGACTTAGAACCCCTAGAAACTGCTTGATTACTCTCCTGTGGACAATTGCCATGAAGATGATTTACTCCATTGGTCAGCTAGTCAGACAGGACTATTATTGCCAATTCAAATGTGTAATTGTCATTAGGATGATCATCTACATGTATGTAGTAATTGACCTTGGGGTTATCTTACTGATGGAATAGCTATCTGCAATGTTAGTTGTATGGAGGAAGGGGGAGGGTGTCTTGATGATGGGGGTAATGGTCGTAGGATGCCATTTTCCTTGGAGATGGTAGCGGAATGGAGGTCATCCTGGGGACAGTCTTCCAGAAACACAGTCCGAATTATGCAATAATGGAATTAATCAGAGATTATGTATACAATCTCTTATCCTCAATGCTACTGATAGCATACATTCAAAGACATTAACTCTGCAGATAGGACCCTACAATTAGCCTCTACATGATCATTGTTTGTTCACTAGGTCACCCACAAGGCCTGAATCCTGATAGTAGAGTAGTGATTACTTTCCAAGAAGCCACTTGGACCATTCCAATGTTTCATAGAGCTAGCTAGTGGTCTTCTAAACACTTAATGGCCTGCATTTTACTGAAATGTAAACCTGACGCCTGGTTTAGGCCTTTTTTCAAAATCTGGGCCCGTCTTACAAAAGAATTGATATCAATCACATAAGAGATAAGAGACATAAGAGATAGGAGACTGCCAACTTGCGATTGATTGTAGGACTTACGATTGATTTGGATCAATCATATCTCTTTGTAAGATGGGGGCCCTAGTGTAACATTTAAGAAGTTAGGCCGAAGTTTTTCTTAAAATTGTAAAGCAAGATTTTAGACCCAGGGTCAGGTTTAAATACATTTATAGAATGCGGACCAATGGGTTAATTTCAGTAGTGCAGCTCTTGGCAACATACTGCAAAATAACTGTGCGATGCTTATTATTGTGAACAGTCTGTTATGGTTATGATGACTGATAGCTGTGGTTTGGCATGCCTATAACCAAGAAATCTAGATGGTTAAGAAATCATTTGATTCTGTTTGATATCTCTTTAGAGTAGAAACAGCTACTGCTACAGCTACTGCTATGGCTAAATATGCGATGTGTCAGGTAAAATGAAAAAAGAAAATACCATGCAGACACTGTTATTTTTATTGCGTTAGAAACTTAAAAGCCGTAATGGTTTGATAGTACCTGGTTAAATCTATATTTTTTTTAACTTCTCATTTAAAAAAAAAATGATATCACATTCATCACATAAATTAGCATCTTGTATAAATCAGTAAGACATGGCATTCGTTGTATAAATCAAAGACCAATGACAGTGCATGTGTACTTTATATGTTATCTTTATAGGATAACAGTGTTTTAAGATTATGTCTCTCTCTTCTGCGTAGACAATACATCAGACTAGTTTGTTTTGTCTATGTACATATTATCCTGGACAATGTTTAAATAGTGCAGACCGATTACTGAGATTGGTACTCACGGAGGTCATCAAGATTAGCATATTATGTTAGGTTACATAAAACACTTATCACAATTTACAGCTCAGAGTTACTGAGAGCTTTCTCTTTTTTTACCTACTTTTTTTAATATCAGCTTTCAATATTGTTCTTAAAAATCCAAAACAGTCTATGAAGTATTTGATGTAGCACCATTTCTTTGCAAATGAGGTCAACTTTTCTAGGATTTATTTTCAAAAATAATCATTTTGATTTTACAAAATATATACCCCTCCCCCTCCTACCAACGGACACCATACAAATAGCCATTCGCCCCCCAATGTAAAAAATGTGGCAAAATTAGTTACTTTTGTTTTTTGCTATGGGGCAGAGCAAGCAAATTGGATTATTAGAACAGTGCAAACTGGCTTCATTCTTCAAAATGTAGAAAAACAAGGCATTTACCCATTCCCAAAATGAAGAAAAATATCTCCTTTCTACTGAAGAACAGGAGAAAGAAACAATTACAGTAGCAGTTTATAATGAATCATATATCATGGTCACCCAAGATGCCTAATTTAATATGAGTTAGAGCCAAGGGATAATAAGAAATGGTCAATACTCGCAAAAACAACTTCGTGCGGAAGGATGGATGACGACATGTGTTTATGGCAGTTCCATGACATATTTTGCCATCATCCCTTTATTCCTTTTTCCTGTCGAGACACTATCAATTTCATGTACCGTATTTGCCGGCGTAAAGGCCGCACCGCCGTATAGGCCGCACCCCCGATTTTGACATTAAAAAAAAAAAAAAAAAAAAAAAAAAAAAAAAAAAATCGTTTTTTTTGTTTTTTGTGTGTGGTTGTTGTTGTTGTTGTTTTGTTGCCGAAAACCCACGCGGGGAAGGACCTTCATTTAACATCGAGGTGCAGTTAAAGGCGCTGATTTGTGCTTGTAAACTTGTCACAAAATAATAGTAACAATGTCGTTTTTAGAAGAATGTGTAAGATCATTAATGTGAATTAAAAACAAAAGAGTACTAGGTCCTAGGATAGTACCTTGTGGTACACCATTTGTTATATAAAAAAAATTGAGGAATTATTATTATAAACTACATATTGAGATCTATTAGAAAGATTACTTTCAAACCAAGATGACAGACAAATTTTAGTGTTGTTGTAGTTTCCGAGTGGTGAGTCAACAATGATTACTGAGCTGGGAGACATTGCCAGGCATAGCGCCATAAATCAAAACTAAAAAAAAAATAAAAAAAAAAAAAAAAAAAAAAATCTTTTTTTTTACTCTTTCGCCGCATAGGCCGCACCCCGACTTTTTGATATTTTTTCTTCCAAAAATAATGCGGCCTATACGCCGGCAAATACGGTAAGCATATTTGTAGTGTGATTAAGTAGCTAGCCGAGGATAATGTATCTGGGACAGGGCATTAATGAATACCTCTTTGTTTCAAAGCTTGACCTAGAATTATTGTAAAAAGCTTGCAAAGTAATTCCGTGATTTAGGATTGTCTGTTCATATGTGCCAATCCTCCATGTTTCATGTCAAGTGCTCAAAGAAACTACCCTAGATTTTCAAGTTTTCCAGTACATATTACCTGGGACAGAGTGCTTGCTGGGAAACCTTTGTATAATGATTTGAAGTCTAATCGTGAATGCTCTCCTTACTCATCCTTGTAAAAAAAAAAATTTGCACTGTAATTCTATGATTCAGTCTCTGAAGTCTACTGTAGATTTTGTATCCATAACATTCATGTTTTTACCAAGTAATTAACATTGGTTTTCATGTGTTTTTGCCCTATCATGAGAGGGATTAGATGTGGTTTCTTGTTTGTTCTTCTGCAAGTCATCCATTTTAAGATCAGTGAGGGTCTTTAAATCAGTAGTTTAATTCTTGAGTCTTGAAGGAGTAGTTCTGTTAAGTTCTGCTTAAGTCTTCTGTATTTATTTACAAACACAACATTTCCATTTACTTGGATTTTGCTTGGAGTTCAAAAATATGCAAAAACATGATAACTAATCCCTCTATACATGATGGAATTATTTTACAAATGTTTACCCATAGAGCTCCTCAAGAAATGATTTATTTAAAAATAAATCATTACTAACTATTACTTTTTAGAAAGAAATCATTAAAATTTCTTGAAATAAATCATCTTACTTGAGAAATCCCTATTGGTGAAGATTAAAAATGTTTAAAAATGTAAAATGATTTCTTCTTTTTGAGGGAGTTCCTTATTTATTGTATTTTTGCATAATTATATGTGTACATGTATGATGAGCGCCATGTCGATTCAGAACTTAATTAACAAGATAAGAAAAAGAGAGATAAGGATGAATATAGAAAGTCCAAACGCCATCCTCTCTCCCAGATATCAGGATGCAATATCAACATCCACAGAACTGCTTTTTATTTGCACAAGTAAATTCTGAAAGATTCCATATGACTTTGTCCATGCTGGAATAAGAAAATAGCATCCCTCCGAATGATCATTGATGCTACACTACACCCTTTCTCGGTCACAAGAGTGTGCACGCGTCGACATGGGTGCCATTTTAAATTGCGAGTAAATTTTATTTCATGCAGCATGCAAAGTGCTTGTGTCGATATGATGTGAGCGCGCATCGCAGGCAGTGACGTAACAATACATGCGCGTCTAAAAATATTGATGACGTTTATTTGCAAATTAAAAAGGTGGCCTTAACCGTGAAGGGGTGTATTCATTATTATGTAAACAACATAACCATCTAATAGTTCTATGAACTGTAGCATTTGTTATCTCACTCTTTTAATGTCTTTCTCTTCCATTGTAGGATCGAGAACCTTGGAAAGGAGCCAGTCAAGTGCGGGGATATGGTCGGCGAGGGAGACAAGGTTGCCATAGCGATAACTCAGTCAGTGACACCTGTAGGCGGTGACTCGAGATGACATCACAGGACTGTCGAGGAGTGACGACAAAGAGAGCTTGTCGTTGGTGAAAGACACAGGCAGAGGAGGGACTTCTTGGACTTATTGTGAAAGAGTTCCATCAGTTCTGATCCGTTGGAGCTACGCAAATTAGAGCTTTCTTGGGATGTGGTGTCGCCTGTCTTTTCTAAGCACAGCGGTGCAGGAGGAACCATGTAACATGGAGATCATTGCTGTAAAAACGAATCAAGCTAGACGCCGATGCAGTGATTAAATGCTAATGTAAAATGCGTACATGCTTTGTAAGCCAGGCACAAAAGGGTTTTTAAGCCATTTAGCTAGCATCATCCACATATTGCTTCTGCATCTGTTAGAGCTTTCCATTCTGAACAAAAAGAAAATCATCTTATCATCATGCGATGTTTAGCTTTATAATGACTAAGGTTCATAGTGTTATGCATGCCTTATTATTGGCAAGTTGATCATGCTAATCTTAACAATCAAAAGAACACTAGAGTTATGAGAGTTAAGAATATTTTGCTTGTTTCACAATGGAAGAGACATAAATGGTAGTATAATGCAAGTAAAAATAGAATGCAGCATACCAAGTTAAATCTAGAGTGTAATACATGAACATTTCCCCTAACTCTCATTCAAATCACTCTCTTTATGTGTCTGTTTATTTGTCTTTCTGCCTGTCCTTCTCTGTCATGCTTTGTCTTTCTATCCTGTTTCTATCTATCCTTTTCTATCTTCTCCTTGTTTTATCTCCTTCTCAATGTCCCTCTTATATCTGTTTCTCTTATATCTGTCTGTCTATGAACCTCTCTCAATCTCTTCCTCTTCTTCTCTCTGTCTCTGTCTCTCTCTCTCTCTCTCTCTCTCTCTCTCTCTCTCTCTCTCTTTCTTTCTTTCTTTCTCCTTCTCTTTTTCTCTCTCTCTCTCTCTATTCTCTCTCTGTCTCTCTCTCTCTCTCTCTCTCTCTCTCTCTCTCTCTATTTCTCTATTTCTATTTCTCTCTTCCCCCCCCCCCCCCTCCTCTCTCTTTCTCTCTTCCCCTCCCCCTCTCTCTCTCTCTCTCTCTCTCTCTCTCTCTTTCTCAAGTTCCTATGAAAAGGAACATAATATCATGATTGACAGGGTACATCCTAAGTGCTGAAATCAAAAGTGAAAGTAATGAATGGTGCCTTCATAAACTCTCTTATCTATCAACGAAACCGATTATCTCTGTTTATGCCTTGAGCTTGGGCAAAGTTCATGTTATACAAAACTTTGTTTTCATCATGTCTTTCCTACAAGGAAATCCGATTGTGGAGAGCATTTTGATGAAATTATTATTAATTATGATAATGATATTATTCGGTTCTTGTGTAGCGCATATCACATTTAAACGTCTCTATGCGCTTCCAAATTAGGGAAGGTCCATGAAATGATCATTGTTATGCATAATGGTGGAAATATAAGCCATTGTGATGTGTTCTGGAACCTGTTTATATGTGAAAAGGAATGTGCAATTGACAAATCTTTCAGATTTTATTTGGCTGTTAGATATATGGTATGATTGATTTGAGTTATTTGAAATAAGGATGAATTTTGTGAACAATTGAAACAAAATATTGTTTTAGTCTATTATTAGAGGGGATACTAAATAGATTTTAGAAGTGAGATCTTAACGTTTTACTCTCTTCATGTAATGGTGTGTGAAAACCATTGATGTGCTCACATTAGAAGTCTTTATTACTCTGTATTAAAGTTTTATTACATTTTATGATAAGAAAAACCATGATAGTCATATTTCAATCAATCATCTTACTTGCTATCAAGCTTAAATATCAATATGCCAGTCTACCCATATCTATGCACATGGCTTTACTTCTTAGAATAAAATAATACACCAATCTGATATAGCGGTCATGAATATGCACATGTAAATATATACATTTTTGCGCAATCATGATGTTATTTTTCACAAGATATATTTACTGATGGTGTACTTTTAAGATAAAAGGATATTCTTCTTATTTTAAGAATGGATTCTTCTTTCAAAGCCGGATGTGAAATATTTTCATCATTCCAGATATAGTTGACTCTGAAACATTTCATTGTGCAAATTATATTTTTGGTCTTACATAGAATGAAAATAAATTAAAGTATTATGCATCACAGATAATAAAATGCAAGTTTATACAGTTATAAATACGGTAACAACAAGTTTTAGATCTAGGCATTCATCATTTCCATTGTCACAGAAATCCATTTTCTCATATTATAAATAGTTTTAGATATGAGGAAATCAGTAATAAAATATACTTTAGGGAAAGTTTACCAAAGTGATATTTCTTCATCATCCCTTTGGAAGATTTGTACAATATTGAATTTGCCTGTATTTCAAACTGTCTTTTCTATGTTTTTGTTTGTTTAGTATCATCACTATTGTTATCAACACCATTGAATGAAACAATATCAGTACAGGTAGAGGGATGTGATAGTCGCCAATAGTACATCATATAATGAAGATAATTATTACAGTTGAAGCTTCTTTTTTCTGTGTGTCATATTGAATATCATCAAAGTTATTTTTTCTCTCATCAGTCATCATATAGGTAACTTTTAATGTCATGTTGCAGAGACTTGGATCAGTCTGTTTTCCACAGAAGCCTTGTATACAAAGTGGTCAGTTATAATTTGTGAATTGTAAATTACTTTAATTTTTGACACCCATGTTGATGTAGATAATTCCTTTAATTTGGCTTTTGAAATGTCTTCCTTGAATCATCATACTTAATTGCATATATGTAACCTTTTTCATGCACTGGTTGAGTTTTTGATATATCATTGTCTCATTTCTTTATCAGAATTTGATACAGTTATGTCATAATTCAGGATGGATTGAGAATTTACTAAAGCAATTACACCTGTTTGTTTTTTAAATTGTATTGCACAATTTGTAAGCTATAGCCATATGAAGTGCTGTATATAAATAGACCTCACTTTTCACTTGTGTTATGAGGTCAACTGGTAATATGAACATATTTTTCCTTAATCACCAGGAATATATTTAATTTAAATAGTTTATGTGGTACATATAATAATAATAATAGTGGGTTCTTGTATAGCGCTCATGTCTGTCATACTTGACACTCCTGGCGCTCTCAATATAGGCAAGGATAAAGTTGAAACCCATTAGCTCGACCTTAATATCAGTAGTTAAAGCTAGTGTCCTTTTTTTTAAAATCCAATTTGGTCACTTTAGGAATGAAATTCACTTCTCTTGTACAGAATTCTAGAATGTCTTTATGTCATTGTGAAGCAATTATTTCATTAGTTATTATAATGTGGATGTTATGTAGATCTGTTTATAATTGCAATTGTGTTCTTCCTATTTTGTAGTTATTGGTTCCATTGTGCTACTGAAATATTTGTAAATATTGTTAAGTTTATGTTTGTTTGTAATGACATAGATTACCATGATTTGTATATGTTTACTTTTGGTATTAGCATTAGTTTACTATAATTTTAATACCACTTTGTTGTAGGGTAATGCAGCTTGCCATGATATTCATGACTTCATTTTGTTTAATTTGGTGCTGGGAAAGTTTTAATCAATAGATGAAGAGTTGGTAGTCAAAATGGAGGTATTCTTATAGCAATGGAATGAATACTTTACATAATGCAGTACAATGCCATTTAGCAGAATAACGAAGGGTTTTGCTCGGAAGTCACTCCTTCAAATATTTTTGTAAGAAAAATAATCGCTAAACAATTTTCATCACGCACCGTGTTATTTTGTATGTTACTTTCATGAGCAAGCATCAATTAATATGCACAAATTACAAGGTATTTAAAAAGCAATTGAGCAATTTGGTAGTGCAGTTCAGAGACATTGTCTTAGCTGTAGGTAGATTCAATCAAATGTAATGTACGTTTACCATTCCAAACTTATGTTTATGCCCTTTTATTTGTGTTTCATTTCTTGATGTTGTGAGCTATTGATTTATAGCAGTTTGTAGAATTACTTGGAATTTCATCAACAACAAAATCACAAACATGATTTCATAAGACCTTTATGATTGTAAATTGGTGTAATATGGGAATATTCTACTTAACTATACTTGCATACAAGTACTAGAAGGTATAGATACTTCAATTTACTTTATGAATGAGATGAAATTAGTTTGTAGTCATATTGCAGTTTCGTTCAAAAACAAATTCCTGAAATTCTGTAGTGAGCATATAATGTTCTGTAATAGCAAATCGACTTGAAAACGACTTTTGTGATGAAACTGTAACCATATTGCATATGATGCCTTTACCCATTTTAATCGTCTAATGCAAGAAAATAGAAGAACATACTATCAAGAATTAAGTGCAGTTTTTGTATACTAAGTAAGTATTGCTACTAAAAAAATACAATTGTGTATAATCTAGCCATCTTCGCAGAGTTTTAGGAGGGCTTTAAATACGGAAGATAATCTATTTTTGAGATTCAAAGATCAAATGTGTCATGTACCTTTTCTGATGTAATAAAATAATTTTTGTAAGAACAATGACCAGTGATATGCATCTTTTTTGTTGAGGGGGGGGGGGGTTGTGCTAATCGTACCTTTCTGTTCTGTTATAATATGTTTGTGGAATCCCTGATGTTTTGATGATGAACTAAATGTATATGAATGCATCAGTAGACTTCAAGACACTAAAAATCAAGTACCAGTAGTGCCCTGGCAAAATTAAAATGAGAAAAGCATAGAGCACTTCGCTTTCCTCTTATGTTATACAGTTCAGGGAGTACAGATCAGAACCATTGTTGTGTATGGCTTCATCTTTTTGCTTCCCCCCCCCCCCCCCCCCCCCAAAAAAAAAAAAAAAAAGTTGCCTCATGCTCTTATTTACCTGTAAAGTTTCACTGCAGTTAAAAAAAAAATAATAATTCAGGGGGGTTAAAACAAAACACCAAATATGTAGCTATTATTTAAAGTATTACGTTTTTATTAAGCACCAGGCTTTCGATATGACAATATACTTACCGTACTTAAAATTAATGTACAGCTTTAAATCATTATTTTGATTGTCTATTTTCAGTCACCAAATATGAAAGGAAAAAAATCTCAACCACATTGTTATTTAATTCAATACCGGTTGCCCCAAATTTCATCTATTTATAAATTTTAAGTGAACAAAATATGTTGGAATGTACATACATTCTACAATCAAACTAGAATTGTAGTACAGTACTTTAACTTTATTTGATGTACATCATCCCACAACTGAATGCATGTGCACGAGTACAGTTAAACCTGTCTTTAAAGGCAACCCAGCAGAAAAAGGAAAAGTGGTCACTGTAGACAGGTGGCCTTTCTAGACAGGTTCTATAACATGTTTCTTACATAGATGACCACTATATACCCACAGGGCCTTTATAGAGAGGTACCATGAAGACATGTTTGACTGTATATATTCATTGGTATTGCCATATGAATAATATTTAATATGCAATTAGACAAATATAAAAACAAATTACGAAGTATGATGGCAGTATGGACTAAATTAGCTTACAGTCTGATTGTATTAAATGGCTGTTATTATGCCTAGTTTCCTGTTATTTATGGCACTCGGAAATGTGGACTTGCCCCATGCTGTTTCAAAATCTCAAGAAAGCAAAAAACAAATAACATTGCCTACAACTTTGCAGCAAATGAGTAGACAAATATATTATAAACAAATAAAACAACCACCTATCAAGTCAAACCAGCCATAGTACAAGATAAACAAAGCAGTTTTCCACAAACATGTTATTTATAATAAAAACATGGGCTTTTCAATGAAGCTAACGAAACTCACATAAAAACAAATCAAGTACACTTTCAAGTGAGGTTTTGAATCAAGGTGCATTATAGATCAAGGTTGAAGGAATGTGTCATTGTACAGATTTGTTAATCCATGAGAGATACACAATAAATAATAATAATGTACAGGGTAACCCAGCAGAAGCTAAGCAGTTATCTTGCAAATTCTCCAAATTAGATGATTGTCATGCTATCTTCACAATGGTCGAAATATGCATGGTATTTTTAATACAAAGATGCTAATATATTGTTCATATTTTAATCCCTCAAACATTTATACCAAGTCTAAAAGATATTTTGATGTTATCAGTAACAAAGTTTCATTGCAAATGGTTCCCTGTATTTCTGAGAATTTACAAGATAAGCTCTAATTGCAATTGAGGGCCACACTATTTACCACAACTGATATGTAGACAGATTACATGCTTAACTAATTACCTTTACACCAACAAAAAAAACTATTAAAGCTACAACATAATTTGCAAATACATGTAAAGTTTGTTGAAGTTACGCATTATCTAGCACAAACTTCTGAAGGTATTTCATACCTCAATAAAGCTGTACATTGACTCACAGTGTATTCATAACATCATTGTACTCGGTATAGAAATCTACACAAGAAAGTAGGGCTTGTGTAATTCTCTACACATATACATGTATTTATGAATACAAATGGAAATTTAGAGTGGATATAGCTACGATAAGTTCTAACATTGGTAGGACAGACGATAAATCCTCTAACACCATAAAATACAGATATTCAATAAAATGTTTGAACTTTTTTGATATTCAAGGTGAATATATTCAATTTTTTGAACTTTAATTCTTTGGTATTTAATGAGCATGCAACAAATCGTCCCTATTTTCACCAAGTGACGGTAGTGAGGAAATTCGTAACGCAAAGTGAATGCAATTTTTTTTCACTACCGTCACTTTGTGAAAACAGCGACGAAATGTCATATCTTAACAGTTTCCAGCATTTTGGTTTTGTTTGTTTCAGGTTCGTTTTCTTTCACGACTCATTATCCTATTCTAATGCAACATAATATCAGCATCAAATTAAAGTAGTATGCAACAGCAATTTTGTGATTATCATTGATTTTTTTTCTTCACAGTTGATTAATAGATAATTAAATAATTGAAATCATACCTTTTCCCAATACAATTTCCAACACATCTAAGAAGAAGATAAAGTAAAAAAAAGATTTAAAAAAAAAAAAATTTGATTGATAATCCTTCACTACAATTCAAAGGTAAACCTTCAAACAGACATCAAACATTAAAATGGCAAGCTAAGCACATAGAAAATATCTAACCAATAAACAAAATTCAGATATACATATATTATATATACAGATCACCATCAAATTCACCCTGGTAGAATATTGCAATGACCATGAAATCATGAAGAAGAAAAAAATTGAAAAAGTTGAAGACGATTTCAACACCTATCTAAGCAGTTTCCACACCTTTCAAGCACATCTTACTGTATTTCATTGCAACTTATGCAAAATAAGTGCAAAGAAGATAGCAGAAAGTGCTGAATTTCTAACAGTTAATTCAGTGTCTCTTATTTTCTTTTTATCAAAGTACTGAAAAATTACAAGAACAAAGTAAAATGACCCGCATGCATACGGTACATGAGATGAGTTGAGAGAATAACCTTCAATGCAAATGCATTGTATAGCAACACTATTTCTTCAAATGTTAAGGTTAATGCCCACTATACCACCCAACGGCAACCTAATTTTTGAAAATATTGAAATAACATGAGAAATAATGGCCATATAGTCACAGTAGAATAAGGGACACTCTTGCAATTGGTCTGATGTGAATACGATTCAAAGCAGATTGAACCATCTCTGTGATTGAAAAAACCCACAATACCTGCGACAAAAAAATCTCTAGAACACAACTATGCATCAAATTTGATAAACGTATGGAACCTCTGTCAATTGTTTGATTGTGCAATGCATTATAAATTTCCTATATATTAACACAATTCAGGATGTATAAAGTATTTTCATGGGCTGTATGCATGGAAGGCTGTCTTCAATGATAATGTCATTTCATCCTGAGTTTCATAAAACAGTGAAAGTCCTAACTTTCAATCGCTCTCTGATGACATGAGCCCTCTGTTGTCTGAATCAGATCCAAAGGGTATGAGATTGGAGTCCGCAGCAGAAGATGACCTTAAAGACTTGGCAAGCCTGGCCTTTAATCTCTTATTGTCTTGAGTAGCACTCTGCCATACAACCTCTAACTGCTCCTCAACTTTCCTATAAGAAAATTTAATCAATAGACCTTGTTCATATATGTATTACATTACAAGATTACAATAAAAAAAAAAAAAAAAAAAAAATAATAATAATAATAATAATAATAATGATAATAATAATAATAAAAATGAATAATAAAAAAATATATAAATAATAATAATCACATTTATTACACTGATTTTGTTCATTTTTGGCTTATAAAGGAAACTTTTGAAGCCTAGATGATATAGAGAATTTTCAATTTGACTTGTTAATATGCAAGTATTACAACAATTAGAACTTGATGCTGGTGATGGTCTATACCAGATATTTACTAGATATAAATATTGAATAACTTGTTCAATATACATACACACAATATTATCCCAGCTCTTTAAAGATAGGCTACATATTTCGGTGCTCACATCATCACATATTTCGGTGCTCACATCATCCTAGGAAGTCCTTCCTACCGGTACCCATTTAACACCTGGGTGGAGAGTGGCAAATGTAGATTAATGTCTTGCCAGAACTTAACCCAAATTGCTACAAAATCATTTACATGGATACAGAAATAAAGACTCACTGTTTATCAGCTGCAACTTCGTCCAGCGCATCTTGTTTCTCTCTGACTAGCTGACCGAGATGTTTCATCTCTCTCTCGTACTGGCTCAGTCTCGATGTATGAAACTCATCTTGGTCCTTCATACGACCTACAATGTCATCTATTTTATCACCAGCTCTCAGCTTATACATCTGTCATCATCAAAGATATTGTACTAATGTTAACAAGTTTCAGAGGTGATGGTGAGCACCAAAAAAAAAGGGGGGGGGGTTTCCTCAACCATCCGCCTCTTGAGTACCAAAAAAAAAATGATTCAGGAAAAACAAATGGCATCTACCAACATTTTGAGTTCGAAAATTGGGAAAAAATATAGAAAAATAGGGGTTAAATCGGGAGAAAAAAAAATTGGGAAACTGATTTAAATCGGGTAATTATCAGGCCTACAAATCTATGTGTCTCCTTCATTTTTCAGTAGCTCATGGGGAGTACACCCCCCCCCCCCCCCTACCCAACTCCATACCACTTTCTATTCTTTCCTCTTTTCTCCATAATCCTCATCGTTTTCTCCATAATTTCTTCATTTTAATTTTTTTTCCTCTTCTTTATTTATTTTACTTCCACCTTTTCCCAGCATATCTTCTAAGCTTTAAAATATTTCTGTGAATTTTGACTTAATTCCTCCATATCTCCATCTAAGTTATGCAATAAGGCTACATCTTCATTTCTATATTCCATTCTTTGACTTCTTAGCTGATGTTCTCTCAGTTAATTTTTACATACTTTGTTGGTATATTATCTGTTATTTGATGCAACACAATGTGATATTTATATCACTGAGATGAATAGTAAGTTGTAGGGAGGTTTTTGTGGTCCCTTAATTACCTTGAGTTTTTCTTCCATTCTGCCGATGGCAACATTGCCAGCTATCATCTTGTTCACTGCTCTCTCTTTCTCCTGGGCTTGTGTATGTGCCTAAAGAAATATAATCACAAATTCAGAATGCAGGATAAATATATTAGTTTGCTGTACATCATAAAATTGATTCTTGGATAACTTCTCCTTGGAGTATACCCCCCCCCCCCCCCCCTTACTTGGGTAAAATGTTAGGGGTAAATCCTTTTACAAGGTAGCTCTCAGCATTTAGGAAGACAGAGAGAGAGAGAGAGAGAGAGAGATAGAAAGAGAGATGGAGAGAGAATAAATACAAAATACTTGCAGACAGAATAAAAGATTGAGTCAAATAGAAAGAAATACTATAAGACAACATAACGATGAATGAGAAAACAAAACATTAAAACAGTTGCAAGGAAGTTTGCAATGACACGTAACCTCACTTATGGAGCAACACAGGAGAAATTCTAAAACATCCTTCCCCAGCCCCCCCCCCCCAAAAAAAAAAGAGAAATTAATAGACATATGACAAATGAATAAATAAACAATGTCATGTGAATTTGACACTAAAGTAAAATACTTACCATCTTTTTGTATGAATCTCTCTCTGCAGCCGTCTGTTCAGCTATCTCCAGGACTCTATTGAGATGCTGATTGGCTGCCTTCTCTCTGGCTTCTGAATGAGATAACTCCTTCTCTAGCATCGTCAGCTTGTGCTGTAAACGTCTGTATGAGAGAGAAACGGAGAGAGAGAAAGGGAGAGACAGAGAGAGAAAGAGAGGGAAAGAGAAAGAGAAAGAGAGAGAGAGAAGAGAGAAAAAAAAAATTGGGTAACAGAGGAAGAGAGAGAGAGATTGGGGGGGGGCAGATAAAGAAGAGGAGAAAGGGAGATGATGATGGTAAATGTGCTTTATATTGATGAGATGGAAATGCTTACATGATCTACATTACATACAGATACATGTTATCTACACTTCATATAAAAAAAATCATATTTAATATGGCCAGTAATGACAACTTTTATATTCTTGTTTTCTCTCATTTAACAATCCATTCAATAACCTTTTGGGGGAATTTATGCTGTAATGAAAAAAATATGCTGTTAAAGGGATTCAAAATGGTTTCAGTACATCTCTCCATTTTATTAAGTTCATTATTCAAATCCAAATATCCCCATGTCATACAGCAGAATCATGCCCCAGCTTTAAAAAAATAAAAATAAAGGATATGCCCTTAATCATATAAAGAAGTTAAGAGTATAGTAAGTTCAGATCAGACTAAAAAATTCATATGTGATGCATATATTTAGGTATTCAGAACTTGCTAAATTATCTTGTTATATCTTGTCATCTATTGATTTGTCTTACTTCTGAGCCTTTAGCATTGCTTGTATCTCTCCTTTGAGTTGACTATTCTCTGCTTGATAGTCGACTACTCTCATTGCTACACTCTGCTTCTCTGTCTCTACAGCCGTCAGTCTGGAGAGTGTGTTCTCTGTCTCTGCTTCGACCTGACGCTTCAGGTCATGCATACTCCTACCAGAGAAAATAATTAAATAATAATAATAAGTTATATATATATATATATAGCGCTCAATACAAATGTTTCTAAATGCTTTAGATCAATTTGTAAAAACAATCAAAAGTATCGTATATGATTAAAGAAACCAACGACCTATGAACTAAATTTTAAAAGGAAGTAGTAAGCACTATCAGGGAAAATATAGGGAATGGACAATAAGGAAGAATGTACCAAAGTTCACAAAATACTGCAAGTAACATATTCTTAAAACTAACATATAAAGACAAAACATGATGAAAGACATTAAAAAGACAGAATAAGTAACAGATGTCTAGAATGGAATTTAAAAAAAAAAACATTGTCAATGATGCACCTAAAGTGTCTAGATTGTACTGACAATCACAGACAACTTGCTGACTGAGACAAATCTACTAACACTGAAATAGGGCATTTTAAATATCATGCTTATATAGCTGTCTACCCTAAATGCTTATATTACAGTAAACAGGTATCTGTTAACAATATGGCACTGCTTCTACGTTTTTTTTAAAAACTTTTTAAAATACAAGATGGTCTACATGGTGGTCTATAAAAAAAAGTGGAGGAATCAATGTATCAGCTATCCTTCTCCCACAGAAATAGGCCATTCCACACTTATTTGAAAGTTAAAATTAAGTTCTTTATCTTTTGGTATTGAGAAAATTAAGCTCTTTGAGTTGTTCTTACCTCTTGTACTCTGCAACGGTATTAAGATGTTCTTGTACCGGCATCTGGCTCTCGACCTCTCTGACGGATCTCTCATGTTGGTCCTTGAGGGCACCGTACTTTATTTGTAGCTCGGACAGCTCACTCTCCACTCCATTCTTCTCCGATTCTACCAGGGTCAGACGTTTTGTAAGTCTTATAGCTTGATTTATAAAATAAGAAAAAGAACCATATTACATATAAAATTCAATGGTGGAATATGCATATCAAGTATGAAAGTCTGTACTCTGGAACTTCTATTACAGAGCTTTGAATATGAGCACTAGCATAAAAGATACAAATATAAGCCAGATAATCTCACAACAAATTTTTTTTGTTAATATTGATTCAAAGGCTTTTGATTTTTTATTTGATTAATCCTGGTTGATTAATTATTTAAGTGCTATTATCAGAAGGCTAATATACTCTGAACTCTTACTCCAAGGGACCTGCAGTTTTATGTCCTATCTGAAAGCCTTGGTAACTGAGGATTCGATTCAAAGGGTGCTGAGCATGAACTTGATTTAAGCCAACTTTAATTGCTTTAAGACCACTTCTCTAAAACCAACTTTGCTCGTTTTGATTTTGTAATCTAACCATTAACTGATCACAGTATCAGTTTACTTTCCTGGGCGCGGTTTCTCTGCTGATCACAGAGTTTATTCTATTGCAGGTCCATCTGTTTTGTAATAAGACCTCTTGATTTGAACCTGGGACCTAGATCCCATTTTAGAATCCACCTCATTTACCACTAGGCCTCATCTAACCTTATCTAATTGCCTATCTTTGAAAATTGTACTTACTTTCCTGAGCATGTTTCCTCTGCTGCTCATGGAGTTTCTTCTGTTGCAGGTCCATTTGTTCTAGGACCACTTGATTTTCCTCCAGGACTAGTTGAGCCTGTTCTTCTATTTCATTTAACCTGGAACAGAAAGGGAAAAATTCCACTTTATAGTTTTTAAAAAGATCATGATCTATTCTTTTAACTGTAAAATAACTTGCTATCATATATTCCTATCATCTTTTCTAATATACTCTTTGCATATACATTAGTTCATTTATATATTCACATTTACGATTTTATTTCATTTGTAACCCATATAAATAGCTTTTATCCCCCTCTCTCTTTGCCTGCCTCACTCTTCTCTCTCTCTCTCTCTCTCTCTCTCTCTCTCTCTCTCTCTCTCTCTCCCTAGCTCCCTCCCTCTCTCTGTGCCTCTCTCTCTCTCTCTCTCTCTCTCTTCCCACTTGTTTCTCTACATCTCTGATGCATCTTCCTTCTATTTCAGCAGCTACCCTGCAAGTCTAGAAAACAAAATAACCACTTCAACATATCGAGTGCATGGGCATGCATTATTTTTAGATTTTGTTTTTGTTACTGAAGTAAAGGAACACACCACTTACCAGCTCTCTGATTTCTTGGCCTTTGGCCCCACCCCTCCACCGCCGGTCTCCTCCAGCTTCCGATAGAGCCTCTGGTTCTCCCTGATCACCTCCTCTGCGCTCCTTCTCAGCTCCTCCACCTCTTCTACGTTCACCTGGATCTCCTCCTCCTTCTCCATGAGTTGAGCCTCGTAGGCGGTGATGAGAGGGGAGAGGTACTTGGTGTCTGTCAGCCATCTTGGGGTGCTTCCCCTGGTGGGTAGACCTGGGGGATCCCCCTTCTGAGAATGAGAAAATACAGGGAAAGTGTGTATAAGGGTCATTCAAGGGAGACAAGAAATTATTATGCACAGGTGGTCTTTGTGTACAGGTTCTTTTAATGCATGTTTCAACAATAATTTTTTTCAAGGGAAACACAACATTTAGGTTACTATAGCAGGCTTAATCATATGAAAAGAACAAATTCACTAATTTTGAATACTTATTACGGTTGAAATACTATATCATTTCGGGGGGGGGGGGTATTTCTTTTTTTAACTCACAATCTTTTTAGACATTTATAGTGCAAACATTTCATCTGATATACATGTATAAACAGCTACCAGTACATACCTGCGGAGGTGCGTATTTGGCTTGGTATCTACTGAGCTGAACGTTGAGTTTATGGATGACATTTTTAAGCTCTTCATTGTCCTGTATCACAGCCCCTGCCTGCTTTTTGAGTTGATTCAAATACATCCCTGCAGAATTTCAAGAACAATTTTTTTTTGTTAATCTTAAATGCACAAACACTGTGGAATTTCACAGTTCATTAAAGTAATTAAATCACTATTATCATCACCATCCAGTACGTGTGTTTGGATACTATTTGATCCTGGTTTCATCATTCCATAACCAGCATAAAGTCCTGTCATATTTGTTTCATCGTCCATCATCATCATTGTCGTCGTCATCATCGTCGATATCATCATCATCATCAGCCTCATCATCGTCACCATTGTGATCATAGTGGTCATAATCGCAGACATCATCATCGTCTAGATCATCATCATCACGGAAGTCTTCATTATCGTCGACATCATCATTGTCATCATCATCATCATCGTCATCATCATCATCATCGTCATCATCATCATCCACCCTCCTCTTTCTCCTCCACCCCTCATCATCAACATCCAACCTCCCCTTCTTTATCCACCCCTCACCATCATCTTCCTGATTAGACTGAGCCATGTCTTGTAGGGTCATATTCTCTCCCTTGAGTCTTTTGTTGGCCTCTTGAAGTACCCGCTTCTCATCTCTCTGGCGATGACAAGTATCACTCAGTTCTCCCACTTGAGCCTCCAGATCACCTATGAAAGACGTCAACAAATAAGGTAAACTTTGTCACAACTCTTTGACATAGCATTTAAAATATTATTGGATTAATATTGCACAACAAATAAATAGTACATATGTTTCTTTCTACAAATTAAGTACTAAACCAGGGCTAGAGATTTAGCTCCCATATACATATTGCATGGGATCAGAACAAACTACAAATGGATAGAATCTGTGCTTAAAGTGCTGAAAACATTTGAAGAATAGGCTTATTGCAGAGAGTAATCATTATACAGAATTCAGGTATTCATATGGCTACAGAAGAATCGTTAGCAATTGGGTTTTGATCAATCTACGTTCATTTCACATAGCGTGACTAGTTCATATGTAGAATAAGAACACATTTCAACTATACCAGCAGCCTGGGTTAATTATGTCTTGTAGTTGCCCATGGAGCATATCGTCGGCCGGGTGGCATAAGGGCGTTAGCGCACGAGCGACTCGAAAACTACTTTTCAAATTATTTGCATTTAAAGATTTGTTTTATATTTATACTGCTTTTCCATCCCGAAAATTGGCTTAAAACATAAAAGACTAATAGAAATGTTGTAGTAGAACACGGCCACAATTTTTTTCTCTAAAATAAGTCAGTTTTATCGAAGTTAGAGGCGATTTAGTGCTAACGTCCTTCTGCTTAAAGTTTCATTATTGATCTGAAATTCCAGCTAATGCCCTTCTGCCAGCCAGGCGACGATATATGATAACACTTTCCTTTACTATAGTAACTTACTGACAAGCCCCAAGGATTTATTCAAATCTGTTCTCCTGCCTCTCTCTTCTACCAATTGCTTCGTGCGTTGATCTAGAGTGTTCATGAGATCATCCCTCTCCCTTTGTATCAGATCCAACTCCGTCTCCAGTCTCTCGTTTGTCCTCCTCAGGTAATCATCGCTGGCGGACTGGTTGAGGGAATCTGCCCGGCTAAGATGACTGTAGATGTCTGCGTGATATTACAAATAAGGTACAGTATTAGCTATATGTTACACACATCCTAGATGCGATTGCTAAATACTGCATCGAAATGGTGACTTAAAGCCCCATTGCACTACTTGTATCTACTTGCTCCCTCTATATAGAAAACAATGCCTAAGCGGTGCCCGTTGGTCCCCCATGATCCTCTTTTTCTTATGTTAATTGAGAGCTGAGTTAATGAGATAACCATGCACCTGTCAGTGACCACGATGGGTGGTCTAATCCCTCCTGGCCAAACTAGTACAGATGGGCTTTAAAACAGAGAAATTTACAATCATTCCAATATGCAATATCCTATTTTAGTTTTTAATCAAGTTCATCTTTCAAGAAATAATGACATATAGTGCCTTCATTAAAAACATTTAGTAAAAATTGTTTTAAATTTGTATTCACATAAACAAGTACCTTTACTTCAAGAACTAGCAGGACCCGCGGAAATCCGCGGGATTCTAGAGGGGGGCGGGGGTGAAATAGATATATAGAGACTGTCTAAATTAAAACCACCAAGAACTTTGCTTGCCATTCAGGCCATTAAAAAAATATACATGTTGAGCGTCCCCGCCCGATTATTTTTGGGGACCGCCTCCTATTTATTTTTTAAATTTTTTAAATTTTTTTAAACATTTTTAAAAAAAAATTTGTAATTGTTTAATATTTTTTTTTTTTTTTTTTTTTTTTTTTTTTTGAAAGAAAAAAAAAACAGCGTCCCCGCCTGCTTCCTTTTTGGGGGCCGCCTCCTATTTTTATTTTTTTTATTTTTATTTATTTTTTTTTTTTTGAAAGAAAAAAAACATGAAAAACACTGCTAAAATGTATTTCTGTTTTTAAAAAAAAAAAAAAAAAAAATTGTCGGCCGCCATCTTGAAAAATAGCCAGAGTGTCAGGGAAAATGTACGGAGCGGCCATTTTGAAAAAAAAAAAAAAAAAAAGGGCCTCCTCCTTCCCATTTTTCAAAAAAACAGGACGCTAAACATGTTTTTTTTTTTAATTTGGCCTTATATATAAAAAAAAACAAAAACGATCCAACTGTACCTGTAGTTATTCTTTAAGCCACTGGAACTGCGTAGAGTTCCGTAGTGTGGCGTACCGACTACGCAGAAATTAGGCTGCATATTAATGGGAAAATAGTCCCTGCGTAGGTTATGCGTAGGCTGGCGTACAGGTTTGCTTATGGTTGCTTACTGTGTAGAAAGCTTTTACTGCTTTGACGATCTGGCGTAGGGTAGCGTACTGTTGCGTAAAAAGGCGTACTTTCTGCGTCAAGTTTCTACGCCGAAAGTACGCGAAAAAAATTAAACATGTTGAATTGTTTTCGTTCATCTTGCGTACCTCTTTCCGTCCCTCAGCATATAGTAACGTAGGCCAGCGTAGTTGGTACGCAACACTACGCAACTCTACGTATTGACCCCACGCCAATTAGTGACCCGCAAGTGTCACAAATAAAGTATTAAAAATATGCTTATCTGACCCTAAACGCCTAAACCCCCCAATCTTTCGGGGGTTTATGGCCCCTTGAAACCCGTGGACCCCACGCCTATATTGTATATACACTCAACTCGCCGCGATCTGATCTCTCCCCCCCCCCCCCCCCAACTTTGAAGAACGTAACCCCCGAGCTTTTGGGGGTTTATGGCCCCTTGAAACCCGTGGACCCCACGCCTATATTATATATACACTCAACTCAGGACCCGCGGAAATCCGCGGGATTCTAGAGGGGGGGGGGGGCGCAGGCAAAAAATTAAGTTTTTTCATTTCGGGGGCTCCATTTCGAATTTTGGGAAATTTTCGGGGGCTACTTTTTCAACTTTCGGGGGCTCTTTTTTCTGGGGCTACTTTTTCATTAATTCATAAAAGGATAGGCCTACACTTTGTTGAGATTTGTTTAGTAGGCGAAGGTTTCAGGCTTAATACTTAATAGGTCTAATTGCCTATTTAAAAAAACAACATTTTTCTAGTTCAATAACTAAGTTTTCATGCATTGCTTTGATGCAAGAACTGTAACATAATTAATAGATCTAGATTGTGATTATTTTCTGACCATGAATTTCGATAATCATTTTTCAAAGTAAAATTTTCACAAGAAAATCAGACAGTCGTTTAAAAACGTAGACATTAGTAATACTTTTACTAATTCTAAGCTCAGGTTTCGTAAATCTATTCACGAAACTATATTGAAATCGTGATGCAAACCAACAGATAACAATTTCAAAGTGTCAAATCTCTTCGACTCGAGCTCAGCTCAGCTGATCGAACTCGCACACACTCCAGCGTAACTCCATGAAGCTCGAACACCGACGCCGCAGGCCTCGGAAGCCTGCGCTGCGCGGTGCCGGTGTTACACTGCACTGTGTATGTGTGAGGACTGAAGGCAGCTTGCGACTGCAACTGTCAGTCCAATGGTTTTCTTGTGAAAACTTTCCTTTAGAAAGTGATAATCAAAATGTAGTATACATTAGTATACATTAACCGTCATAATCACAAAATAAGCTTTGATTTCATACCTCCATTCACGAAAACTATATCAAAATCGCGGCAATCATGATGGAAATAGGTCTCTAAGTTTGGACGTGGACGGGATCGAAGCTTCGTGTGTATCTCTGCGGCTTATGCAGCTACTACAAAGGATATCCTATACAAAGATGCTTTACTCGGGTAAGCCCGACCGTGTGCATCGTGCATTTAATACGCAACTTAATGTGAGTTGCTCGTCGTCTGTCGTGTGTCTACGGATGTAATGTTGAATATCCATGAGGTGTCTCTGTCGTCACGCATATCCTGCATTATGCATATCGCGTCTGTTTTCGCCCTGGACGTCGACACGGAGGAGGACCTCGGGCGGAGTATAGCCAATTCGCTAGAGTAGACTCTCCCGCGGACGACGGCACCGGGCACGGGTACCCCGAGGGCAGGGTTCAGGAGGAGATAGCCGCACCAACTTGGGTCGGCGATCTCATTAAAAAACAATAGAATACAAAGGCCGGCGGAGACGTCATGCTCCCCCGCGGAGCCTTAGCGTATTACTATTATAGACATTCACTGGAATAGTTTACTGATTTGCTAGCCAATCAATTAACAAACAAATCTGAGATAAAGCATTATTTTTTAGCTGGAATATATACAGTAAGGCCCATATTTTCAAACCTTACCTCAGGAAAACAGTTAAGTTACAGTTATTGCTATAGACACGTGGCCTTTATAGAGACAGAGCATCTATGCATGGCAGGTTTGATTAAAATATGTAAATTATGCATTGTATAGAGCAGCATTATCACTTACCATTATCTTGAGGTGTAACAGGGGGCGGAGCTGCAGTATACTGGTTGTTGTCTACTCTCACTTTCTCGATCATCTGTCAGATATAAGCAGAGCTTGAGTATATTGATACCTGTTTATATCTATGCAATCAATTATAAAATCTTAAAAGAAATCAATTTGCATAAAACTTGCAAAGAGATCCAATGCAGATTGGAAGAAAATGCTCAATGTGTCCTGTAGATGTTCTGTTGTAATTGTAAAGGTGTATTATTCAAAACTGATTTCAGTATTTGGATTGACAATAGCTTCACTCCATATACACATGTACATACACATTATTTTATCTCTGATTATTCACTTGTATTCCATTTACATGTTTTTGTTTGTTTAATAAATCTCAATCAATATGAAACGTATTTCAGATTGTGCCCCATGCAGGCTCCACCAAGTCTTGAAAATGAAGTATTGAAACCAAGTTGGAAACTTGAGATGTGACTCGATTAAATATATAATATGGTATGTAATAAATGATAGAGATGAATATTATACAGGTATGTGAGAGATACAACTTACAGGTTCATTCACAACATTCTTTGTTTTGGATCGTCCAGATTTCTTTTTGCTCCTTCCAGAGACCACCTCGGGATTGCCGAGATCTGTTATGAACAAAAACAACAAAAAAGAAATTAAAAACAGAATAAACATAAAGTCTTACACGCAATGAAGCAATAACAATATACTTATTCACTATGAATCAAATGAGACAAAACTGGTACAACTAAAGACAATTCTACAGTGAATAGAAAATTACTTTCTGGGATACTTTCTTACTGATAGAGGAATTACCATGTGAATACAGTGATTGATAAGCAAACACAAAACAACTCAAGATAAAAAAGTATTTCCATTATCTTTCTACTCCACTTTCCTTCTTTTTTAAGTATGAAATTCATCAATAACAGATACAGTCAAACCTGTCTATAGCGACCGCCCAAGGGAAACACAAAAAGTGGCCTTTGTAGGTAGGTGGTCTTTGTAGACAGGTTCCTTTAGTACATGATTCAATAAGAAATCATTTTCAAGGGAAACAACAAATGTGGCCTTTGTAGGCAGGTGGTCTTTGTAGGCAGGTGGTCACTAAAGCAGGTTTGACTGTAATTGTATTTGTTTTAATGTGATGGGTTCAGATATATTTGAAAAAGAAATACATATTTCATATCATATTTTTCAAAAATGCATATCACTATTTTTAGCAGAGTAAAGCAGAGTCATATCCTGAATTTCAGGGCAAATGACAACACTCCAATTGAAACCCATATTTATTGTGGTTTACCCATATGCTAATGTTAAATCACAAACCTGGTGATTGTGGCTTTCTTTTCCATGATGGTGTAGGTGAGATGAGATCTGAGAAGTCGTCTGCTGACACTCCGGTAAAGTCACTCTCATTGGATAATATAGATGGATGCCTCTCTAATGGCTGCAAGAAACAAAGAAGGTGCATTGAGGTTTTGAATTATAAGTATATATAATTCACCAAGACTCATACATATTGAACTCCCAGAAAATGATTTGAGTAAAGAAAGCTTCATCTAAAGGATGCAAGAAACAAAAAAACAGCTCCAGTCAGTTGGATAGTTTAGAAATTTGTTTTTTACAAGAATATATTACTTCTTAAATGATTGATTATCAGGATAAAGGGTTATTTTCAATTTAATCACTGGCACTTTACTAGACAAACAAAAGACCCTAGAAATTAGTACCATAAAAGATCATAATTATTGTGATAAAGGATTATTAGTTAGCTGCCCAGCAAGTCAAATATAGATACTTTATGAAGTGGCAAAGTCTCACTAAGTCTCACTCACAATTTATATTATCTTTTCTGATACTTGGTATAGAGTCTATACAATAATATATTATTTTTCCCTCTAAAATTCCCAAGAAAATGAAATGAAATTAGCCAATTTAGTCTCTTTCATAACTGATCTAGCAACAACAACAAAAACAAAAATCAAACAAAAAAGAGCTCATTGTGTGTAGCTTTTTTTCCTCCCACAAAAAAAAAGAAGAATTTTAATATAGATTTGTCCATGTACTAAAGACCAAATTGTATTCAAAAGTGAAGTGTGTTAAACTGTTTGTCAGTTTATAAATGAATTTTTGAATTTAACACAATTGATAGGCAGAAATCGTGGGAAATTGAATAAGCTAAGAAACAAAGCTAGGATAAAATAATATCCTTACCTCATGCTTTTTAATAGGCTGAGCATATAATCCTTCAAACTCATCAGTACCATTCTTTCCTTTCTTCTGTTTCTTCTCCTTCTCTTTTGCTTTCTTCTTTTTCCTCTTGCCAGAATTTCCTCCACTATCTGCCCCATCCAGGGCTCCTGGAGAGTACCCTTGCTCATGACCTTCATGATGACCTTGTGAATAACCTTGAGGATGACTTTGTGGAAGACTTTCCTCATAATCTTGAGTATGGATATCTGCAGCATGGCTGGTGCTTGGCAATGTTGATGGATCCCGGGGAGAGGGAACCGGTTGAGACCGGTTTGTGTCGGTTCTGGTGCGGTCTGTCAGTCTGGGCGATTCTTCTTCTGATGTGGGCGGGGTCTCGAGCCTGGCCCGATTTGATATGGTGCCCCTCTTCTCTTCAGAGAGCATTTTTTGGATGTCTCCCACTCGGGCATAACTAGAAGAATTGAGATATTGAACACAGAAGTAAATGGAATGCAATAGAAACACCTAAGTGCTCAAAAATGTATTCTATCTCGTAAGTCTATTTATTTCTATTTCTGCCCTCATTAATGCAATTTCATTTTTCCTAAAAAAAGGATGTTCTTTATTGAGTGCTTCTAATTCAATTTGAATTTCAAACTGACTTTGGAAAAATTGCATTCTTAAATAAATCAAATGGTACAAACTGTATTGTTATACCAATACCTTAATTTCTTGGTTAAAGTATGTACCAGTTTGCTTATCTGGAATAATTTAGGGTAACATTGGATGCAAATAATTTACTATGCAAAACATAGTACCAAATGGGCTATAATTCCAAAGTTGCACATGAGCACGATTCCCTTGTAAAAAGGAGATGAAGAAAGACTGCAAGCTTACCCAGGATCATCATTGTACTCCATCTCACGCTGTCTCCTACTGATCCCCATATAATCCAGATCTTCATCGTCGTCATCATCCTCCTCCTCGCTGTCCTCGTAATCATACATGCTGCTCCGCGCCATGCTGCCACTCTCCAGATGACGCTGCACCTCTGCTGCATCCACCCCTCCTCCTTCTTCTCTGGGTGTGAAGTCACCTGTAGCTCTCAGAGTGCTGTTTGGTGATGGGCTTGCTGTTTATATTGGAATGGAGTTTCATATTGTTGAATAAATCATACCTACATAATTTGTAGCTTATGAATATCAGGAAGTTTAGTGTAAGGGATTTTCCAAAGATTTGTTTACATTCTTGCAAATAATTAACTGTTGATTTATAACACTGAGAAAGCCTTAAAATATAATTTCCCCTTCATCAATGTGTAGATAAAATGCTTTATATATATATATAAAATTATATTCATCTACATCTATAAATAGATTGTTATTGTCATATCAGCCCATTCTTCAGTCAATTCAATGTTTCAATACTTTCTAGTCTTTTTATTCTCTGACCTAGGCCTATTCTCTTTTGCAAACATTAGTCAATGGTAGGCGGCACCCATGAAACCTCTTCTTTTTATAGAATTAAATTTCATTTTCTTCATTTGAATATTATTTCCAGAATTTCTTTATTACTTTAAGGAGATTCTGCTCTTTTCATTTCGCATTTATTATTCACATTATTGAATCAAGCAGCCTCACCTATTGCTCTCCCTACAAAAGTAGCATCCATGATGGCGCTAGATAATGCTGATGCTGGCCTAGAATGACTAGGGGCAGGGCTCTGGGCTGGCTTAGGAGGCTCCGGGGATCGAGGCACAGCAGCGAAAATGGCTCGAGGGAACAACGCTGTCCCAATACGGGACTGCAAAAGTAAACATAGATATACTCAAGGTTCACTTCTTGATACAGGTTAAGATGCCTCTACGAGTCTATGTCCAGATCCTGGTTAATTGATAGTATTCTGATAGTACACAGTGTAGTTCATAATCAATTGATTGTTAATAATATCAAAGCTGTATCTTCTTCATGTACTTTAGTTTAAAAGGGGAATTGTCTTTCAAATCTGTAATCAAGTGGAATTCTTAAAGGAAACAGTAATACAATTCAAAGGTTGCAGTACTCAATAAAGCAGACTCAGATATGTAGAATCTCCTTCCAAAAATATTGAAAAAGCTCAATGTCATTAAGATTCTAAATTATAATTGATAATTATAACATCAAACAGGTATAAAAACTTTCATCTAAAGTTCACCTTTATTTAAAAATTGAAATCATTGAAATCAACAGGTTTATTAACATCGAGCAGAAAAATATATTTCCTCAGGACGTCAAACTTGTGATAATAAATTTGTGTCAAGGACAGGGTTGTGAAACAATTACGGTTAAGAAGATGAGCATAGGCTACATTAGACCGAATTTTCCGTCTCTTTCGTTCGTTAGCCTCTTATTGGGGTAGGGTCGGCCGGCTCTCTCTTTAGAGACGGAAACCGTCTATACACATTCCCTTGATAACGCCACGGCCATTTCAGGTCGTAGCGTTTTGCCCCCAAAATCCCCCAAAATGTCATTTTACCTCATGCATTGATTATTTAAAATTAGGAGAAGGTTATACTACATCGGTTCCACTTACCAACTTGACTGAAATAATCCATTTAATGGTCCCTTTTAAGGAAATTATGGGTCAAAATCGACATCCATGTTGAAATCTTGCAAGCCGTGTTAAACTCTCGCTGCGCACGGAGTCATCTGTGATAACGCCATTACGAACGTGTAGATGGCGCACAGTTTTTCCTTCATAATCGTTTTGCCTTCGGCGTAGACTAGAAGGGATGAGATTGATTTAGATGACTCCGTGCGCAGCGAGAGTTTAACACGGCTTGCAAGATTTCAACATGGATGTCGATTTTGACCCATAATTTTCTTAATAAAAGGGACCGTTAAACGGATTATTTCAATCAAGTTGGTAAGTGGAACCGATGAAGTATAACCTTCTCCTAATTTTTTATAATCAATGCACGAGGTAAAATGACATTTTGGGGATTTTGGGGGCAAAACGCTACGACCTGAAATGGCCGTGGCGTTATCAAGGGAATGTGTATAGACGGTTTCCGTCTCTAAAGAGAGAGCCGGCCGACCCTACCCCAATAAGAGGCTAACGAACGAAAGAGACGGAAAATTCGGTCTAAGGCTACATGAGACAGTGCAGCGTGAACTACAACATAAAATTAAGACGAACTTCCTGAAGAGTGAAGGAACAAAAAAGACCTAATTACTTGCTTATCATTTATTGATTTCTTCATTTATTTGTTTGCAACTTGGACATGTCAATCATTTAACCATAGAATTTCGTGTTGGCGATAGACAGACCCTAGGCCTACTAATTTTCTGTATTTGCTCTTCTTCTGATTTTTTTCTTCTTCAAAGTTCAATTTAAAAATCCGGCACTAGGGTCTAGGCTATATTGCTAAATAATACATTTGCAAGATACATTTCCATCATTTCATTCACCAGATCCTCGTTTGTTTGGGCAATACCATTCTACACATAAAATATAATTATCTCAAGAGACTGAAGAAAAACAACCTTCAAAATCAGTCGACATCGGAGAATTCATACAGCGAAAACCCATGATTGCACATAACAAGACATCAAATTAAATGTATGGGACCAGAGAAGAAAGTGAGGTGTTGCTTAGGAACATGACGCCGTTCGTAAGGTTTATTAGAAATACGTATTTCTGCATTATAATGAACATAATTTCATCTATTATTTTGCGTTTAGGAAATATACATTGTAAATAAACATTTAAAGTGACTAAAATTGAGTTCTCACCAGCGGTTTGTTCTTTTTCTTCTGCTTTTTGTCCTTCTTCCCTGCCATTTCGGTGGTCGGCGTCGCAAGAAATGCAAGAATTCAAAAATTAGTCTTTATTCAAGCAGCATCAATGTTATTATCTAGAACTTTAGCTCTGCTACGAATAGATTACTCACATTGTGTGTGCGAACCATTCAATGGGTTTAAAAGAACATTTCTATATCAATAAAAAATAAAGTCAACTAAAAACACGAATATATTTTTTTTAATCTTCATCTACAAAAAAAATATTTGAATAAATGTAAAAATAAATAATATATTTTGATTTACCTGAGACTATTTGTTTTGCTCTCTTTTTTTTTTTCCTCATCATGTGCGCTCTCAGATCTCATCCTTGTCTGTCGTGGTTTTAGGGAAGCCCGGTAGAAAAGATGACTGTTATCCCTGATTTTGACATTTAATTGGCCACCTTTTGGTCGAGCCAATCTGAACTTAAATAACAAATCTCTACAATTTAGTTCCGTATTTCATTCTTCTGTTGTTTCTTTTTACAAAATGAGAGTCACTTTTATTCCTCATTCCAATTTTAGGGCTCTATTTTATTTTTTTAAGATTCAGGAATAAAATCACACCTCCCCTCGAACTAAAAATGTGTTTGTGATATAAATAACTTACAGCTAATTTATCCCAGAGCTTCATATGCTATGCCATACGTATAGGCTAATGATTTTCGCTCCTGAACCGCATGCAAGAATTAATTTGCCCCTCACCTATAGAAACTTAATAGGTCAGATCGCCTTTAATAATTCCATTTCTTTTCTCGGTTAAAACATGTCATTAGTGTCTAAAGTATTCGATACATGTACAATAATGATAACAATCATTGAAGATATTAAAAGTAATTATACAATATCCTGCTCACTAGAATACCCACTCAGTCAAGACTTATATGTTTTATTATGCATTGAAATCAATGTGGGAATGTGGGTGTGACGGGGGGGGGGGGGGGAGTGTACGGGTCTTGGTTTGAGTTCATTGGTCCATTCTGATATTATTTGAAATCCAAGAGCTGTTATATACTACAGGCCCGCAGTGATGCAAGTACTGTTCTTATTTTTGTAAAGAAACCTGAATGATAAAAATGAAAAATTATCATACCAGGAATATTTATTTATTTATTTATTCAAGTTGTATTTAAAATAGAGGGTATAGGTACATTCAGTTTAACAAAACTGCTTTCCAAGTACGCCCTCTAGAACGACATATAACAGTGATATACAAAAATACAAGGAATATATAACAAATATAACATTCATCAAAACTAAACATTTACATATTTGACATAATATAGAGTACAAACATATATAACATAAGAAATATAATTATACCGGAAGAGGGAAATAAGAACAGAGATTCGACTATAATAAATGTTTTTGCTTTATTAAATAGGGTGCTTGCTTTATATGACAATGATCTTTTTTTTTTAATTCGGTTTTGAATGCGCTATAGTTCTCCTTATAATATGTAGGCCCCTCTGTTTAAAAACGGACCCCCCCCCCCCTTGAGAAAAATTGATTAAATTAATTTCAATTCAATAATTGTTTTTGATAACGTGTTGTAGCCAGAGGATAAATTGCCTTTGTTTACAACGATTTCTAAATATCATTTCACATTAAAAATTACATTCAAGATCGAATGACAAACGGGTCCCGCAATGCCTAAAAAATATGTTTTTAAAATCCATTAGTTTGTTCATTACGTAAAATATGAAACAAATAAATACAAGGTTTAAATAATTTAATATTGGGCCTACAGAATGGAATGGTAAAAGTAAAAGGACACTACATGACATTTAATGATTTACTTTAATAAAATTATTCTTTTAAAGATACTATGTCCCTTTTGCAGCCAACCTCATATTCTGTAGAACTTTGCAGGAATTATGAATATGACATGTATATCCTATCTGTGAAATTTAAACGTTAGCAGTGTCCTTAATATAGTCAAATTATGCAAGGAAACCCGTTTACTTGGTAGACTTTACTGTCAGACACTATTGAGTGACTGACTGGCTTTTTTCTCCTTTGGTAATAACATACATAAAATGAGCTGTAAAGGATTTGTCTGCATCAATAACCCACTTCTTGTAATGGCCAAAATCAAACTGATTGAATCTTTGCGCAGCATAAAACGTACGACCATGCGGTACAATGCCGTCTGAAAATCAAGACTATTACTTAATGGCTCTATAGCTCCTAAGTCGATTTGACAACTAATAGTCGTTATTTTCCCACTTAAAGACATTTTCAAGCCCCCTATGTTTAAGGGGAATTCTAAATTAGTAATATCTTTCAAATGCCATTGGAATTTAACCTTTTCATTTTCTTGGCCTGCAAATGGGACATAGTACCTTTAAAGCCTATATTTCTAGCATGACGAGAAATGGCACGTTGTATTCATAACAATACAATAATAAAAAAAAAATTAAAGTTATAAAACACACCACAGGCATTGAATATTAAAAACTGAAATATTATTATTTACATGCAAAAGGATATTTGATAACATTTATTTCAATAATGTCGTCACAGATAGGAGGTTTATATCAAAAACAAAATCAGGTATCTTGGTGATTTGTACTTTGTAATATTCGACTGCCGTTATGGACAATATTAACTTTGAATTGGTCAATTAAATCTTGTAATTGGCTATGGAAACACTTATTACGATCACTGATTAAACGAAAGGAATGAGTATTCAAGTATTTGTGTGCTCATTTTGAGACCAAAGCAGTTGTAATTATTTGTTTTATCCAATGAAGTTTCGATAAAATGGTTGATAAATCGATATCTGAAATTAAAAAATGACTAGTTCATGCAGTTCATTTCAATTCCGTCATTTTTTTCAGGTTTTACATGTATTATGTAGTTCATGTTATATATATTTCTTAAATGACAGGCCTATATGATTTAATGATCAGTGGAGAAGGCAATATACACCCGAATGGATACCTAGAGGCTAAAGGGGGGGGGGGGGGGGGTAGTGAGCACATTTTTTTTTTGTCCTCGAAAATTTGAAAATTTGCACCCCCCCCCCCCCCTTGAGCGCCAGGGGGGGGGGCCATCCCCCCCCCCCCCAAAAAAAGCTAAAAATCACGTGGAGAAAGGGAGGGGGGTCTGGGCCCCCGGCCCCCGCCCCCCCCCCCCCCCCTGGATCCGCCACTGCCTTGTCCAGGGTGGCAATTATTGTCTTAGAAACGCGCGGCCTATATGGGGACATAGATTCTGTTCGAAATTAAGTTTGACAGCTCTTTATTAATTTGACTCCAACTTCATCTCCAATCAATAATAATAATATAATAAATTATATTTCTATAGCGCATTATACAAGGTATGTCTCTATGCGCTTTACATTGTATTACAAGCTTAATTAATTACATACATCTACTATTAAACTATCCTCAAACAAAAATTCTGACAAGATCTTAACTAAAATAGTATAACAGTAACTAGATAGATAAACATTATAATTCATTCTTAAATAATGATACAACAATTATGGTTCAAGATTTTATTTATATATTACAAGTTGTAGGCATATACAATTTCAATTCAAATTATAGATTAATAATTCTTAAAAAGGTAGGTCTTAAGTGCAGTCTTGAAGGTCTGGATGGAAGGTGCAGTTCGAATGGCGAGCGGGAGAGAGTTCCAGAGGGTGGGAGCATTGAAGGTGAAGGAGCTACGGCCGTAGTACTGGGTCTTAAAACGAGGAATCTGGAGAAGATGTTTGTTCTGGGATCTGAGAGCACGGGAGGGTGTGTAGGTGTGAATGAGTTCAGACAGATAAGAAGGGGTAGAGTTAGAAAGAGACTTGTAGGTGAGAAGTAGGATCTTAAAGTGAATCCGCTTGTTGATTGGGAGCCAGTGGAGGTTACGGAGAAGGGATGTGGTAGAAGTGAGACCAGTTGCTTTCTCTGTGATTCTGGCTGCGATGTTTTGAATTCTTTGAAGCTTCATCAGTTCGTTGGCAGGAAGATTAGGAAGAAGTGCATTGCATGTGTCAAGTTTGGAGGTGACGAAGGCATGGATGAGAGTGAGAGTTGTCTTCCGGTCTAAAACCCTACGAATTTGACCTATCTTTCTGATAGATGACATCGAGCGACACACCCCTGCGACATGAGATTTCCTAGTGGCGTGCTCATCGAATATGATTCCCAAGTTCCTAGCCTCGGCCTTGGCTTCAATAACTGACTCACCGACTGTTACCGTAACAGAGGGAGTTCTTGGGAGGAATCTGGAGGAAAAGTGAAGAACTTCCGTTTTGCCGTCATTAATTTTTAACTTGTTTAAGCCTGCCCAGAAGCAATCTCAAACAAAACTCCATTACCGCCGTTTACATTACCATTTTAAGGACTACAGTTTTTGATCCCCCCCCCCCCCTTGTTGGAATCCAAGATCAGCCACTGCAAGACTATTGGTATAAATATAAAAATGCTTACGGGTATGTCGGGTATACTATTCAAAGAAATGAAATCAAGCCGTGGATATATTCTCAAGCAAAGTAACATATTGTTTAAAGATATTCTATGAAGGAAAACAAACTTTCAAGTTGTATTATAATTGAGTCATTGTCATGAAACTTCTTTCTTTTCTTTTTCTCTCCAGATTTATGTGGCATAACTGACAATCTGAAATGCTATGTTTAAAAATGTTTTTTTAGTCACTACCGGTTCTAGGTCTATTAAAAATGATCAGCCTTATGTTTTGAATAGGCACCCCTCCCCCCCCCCCCCCCCCATTAAGTAAAATGAATTCCCGATCCCGCTGTTTTTCTTAGTATGATCTACAGCGTACATATGAAAACCCTCAAATTGAAAAATAATACCAATATTATTTTAGTGGGAGTTAAAGCGACAATATATGATTTCGATAGTACATGTTATATCCCTAATTCATTTTTTTTTTTTTTTTAGTTAATTAATGTGTTTCCTCCCATGCCAGTAATACACGCGTAGCACTTCATAAGATTGCAGGAACGGGAATCCGAGAAAGAAGACCAAAATAATTCGGGATTTTTAAGTTTTATCAAGGTATTCATGAGCTTGATTTCATAATTTTTTCATCTTTACAATTATTTACTATTGCAGCTTGTAAAGGGGATGGTAGATCAGTTTTTATCCCTTGTTATCGTGGCTCTTTGGTGATTTAGTTCAGCTACCCGACTCGGCCCTCCAGCGCGCGTGGCCTCGCCGAGGGATTGGGTCAACAACACGGGGGAACTTCGGGTCCGGATCAATCCCGCTCACCGGTGCAGTGATGCATTGGTTCTGCTCAGAGCAGCTGTGGCTGCAGCGGGCGGTTGATCATCTTAATTTTAACCATGTCTACGTCTGTTTACTTTGTAACTTAACCGTTGATAATACTAATTTCAGAAAATCTAGAATGATGATCATGTTATCATTTCATTGTAAGATCAAGTGGGGTTTAACCAGTGTGATGCTTACACTTCACAGATAATGTTACGACTTTGAAAACATAAAGTCTGATACTCTGAGTCGGAAGAACAGTTCCTACCATTGTCTGCAAATTTTAAAAGCTGAGTATCATATCCCCCCTCGGCCTCTGGCCTCTCTCTTTATTATGGTTTTTTCTTTTATTTTTGTTTGCTTCTAAAGAAATAATACAGGATTCGTCTAATTATAGAAGGAGAAAACTAGAAAAAAATCAAAAAATGTCAACAATTTATATTTTTGCTTTAAAAAAAATGTTTATACAATGAGGATACCCTTGTAAATTTTCTACGACCAATTCGTTCATGGGAAATGTTGTGTTCATCCGAAGAAGAAGAAAATAATTGAAAAGGGGGGGGGGCAGGTCCCACGCTCCCTTTATTATGACACTTGCCATTGTTTTGCAAAGACCTGTGGCTTGAACCATGTTTCTGTGTTTGCCTCTCCAGATTTTCCAAAATATCCTGAGAATAGTGGGTCAAGATGCTTCACTTGGCAATACAAGCAGCCTGTGCTAGCTGTAGACCAGCAGTTAGGCACCTTAGCAGCACCTCTTCATGTATGGCAGGGAAAAGATGGAGAGAGAGGTAAGAATATCAAAGTTTTAATATTTTTGTCAATAGCAGATAAACTGTACTTGGGAATGCAGCCGTTTCTGCAGTTGATATACGAGTAGTCTTATCTTCTTTCATGTTACTGATTTTACTTTCTATCTCTCTTTCTCTCTTTTTTTTCTGTCTCTCCCTCTAGCTTGTGATTTTTCAATATTCATTCATTCTAAAGTACTTGAGCATCACGACAGGAAATGATTATGTAATGGAGTATTGTGACCTTGAACATGCATCTCCCCTTGGGTTCATTGAACTTTCATTCCAGAGCTATCTGTGTCTCGTATTTGATAGACTCAAAAATGGTGTATGATCATCAGTGGTTTTAGAACAATTATTAATGAAATCAATATAAAAAGATGTACATTTCGAAAGAACTTCAAAGAAATAACAGTCATTATTTGTGTTTCGTACCTGACTTTTCTGATGTAAGCTCTAATGAAATATTACTCTTGATCTCCACCCATGTATAGCTTATATTTATCCTTGTAACAATGATAATTATTTTGAAATTTAAAAGTTAATAATTTTATAAATCCATTAAAAGATATCATTTGACATAAAAGTCAATAAACAAGTCTGACAATGCTATTGAAAATGTTCTATTTACAGCCAAGGTTTAGGTAGATCTGGTAATGAATACGGACCTCTCACTGATAATCCAGATTGGTCCTATGCAGGTAAGCATAAAATCATGATTTGAGTTGTAACATGCTGTATAAGGGAGCAAAGGCAGTGAAAGAGAGAAGAAGAAGAGAGGAGAGAGAGAGAGAGGGAGAGAGAGAGAGAGAGAGAGAGAGACAAAGAGAGGAGAGAGAGAAATAGAAAAGGAGAGAGAGAGATTGGTCAATTTTCTCATACACAGAGATGTGTATGAGAAAATTGACCAATTAAGGTTAGTGTTAATCCCCCTCTCCTACTTTTTACCATACATCATTTGGCATCATCATCTTCTTCTTCTTCCTGATCAACCAAAAATGCTGCAATTTCTATAATTAGACATTTTAGGTGTTTTTGTATGTTTCCCTTTAAGCTACCATATGTCAATGGTATTATATTACATCACAATATCACAAAGATCCATAACAGCCCGATTGGCTTCCCTCGCTATAACCAGCATTTTTTGTCAAGTCTAATTGGTACCAATGCAATATGTGAGTGGAAATAAGAATTTAGGTTTCATACTTGTAGAATTTGTAAAATCAGCTTAGAATTAATTCATATTCTTTCTTTTCCTTTGCTAACTTTCTAGATGGACGCCCGGCCCCTCCCCAACCCAATCAGCTAAGGAGAAAGGAAGAGCAGAGGGAACTAGCTGTAAGTAACAATTAATAGTTTGATGAATTCAGTAATGATTCAAGCCTTATGAATCATCTGCACATTATAAGGGTTATATTTGTTTGTAAAGTTTATAAGGATGCTTTAAATATTTTATCTTGGACTTCTTCATACATTTAAACCACTAATCAAACCATAGATTAAACCGTTCCATAAAGCAACTTCATTGAATACATGTATATGTTTGTCTAGAAGTGTATTCATACTATATATGTCTCACCTGTCAAAAACAGATGAGATAAAAGAGAGGATTGTCCTCTTTATATGATTTATAGAAACTCAAAACCACCTTTAAATTGTTGACATCGTGGGTTTAAATTTTATCTAGAACAGTTCAGGCCTTGATAAAGCACAATCAAATTATCAATAGATATAATACACAAGGTTCTTATCTGACATTGTAATATTTTCCATTTTGTTCTCTACGACCAGGAGCGCATTGACATCCTGTCTAAGGAGATGTTACAAGGGAAGGTCAAGTACCAGGATAAGTTGGATGCAAAGAGGAGACACGAAGAGATGAGAGCCGAAAGGAGACTGAAGCCTAAGGGAAGTGCCTGGAAACAAGAGGACTATGTGGAGAGAAGACGGACAGCGTCGTCTAAGAAAATGCCATCTACATAGCAGTGAATTAGAAGAAATTTGGGAACTATTTGTTTATCAAAGACACTGTCAGTCAAAACTGCATCTGTGAGACTGCTTTTACAGGGAAAGGCACTGACTTTATGCGGGGAAGGATCGTTTAATCCGATTCCTTGCAGCCAGATATTCACATATGTGATGACATCTCCCCGGGCTTCAGAATGGTGGCACCTTTTTGTCCAGGTTTTGTTGTTGTTCATGCATGCAATATGTCAAGGTTTGTCGGTAAGCTATTTCTTGTATGTCAGTGTATATCGGTACATAGAAATGTGAACAAAAGTCAGTCAATTTGATAGCAATCAATTTAATTGATACTTATGAATAAAACAAATGAAATTTAAAGCAATTCCCTGCTTGAATAACAAGCATCTGATCATTGCGAGGTATTGAGAATGGACCTACTGTATTTTAAATTCATGAACCCAATTTCAATACCGTAGTCAAATTGAACTGTGCATGAAGTTGAGGATGAAACCTATGAACCTCCTTTACGAGCACTAATGCTAAAAGCCTTAGCAGTAACATCCATAAAACCATAAACTAGACAAACCATTAATACTAAAGATTATTTTTGAGTGGTCCCACCAGAATTGTAACCATGGATACAGTTGTTGGATTCCACCAACAGTTATTGGGAAGAAGCAAAACAAATGTTCCGATGATGTTGGCTTAAGCTTAAAACTGTCATAAGTACAAGATCCACTCTCTTTCTTTTTTGACAATTTCAAACAGTTTGAGTGAAATTGAGCCTCGTAATCTCTTTGGGCAATTTGGGATAAATCTGATGGATTGTGATGAAGACTATGTTTCTTATCATTTTCATAAAGTTGTCAACTTTACATGGTTTTGTGAAACAAGTTGTCAGCTTCCTGACATTTCTGACAGCTTACAGACAAAGATATGACTGTCATGGAGTTAGCTTTGTGAAACAACCCCATTTATTGAACATATGATTTCATCCTATTGTCATGTTCCATGCATACACTCGATGGTTACTCGCTGTCCTATGTGTGCACTCACTGTTCATTTACTGTACAAAAAGGTACATTGTGTTCAGGTTGGTCTTATGAAATGACACCCATGCTTTCATCTCTCAATGTATATTCTGTTGTAATAAACAAAATTTAAATATATATTTAATACAGTGTACTTGTACAGTCAAACCTGCTTTAGTGACCACCTGTCTACAAAAACCACATTTTTTGTTTCCCTGGAAAAGGTTTCTCAGTGAACCTGTCTACAAAGACCATCTGTATTCTTGTGTTTCCCTTGGGGGTCGCTACAGACAGGTTTGACTGCAGTACTGTTTGAGGGATTTTTTAAAGGATACTGTCGTGGTGAATAAAAAGAGACTTTGTATACTGTACATTTTCAGAAGTCTAACTTTTTTTCTTCAACATGATACATACCTGGGAAATTGTAGATTTGATTCTACTTTATTGGAATTTCATTAATCAAGTTTTTTTTACTGAGTGATGTATGATGAACATGAGGAGGTTAATGAAAACGGTGTTGATGATGATTATGGTGGTGGTGATGATGATGATGTTGGTGGTGATGATGATGATGATGATGATAATGGTTATGATGGTGGTGGTGGTGACGATGATAATGGTAGTGGTGATGATGATGGTGGTGGTGATGATGATGGTGGTGGTGATGATGATGATAATGGTTATGATGGTAGTGGTGTTGGTGGTGATGATGATAATGGTTATGATGGTGGTAGTGGTGGTGGTGATGATATTGGTGGTGGTGATGATGATGATGATGGTTATGATGGTGGTGGTGGTGGTGGTGATTATAATGGTTATGAAGATGATGATGACGGTGGTGGTGGTGGTGATGATGATGATGATGATGATGATGATGATGGTGGTGATGATAATGATGATAATGATGGTGGTGGTGATGATAATAGTTATGATGATGATAGTAGTGGTGGTGGTGATGGTGATGATAATGGTGATGATGATCATAGAGATCCAATGATCTTTTCTCGTGGCGCCCTCAGTCGTTAGAAACATTACATTCACGACCTGAGCGAGAAAATGGCAGCACCAAGCACTCTAATCGACACGGATAGCGATGAAGAATTACCAGCTGGCTGGGAAGAGAGAAGCACTGGAGGTGGTCGAGTATATTATGCTAAGTATGTTTCTTGTTATTGTGTAATTTCACTATATTTGGAATGATTGAATGTGTCGAACGAATCAGATAGTTTCCCCGCAATATATTGAAAGACATGCGAACACACACCACGTTCTTACCCATAACTTCCCCGGTGGCAGTGTGCGCAGCGCCGATGGGCTGCTACTACGCCTTGGCCGTGCTCTGCTCTGCACTGACTGCATGTGAATAATAATTTTTCTTGTAATTTGTTTACCCCATCAACATGTGTCATGTATGTTGTACTCCAAGTGAAATCAAGATCAGTTAGGTTAAGTTGGTGGATATCAGATGCAAGAGAAGCAAAGAAATAGTTGATGGCAGAAGCTATGTATTGCAAATTGTACGTCTGACTTTGATGGATGGTAATCAGCTCAGGAAAGTAAATGGGGCTCAAGTCCTTTGCGTTGATCACTCAAAATTGTTGAAATCAAGCTGAAGGGTTGCTTTTCTTCAAGCGCTGAACATGTGATGCATAACTTTCAAATAACTTCAAATCTCTTCCAAGCTACCGTGTTATTGGTGGAAGGCTTCTTGTCGCTCAGACGACAGACGCTCATTCATTGATGAGTTGTTTTATTTGTGTAGTCATTCACTGCTCTCACCATTATGAAGTTTTACACTACGATTGAAGAGTTTGGATGAATAAATCGTACTTTTCATTGATATCTACTATGTTGACAACTTAAGTTCAGACCAATCACACTGTTCAGCCACCTGGCGAAGTATCGTTTAGCGCTATTGGACGAGTTGTACGATAACGGCTAGCATGGGTGCCGGGTGGGGACTATGTGGTCTCGCGGAAGCCATAGTAGGTCTTACTGAGTTATGGTCAGATTGTCCTACGGGGGAGTAAATAAGTATATCTTTATATCTTTATATATTGGTCCAAAAGGAAAATTGTTTACATGCATTATTCACAGGAAAAAAATGTACATGTGACATGATACATACAACATAAAACGAGTATACAGAGAATAAACATATACATGTAGCATTTTAACATTCACAAATTTCACATTATAATTTACATTATATTCTTCTTCCTTTTTGTTTTGCTTACATGTTTTTTCACAGGGAAAAAAAAATGTACATAATACAAGCTTTGCTTTTTACTAGATCCCCCACTTTATTGATTGAGTTATATGATTGTATTCTCTGTTATAACTATTATCATGTAAATTATGTTTTCTATATGGTATGTTTAGTTATGATAATTACTATTATTCATTATGTTCAATTATGTTATTTTTGATAAAGTGAAATAAATAAACATGAAACTTGAAACATGTGACATATGATACATACAACATAAAACGAGTACCAGTACCTAGTATTTTAACATTCACATTATATACATGTAGATATTTTCTATAAATTTACATTTTATTCTTCTATCATATATCCAGAGTAACACAATATCACATTTTTATGAAACCTAAATATGTACGCAGCATGTTTGCAATACAAATAACTATTGAAGGCAGTATGAAATAATTATTAATAAATATTCAGTATATTATGACATGTGAGTATAAAAACGTGTACTGAAAGACTTTTCATTTCATTTGAGAAGATATATAGCTATTATAAGAAATTGAGTATAATTGTCCTTTAATAAATATAAATAAGTTTTTGATCATTTCCTACGAATAGGAAGAATATAACACAAATCATACATTTGACATTTCATTCGACAGGCGGATAGAGTACAGAACAAAAGAGTTCAGGTGCCTCGAAGTGCGGGCTTTCTTTGACTGCCACCTTTTACCACTTCTTCACCTGACATAATTTCCATTTAGGGGATGACTTGAATCCCTTGACAGCTTGACAGCCACACACTGCCCTGTTTCTACAAACCTCATCAAAATCCATTGGTCTGTCCATTATTTTGGCTGCTTGTTTGACAATGGTTTTGAGTTTTCCTTGGTCTTTCCATCATATCATGGTCATTGCCAAACACTTTTTTTTAATAAATTTCAACAGTTTTTGTTATAGATTCAAAACAATATAAATAAATCTTAGGAATAAAATACAGTTGTTTTGCATTTTGACATGAATTCAAAACATGTTCATTACATAGATTGTACGATTGATGAAAAAAATAAATCAGTTGTAACATAAAATGAATAACCCCATCCAACCAAACACACTACTACCCCCCCCCCCCCTCACTATTTGACACACACACACCACCCGGCCACACTTCCACATATATACCACACACTTTTTTTAGCCTCCTCAGAATACCCAAAATTGGAGTGACAGAAAAATTGAAATAATCTTATTAAAAAAAATACAGAAATCATTTAATAATAGTAATAATAATAACCTAGACTTATATAGCGCATTTCATCTTCCAAGGAAAATAACAATGCGCTTTACAATATTAATACAACAAAATTAAATGAGGCTACAGTAGCCCAGTGTTAAACGTTCATGAAAATTTCACTACACAATGGATCCCTCTAACACACACTCACACACATCCCTGATATTCATCTATGTTCATCCCTCTCACGACTTTTATTGCTGATTGGTCAATGTGATAATGAATATTCATGATTGTGGAGGAACTTGTTCCAAGTGCTTCCTGGCCAGCGTTTAAATATAATGTAACCCAAATCTTGAGAGTGTTGTATCAATTTTTGTTAGCGCACCTGACACCTGTGTAGTTGAACCCTAAATCGGCTCAATATGCCACCCCGCTTCTATTTCTAGTAGCTATACATGTATACCATACACTAGTGCACTTTTGCCCCAGGCTCGCTTCATTTTGTCACACGCACTAGCATCTATGCTTATGTGTAGAGTCTATGGAGTGGGAATAAGGAAACCAATGCATGTGACAAATTTAACCACGACCTGTGGCATTGCAAATAGATGCACTAGTTAGCGCTCTGGGTTTGTACCCTTTTCTCCTGTAAAGACCTACATCTTATAAAGACTAATTTATACTCTTTTCACACTGGTTTTGCTTAACCCCGTACTTTGCTTAGCCCCATACTATCCTTTACCCCGGACTAGTTTTTTGGCTTTTCACACACGCTGTTTTTAGTCCCGTACTAGCGCCTATTCCGGAATAAGAAAATTCCCGCTGTTCTCACTGCATTTCGTTAACCCCGGATATCGTTATGATTGGACATACTTCGCATCTGGCCAGCTGCGATACGCTTCATTGCGTAGTACCGGACTATTTTTCGTTTCTGTTCTCATTCGTTTGCTTAGCACCGCAATTGCGGGGTTAGCAGGAGTTAGCACCACAATTGCGGAGTTAGCCCTGCTATTTTGCAGGGTTAGTTAACCCCGTACTATAGGTGGGGTTAGCCAATTTTAGCCCACTTTGGTAAAAACCAGTCTGAACAGAAAGTGGAATAGGCTTAACCCCGTACCCCCCCCCCCCCCCCCCCCCCCCCCCCCCCCCCCCCCCCCCCCCCCCCCCCCCCCCCCCCCCCCGTAACCCCACCTATAGTACGGGGTTAAGCAAAATATTGCCAGTGTGAAAACAGTAATAGACTCTTGATCGGACCGTTTTGGTTTCTGTGTAAATCATTGATTTATTAATCTTAAATTTTAGATAATAAAGATAACTTTTTTGTTTGTTCGCTTGACCTAACTACTAAGAAAGCATATTCATGTATTTGTATATTTGTAAGTAAGCAACTTTGAAAAGAAGGTGTGAGGGAAATGTCTATCACTCCTCACACTTTCATTCTTCATTTTGTTTTTTCAGCCATCAAGATCAGTCAACAAGCTGGAGTCATCCTCGCACTGGCAAAAGAAAGCGCATCACCGGAGGTGAAAATACAAAGCAAATTTTCCTTATCTTATTATTTTTTACTGTACTATCACTTAAAAATAGCTTTCCATCTCTTTTCATTACATGGTCTATACATGTTTATTTCTGTGAGACATTATCCAAAAAAATTCATGAAATATATCTACAGCCACTTTTCATTTCTTTGACATTTATATGTTCTAAGAAACATTTGATATAGTCTATCTTATTGCTAGAAATCATTGTGTAAATCATGGTCTTGTATGAACCATTCTGAACATCTCATTTTAGCATGCAGTCATTAAATGCTTTATATTCAAGTTATTTCATCCCTCTCTCATTTTTTCTTCTGGATGCAGAACTTCCATTCGGCTGGTCAAAGGCAGTTGATGAGAAAGGACGTCAATTTTTTGTTGAGTAAGTCGATGGTCTTGCTGACAATATATATTATTTTTAAACCACCATGTTGTCAACATGTCAGATATGTACATTTTTGGGAAGCTTTTTCCTTCTGTAATGTTTCAATTCTAACCTCGCTGACAATAATATTGTGAAATCGTTTTATTGTTGAAGTGTAGAAATTACTTCCAAGTTGAAACCTTTAAACACAAAAGGGATTATTTTTTGTTCTTCCTCAATTTGCACATTTTTTCCTTCTGTAATGTTTCAATTCTAACCTTGATGACAATAATATTGTGAAATCATTTTATTGTTGAAATGTAGAAATTACTTTCAACCCTTAAACACAAAGGGTTTTTTTTTTTCTTCCTCAATTTGCACATTTTTTTTTTTTCTGGACAAAGAAAAGCTCTGTTTTTGTTCTAAATTTTAAAATGGGCTTGTAGCTCATGAGGTTAAATGCCATTGGACACTGTTCTATTAGTATTAGCCGTGGGACGGCACTGTTTGTTTAAGTGTGAGGATATTATAGGGGTTAAACTCTTGTAATAGAATTGACGATCTAAAGATCGAACAACAATTACAAAATGCTTAGTTAGATAGAGTAAGGATTGCCCTTACTATCTCTATGGATATGTATCCACTGGACGATCACCCCTGAACATTGCCACAGGAAAAATAAAATTTGAATGGAATTGAATTTATAAAATGAATGTATTGTTCATTTGCTACAGCCACTTGAACAAGAGAACGACTTACACCGACCCTCGCCTAGCCTTTGCCATGGAGGAGAGTTCAGACCCTACCAAGCTAGCCCAGAGGTTTGATGCCTACAGCACAGCGCTACATGTCCTACAGGGAAGAGATCTCAGTGGACAGTATGCTATCGTTACTGGGGCTAATTCAGGCATCGGTGAGTGAGTTCCTTGGTCCCTTTGGTAGTAGCACAAGTATCCCCATTGTGATGGAGGAGAGTCCTGGGGGCGTTTCGTGAAACAATTAGTCAGTGGTTTTCACCGACTAATATCATATTCACCGACAATTTAGTCAGCGCTGACTAAATTTGACCAATCACAGGCCTGGAAAATAGTCGGTGACAAAAGAATTGTCGGTGAACATGATATTAGTCGGTGAAAACCACCGACTAATTGTTTCATGAAACGTCCCCCTGATCCTACCCACACATAGCAGCATTACTATCCTGGCTGTGTATTAAAAACTGTTTAGATGACCTCAATTGATTCTCAACATTTTAAACACCACTGTACAAAACTCAACTGATTTCACTCAAAATCAATACTTTAGTGACAATTGATGACACCTAAATAGCAGTAAAGTACAATCTTTTCAACTTACCGATGTTAGAAAAAATACTTTGAAAATCAAATCGTGAGTCTACTGTCAAACTTGCCAATCAGCCACTTCGTATTCATTGTGTGAATTAGTGTGCAATTGTGTGCATTTGCTGCCTCTCAACAAGTATACAGCACTAGAGGTCAATGCGCATTAGCATCGACTCTGTGCTTTGTTGGAGTGGATCCTGTCTAGCTAGTCTAGAGATTAAATGATTGTAGTTCAGCACTTCACTCTGTGTGTGGCTGTCATGTAAGGTTCAACACAACTTTTTTTTAAAACTCTGTTGGCAAAGAAATAGTGAAACAAAATTGTTATCCACAGGGCTTCTTCATGTTAAGACCCTGCAAAGTTCAAGTAGTACGGTTGTTGCATACTTGTGTACCAGTACCCTACTTTACCTTGCCTGGGGCACACTTCATGAGCTGGTTTTAATATTGAAGGTGCATTACATGTTCAAATTTTCAGCATTTTCAACACGTGCCCTTTCAATTTCTTACCTTCGCAGGCTTTGAAACTGCTTTAGGAATGGCGTTGCATGGCGTCCATGTTGTCCTAGCATGTCGTGATCTGAAGAGTGGAAACGATGCTGCTTCTAAAATCAAGAAGAGGTTAGACCAGGCCAAAGTTGTAGTCATGCAGCTAGACCTGGCCTCGCTTCGTAGTATTCAACAGTTTGCGCGGAACTACACGTTGCGAGAATGGTAAGCTGCGTGTTACTTTTTTTTTCAAAGATGTTCCCAAATCTCATTATTTGCAATTTTGTATGCCTCATTTTGTTACCTGTTCTTTAGCATTTGCTTGGGACTGCTTTTCATCTTCCAGATGGTTTCAGGAGGTCTATTGAATCTGCACAAAACTATTATAAAGCTCTCTCTAAATCATATCACCATCAATTTAAATGCAAAGTGATTTTAAGCAAGTACTGTACATGCCATGTGATAGGAACTTTATAAAACATATCTTTGCTGCCTTAATGTATATAAATTAGAATATCACTTGTTTTTTAACAGGGACATGTTTATTTTCTAGAGTTTATGTAATGGTGTGTTCATGCCATGTCATTGCTGATAGGTTCAATATATTTCTGGTCACTCCAATTCTTTTCATTGTACATATGTATACCAGTACATATGTATACCAGTACATATGCTTTTAATTCTGCCAAATGTTTGTAACCATAAGTTTAAAATCCTTGAACATTATCATATAAAAACTAAAAAGGCTTTGTATTTTGCAAAAGGAACTTCTAACCAAGACATATTCTGGATATTTGGAGGAACAAATATATTTTTTAAATCATTTCCCATTAGGCCACTTCATATGCTGGTCTGCAATGCTGGTATTTTCGGTGCTCCATGGGAACTGACCGAGGATAAGATCGAGATGACCTTCCAGGTGAACCACGTCGGTCATTTCCACCTGGTCAACCTACTGACCGAGACATTGAAGAAGTCTGCCCCTGCTCGGATCGTGATGGTATCCTCAGAATCTCACAGGTGGGGATGGAAGTGACTCTGAAATGTCAATTGTGATATTTTAGTGGATAAAGTAGATTACTCTGAAGGGTATGGTGTTAGTAGAGACCTGGGGGGGGGGGGGGTGTTTCACAGAGATCCTAGGTCGAACTTAACTCCCATGTTGGACTTAAACATTATGGAGAGCCATTTGTAGCCTTAAAATAAATATATTCAAAAGCGAAAATTCAAGTATTTTAAATTTTTATAAATTCCACATCAAGAACATGAAATCACCTTTATAATAGAAAATATGAATGATTTGAATCAACATTTTATGCCTTTTAAAATAACTTTTACAAAATATTTTCATAGATGCTAACAGCGTTCCATAATTGTTAAGTCCAACTTAGAGATGAGTTCAACTTAGTGTCTTCGTGAAACACCCCCAGGGCCAATAATCAAGTCACTACCTCAGTCAGTAGTATTGGTATATCTCAGTTTGGGCTTAGGGAAAATACTTCATAGCCAACATCATTATTTCAGTTGCTTCTTTGAATAACCATTCTATCCTTAGCTCTAAAAAGCTTGCCAGAAGACATTAGCCAACTATTTAAAAGCCGATCACTTGGTTCTGTAAGAAATTGAGGTAATTAAGCTGTACATAACTAAATATACCCAATATGATGCTTTTATTGCATACACTTTATGCCCCTTGCTGGAGGCTAGGGAAATACCAAGATCAAGGGATGTTGCGTTAGAAAAGCATTTTGCCTCAAGTCAGTTTTTTTTTTTTAATTTTCCATCTTTCTTGTCACTGACATCATGGTTCACACTATAACAACAACAAAAATCCATTCTCATTTTCACTAGGAGAGATATTGATACACATTTTTTTTCTTCTCTCTCATCAATGTAGATTTATAGACTTCTACTCCAGCAAGCTAGATCTAAGTGAGGTAGCAATGCCTAAGGACAAGTTCTGGCCCATCTTAGCCTACGGACGCTCCAAGCTCTGCAACATCCTCCACAGCACTGAACTCAACAGGAGGCTGTCCCCACATAATGTCACCTGCAATGCGCTACATCCTGGGAATATGATTTACACCGGGATCAGCAAAAATTGGTGGCCATATAGGATCATGTTCTTGATGGTCAGGCCTTTCACCAAGTCAGCCGTGAGTATTTGAAATTCATTGGTGTTTATAGGCATGGATATTTTCTTTAATGGTTTTCGACCTAATTTTACAGATTTGACAAGGAAGTGAAAGGGGAACTAGTTCAAAAACTTAATTATCTGAAATTTTCACACCTTATGCTTACATTCACCTTCACAATTATAATGAGTAATTCTTATGACAGCATTATTTTTTTTCTGAGGGAAGATTTTATGCCATATGAATAAACAAAGCAAAATAAACACAAGGGTTCTTAAAAGCTGCCTCACTGGAGGTCATGTATAAGTATGGCCTTAGTGCATTGAATTAGTTCACCGGATTATGGAGTATCACATGCCAACATCTTCATCCTGTACAAGTCACCACAGTTCTGTGACTAAATGAAATTATAACATCCTGACACTATGAAATTACTCTCCCATTTTTATTTCAAGACAAACTTAACGTAGTTTATTTATTTTACACACAATAGTACTTTATATGGTTGACTATAAATCAGTGGACTATTAAGTTCAGCAGAGTTTAACTTAGGCTGCTCAGTTACCTAGTTTTTGATGACCCAATATGACAAATTGACAGGGTAATGAAAGGGAAACTCTCCCAAGATGTCCCAAAGTTAATGCTCATATGAACTCAATAATTTCGTCTAAACGATTAATACCTGAAGAAAAATAGATTAGGTAGAATGAGTCTGCTACCAAGCTGATTTCTTTCTCATTTGTATACAAGGTTGAATTAAGATATCAGATGTGTCCACTGTTATTTTTCAGTTTATTGTGATCTATCTCTTTTACAGACACAAGGAGCTTCTACATCAATGTTCTGCGCTACAGCCAGAGAGCTTGAGGGCGTAGGGGGAATGTACTTCAACCATTGCTGTGCTTGCATGCCGTCGGACGAAGCTCAGAATACAGAACTAGCAACGGCTCTCTGGGACCATACAGATAACATCATCAAAGAAGCACTCAGCAACAACTCATTATGATGATGGCTACTGGGTTTTACATTACAGAGATAGATGTGGATTCTCATTCCAAGCCCTTTCTTTTGTTGATAACTTGATACACAGGGTTGGCTATTACGTGAATGCAGCAGTCAAATATGAGATGGAAATATTGGAAGTACTAGTAAATGAGAACATCAACTGCATTTTTTCACAAAGGAACTCTTGTTGGTCAATCATCATTCATCTTATACAAATAATACATGTTTGCAAGTGCATTGTGAATATGCACTGCACGCAGGTTAAGTCACAGTAGGATAATAAACAAGCTTGTCGAGTTCATTGTCCGTCCCATTGTGACTTAACCAAGTGCAGTGTATATCTGTACACGAGCTAAAACATGTATTGTTTGTTTTATTAGATGGGTCTACAATACGAGTATAAAGTCAAGAAATTGACAAAAAGCCCGATCAAAAATCCAAGAGTAGCACAATCATGCATATGGTAAAAGTTAATGCACACACATGTGATCATTTCTACGCTTCTCATTGGCTACATTCTTTAAAACCATATCTGGGATCATTCCTAAATAGGCATGTACCGATTGTCCATATTACTACCAGGTACTACATATTACTTCTACATTGTGAAGTTTCAAGAAACACAATCCAGAAATGATTAATAAGGAGGGGGGGGGGGGGGGGGGGGGGGGCAATTATCGCCATTTCTGGCTGTGAGAGCTTTCTGACATGAGCTTTTTATCTTATGTGCAATTATAGAGTTGAATAGCTATGCTAGCCAAATGACTTTATAGAATATGTGAAGTTTAATGCATTGATAATAATGCGTTTCAAATACATGATAAAAACATGGTAATCAGGTGAAGAAATTAGAAAATTTTGAGTCACCATTGAAGATGTACATTTTTTCTCCCTCCATGCAATAATAATTCATAATTAAATGAATGTCTGTATACCATGATATATCTTTCAGTTATTATCAATACAGTTAACTCTGCAAACGTTGAATCTGTTGGGACCACAAAAATAGTTGGACTTATGCAAAATTCGAGTTTTACATAGTTTGGTCTAGAAAATAACTCAACTGTAATAGGGAAAATTCGACTTGTGCGACTTCAAGTTATGCAGAGTTAATTGTACATATCTTAAATTTTGATATGAGCGAGTTATTTGTACATGTATTAAACATAAACGTAAATAGTACTGTTTGTATATATGTTTTGATTAAAAAATTATATATCTGTATGCAAAAATTACTTTACTATCGCCATTTGTATTATTAAAATCGACTTTTGTGATTTTACTTACCAGTATGTATTGTGTAAGCTATTCAAAGTCAAAGAGTTGTTTTTTGTTCTTTTTGTTCCCATGAATTTGTAATGATGTATTTCCTTCACTGGTTATGCATGATAACATTTCCTTGGATGGACTTGCTATGTTGGACAAGCTTTGGAGAAGGCTTTGGGTAAACCCCTCTAAAGATCAACTTTTGTCCCAAGAGGTTTGAATCGTACACCACTGTACCACATCACTTCCACTGTTTGAGCAGTTTAGAAACACTTATTCCACTTAAAGGTAATACAAAGTTTTGGGAAATTTTGAAAATTGGGTGGATATTGATTCTTTACAATTTTGATATATTTGGATGCCCCTGTGGATGTATTATAAGCACTAGAAAATTTAGCACCTAAAACACTTTTGCTTTCGAGAAAAATCGAATATAAATTTTAATAAATATCAAATACGTCAATGGTAGCTGCGACCATGAACATTTCAGAATATGTAGTTGTGCTACATGATTTCCAAACGGGAATAGCTATTGGTCGATTTTAGTCAAGAAACATTAGTTTATAGCTTAATAAATATCTTGACCTTGAGAGGGAGCTCTACAAAATACAGTTTATTATTTACAATTTCATAACTTTAGACTCTATTTCAACAGCGACAACGATCACTTAATATTGTAGGGTAGCATATGCTTCCAATGTGTTCATTTAAACCAAATTCATGACCCCTTACCATACCATACCTTTAAGGGTAAATGTTAATGTCTACCAATCACCAAAAAAATATCTGGTTCTCTATGTCATGGGTTCCATGTGGCTATACATGTACTGTATAAACATTACGAAAAGCTCTCGTTAAAACTATACCCCACCACTATAACGCAGGAACCAATATAAATAAGATGGGGTATCAGGACCCCACTTTCGTTTCTCTCATTAAAAACTTTGACAGAGCCACCACTATAACACAGACACCAATGTAAATCAGGTGGGGTATCAGGACCCCACTTTTGTTTCTCTCGTTAAAACTTGGACAGAGCCTTGCAACTCTGCATGAGAGATGGCAGCTGTACTCTTCATCATCTTACGTAATAGTGTAAACAAACTCTTACTGGGGCTCTGCCTGGAAGGAAATGAGAAGTAGGAAATATATATTTTACTTGTTTTAAGATATTTTCATGCCCAAAAATCACTTATAATTTACATGAAGACATCATGAAAGTTCGAATGAAGCAAAATGACCCAGAATTGGCGATATAACAACAATTTTAATTGTGAAAATTAGCACTCTTTCTCCCTTCCTCTCTCCCTCTATCATGCTTATCTCTCCCTCTCTATCACCTCGCCAAGGTCTCGGCAGGGGGGATTACATTGTATAGCACTAGTGTTTACTTTAGGCTTAGCTCTAGGAGTAGTGAAAGTCAAATTGGGGTTTTAATTTTAAACTACAAGTTTTCGTCATGAACAAATATTGTATTATAAGTGACTTGTGATTAGACCACTCGACTGTAGGGAGATGCGAGTTGGTCTAGCGGCATGTTCGCTTGGTCAGCTCTCTGTCTTCGCCTACAAACTGGCTCAGACGACCCCAGTCTGAAACTGAGTCTCGTCTTTCGGTCCCCAGACGTAAATAATCATATATGATTGATGAATTATGTCATACTCCATATCCGTTGGTCCATAGAATGCAGGGTAAAGTTTCCTGAGGTTGCTTCTATATATTCTAGCCACATACAAATTATTTTTTAGGTGATTGGTAATTTTATTTCCTACTGGTTCTTTTCACGATAATGATGATACGTTACAAAAGACAATGGAACATCAAATTTGTCCTCAAAATCTACATTTATTTGGACACAATATCTCAAGTACCATGTACATGAAAATATATGAATTACACAACACAATGACCAATACAATGTTTTTTACACTAATACACTAAACTCATGTTTTTTTGACAAACACAAACATTACAAATTCAAATATTACATGAAAAAATGAATTTTTCGTCATACAAAATTCTCGGCAATCTACGATATTATGTACAGCTCACAGCTTTTGTCTTCTTGAAGAATAATCTGCATAAATAATTTCACCTAGATGCGGAACATCATATGAAAGTGAGCTCTGCTGAATGTATATAAGATCAAATTTCTTTTACAAACATAGATGAAATCAGTGCTAGAAAAAACATGGTTATATTGTATTTATTCAAAGGTAAAACATCTATATACAAAAACATGAATTTGGACATCAAAGACATCCTTCAACAAGCCAAATTTGACTTTTCTGTCACACAAGAACTTACAACAAAGTATTTTTCTTTGAGAAAACAGGACATGAAATTTGAGCATTTAATAACCAGGTGAAAATCGAATGGCTCACACAGTAGGGGCTAGATGTCTTAGAATAGGGCGGGGGGATGACCAAATGTGTGAATAATGTGATTTTGCTTACAAAGGGAGAAATACCTTTAACGTTTGCCAAAGCCTCCGAGTGAGGGGCCAAGTCTGGTTCCCCAAATAAAATCACAATTTCAGAGAAAATAATAATATTTGTAAGGCTGTTTCAAATAAAGTCTATCTTTGTGAGTTATATCTCTCCTGTCGTAGTGACAGTCCTCAGTCTCTTCCAGTTAAAAAATACTTATTTGTCCGCAGAAGCTTTTTTTTAAAGGATTTTGTGTTGGATAAGTGCAATTTTCTCACAGTGAGATTAAATATTTTCTTGTTGTTATATCACAGCTCTCTTGTTCAACTTACCAGAGCAATCTTGAAGCTTTCAAGAGCTCCTGTGCACTTTCTTTGTTGGTCTCTTCTCTCTCAATATGAAGTTTTATATAGCTTCATTCACACATGTTTTAAACCGGGTTTAAAAAAAACATGCTGCAGAAAAATAATATGACATGAGCATAGTGCACATTAAAACATGTACATTGTGACACATGGATCAGTGTATGCATAAGTGCCTTGGTTGCAAGCAGCTACTTATTTTTGTATCCTCTCCTGTCATTCACTTACTCGTAAAAGCTATTTATTTTGCAGCGCTGTTTTTTTTCTTCCTTTGGTTTAATTACTCGAGTGTTAACGAGGCTTGTATTTCTAAACCGATATGTTCAACCTGGGGGGTGTTTCACAAAATTTGCCATCAGTGACAAATGACAATTTTTGTTATAAGCTACTGAAATCCTTGCTTCTGATTGGTTATCAACAGGTTTGTCACTAATTTTTGTCATTTGTCATTGATAAAGGGCTTTGTGAAACGGGTCCCTGGACAGTAATGTGGACATGTGATGCTTGCTTTCTAGCCGTGATTGTATTCTCAGCGATGCCGTGATTGTATTCTCAGCGACGTCTTGATTTCTTGGCAGGCGAGGGCCTTCCACCGCGCGAGCGCGATCGCTTCCTCTTCGGGGGCGGTGGAGGTGCACGCTTACTGCTCTTAGACGTGGTGGTGGCGGGGGTTTCGTCCATGTTAAGGTCCTTCCGTCGATCGGCTGAGAAACACAAAATGAAAAAAAATATTATTATCTTTATTAATAATTTTTATCTGACAAAGTCAAGATATGGAAACATAAAAACAAATGACTGGAAATGAAGGAACTAATTTTCTAGGTTTTCATGATCTTAGTCAGGCCTCATAACCCATGTAGTCAAGCAAATGTGCAGTTCATGGCTATCGGAGGAGGGGGCGCCTTTGAATGTCCGAAACAGATATATGGCGCCATACAAGTGCTGCTGATCATCATCATCATCATCTCAGAGACAGCCAGGAACTCTCTTACTGCACATAGCTACAGTAATTGCTTCTACTTCTTGTACTAGGACTAGGTGTGTTCTCTCCTTCGCTAATACTCCTGCTGCTGCTACTTTTTTTTTTTTTTTTTTTTTCCTTTGTATATCTTATTACAGCCAAACATGAAAATCACATATTTACAAGATTCAATATAATGATAAAAATAAAAAATAAAAAAATAAATATACAAATAAAAAAAGCAGACAAATGGAAGGCACTGAGCATATTATGCTCTCTAACTGATACAGCCCTACTACTCCTACTGATCTTTCTACTTCTGCTTCTACTAACCTGCGGCTGCTTCTTCCTCCAGCTCATCCCAGTCTTTTCCGCTCTCTTCGCTGCTTCCAAGCTCCTCTGTAAACATTACAAAACAAGAATGGTAAAATGAGATCAGCAAAATTACATTTACATATCAGAAAAAAAGAGAATTAAAACAAATAAATTTTGCAGTGACCAGGAAGGAGACCAAAGTCTTGAAGATTTAAAGGATGTAACAAAATGAACTAGAATAATCAGGATTAAAAAGAAGGTATCGCTCATGCCTGTATTAATTCTCAATAGCTAAATGATACAAAACACTTTAAATATATGTCTCACAAAATAACGGAAAGAGAAACAAATGCTGATAAAAAAATCACTGCAATGGACTGATAGACTTCTGATCAATTTAGATCAATTGAAGCTCTCCATGGGGCCTATGGTCATAAATTTAATGTGAAATAATGTATTCGCCAATATTTGCATGAATCAAGCGTTCAAGGACGAATTCGCATAAAGCCACAACCGCTACCAATTATATAGTTTTCAATGATTATATCATTTTATTTCCATGGATCATGAACTCAATGAGCATCACAATCATCATAATATAAGAACTATTTTAGGAGATATATGTGAAATAATCTGCTTAAGTGCCCCATTACAATCGTGTGGTCTCAAACTACGGCCGCATGACCCAATGACAGCTTGTGCTATGGTATAGAGACACCGGGGGGGGGGGGTGTTTCATAAAGATTAAGATCGATTTTAAGTTGGACTTAACTATGGCAGGCTGTTCATGTTTGCTCTCGCCATAATGATCTTTACATAATATCTTTTCCTTCAATAATGAATTATCAAAAATTCTGTAGATTTGTGACCATGGTTTGTACGTCTCTTGAGAGACCAATGCCAGTAAATGGTGAGAGAAAACAGTGGCATGAATGGCCTGCCATAGTTCAAGCCCAACTTAAGTTGATCTTAGTCTTTGTGAAGGCACCCCCCCCCCAGGTGGAACATGCGACGGAGCTCACTTTAGTGATTTCACCATGCAACACTACTTGCTGGACATATTTTCACGTTTTGCTCAATCCGCAATCAACAAATGATTCACAAAATTTGCTAAAATAAAACCCCTGCAAACTGCTTTTAGAGTAATATAAATATAAGCAAGGCCTAATATCATACCTGAGTAGTCACTTTCTGATGCTGCCTCAGAGTCTTCGCTGTATTCACTGTCTGACTCGCTCTCCTCAAATTCTGATCCTGACGGCTCAAAAGCTCCATCTCCTTCCTCATCATCATCATCATCCTCCTCATTCTAAGGGAACAACGATGGAGACAATATTGGTTTGAAATGACTGTTGCATCTTCTACTGCTTCTGTTTATTTATAATTATCCTTATGCGTGCTCTCAGGGAAATTGTCATTTGATGCATTCAATTAACAGCAAATACCTCCTTAAATCCCTTTTATGATTCATTAAATCATCCCTTTCCTAACGTGAAGGCAGGGTCTGACATAAGGATGGGATGATTACCTTAGCAAATAAACTTCAAATATTAAAACTGAATGAGTAACGAGAGCGAACATATTCTCTGGCGACATTTGCTCCCGATTTTACCACCTCAAAGAGATAGGGTTGAGGTGAAGATTGCGATTGGGTTTTTCATGAGGTTTAGGGTTCAAGTTATGTAAATGTTAGGTTCAGGGCGGAGGTTGGAAACTTGTTTAGTATCAGAAATTAAGCGTGGACAAATTGTCGCTGCAGTACACTTCATAGAAACCAATATAGTTGTGGCTTATAGTGGAATTACGATTATGCAACACTTGCTTGGGCGAAAATTGCTCAGCAGTAAAGTCATTTTCCCTTCCGGCATTCTAAACTTCAACCCTGGACCAAACATTATATCTTATCCTAAACCTATCTAAACCTGCAACTCTTAACGCTACATCTCTGTAAAAATAAAGCCTGCACACAATTGTTGCTGCAGTATATGTCGTAGAACCGAAAGCAGTCCTACTTTATGGACGAATTACCTCCGACTCTGGCTCCAAGAAACTCCATCCTCCTCCTTCAAAGAATCCTTCAGGATCATCCACGATGGTTTTCATGATCTTAGGCCAATTGAGAGACTGGACACCCTCTGTATACTTGATGTCACATGAACTAAAGAAAAAAGGAAGAGATTAATACGTGAATCAGACGAAGCTATGATACAAATGCATGTACTCTTTTCTCAACAGACCTCTAAAAATTGTTTTGAACCACACATGATATCTTGTGATAATTTCAAGCTGATCTAGGTGATCATTTTGATCTAGTTTGAAACAGAACTGGTACAGTTTTAGAGTGAGAGATCAAAGGTCATGCAGAACAGTTTACACACAGTCACTAAAAAGCATTAGTGGCCAACGTTTGAGAAAAATTATAGAAGACAAAGAATTTTGGAATGATGTTATTATTAAATCCCCTGACTTTTCTGACAGGAAGAAGGGAAATCATTTTCTAGGTTGTGACCTGATAAGAACATGATAAGAAAATGATAAGAACATTGGCTATGGCCCCAATTCTGCTTCAAAATAGAGGAAGGAATATATTTGGTTATTTCAAGAGAAGAGAAAAGAAGAATATAGGTAGAAAGTGTATACATGAAAAGAAACAAACAGGAGCAGTTTAAAGATTAAGTTGAGTTCTGGTCATGCGATTGCATTGTGAAAGAAACGGTGTGGAATCGATCAGAAAAAGTTGATCATCTAGCATAAGTATTGGTGTGTACTGCAAGGTTCTGGAATCATCAAAATGATAAGAAATTTGGCCCAGTCTTGGTAAAGTTACAAGCACAGAAAGATGTATATGGGACTACACAAACATGCAGCATAAAAATCTGTCCCGATTTGTATGCTTTTACATGCCATATTTATAATATTAAGGCATTTGAAGAGCCATGCTTTTCAGGGAACATTTTTTATCTGATGTTCTTCCACACTTGCATTATAACAATGATAACGCTCACAAATTATTTTTCACCTCTTCCCAGAACTCAACCTTCTCTCTAATAGGAAACCTCGTCTGCATCTGGACTTACTTGAGCCAATCCTTGACCTGGTCCAGAAGGTTCATTGGAATGGCATTCACCATGGCAACCTTACGGGCGTAGTCCTTGAAGATGAAGAGCATGTCAAAGTTCTTGATGTGGAACTGGACTCTCTCAAAGTGGACCAGCTGCACCTCGTCTAAGGAGATCACAAAAGGAGGCTGAAAAGAGAAAACAGGAACCAACCTTGAGACTCGGCGTTCATATAGAGCACCTGGGGGTGTTTCACAAAGATCCTAAGTCGAACTTATCTCTTAAGTTGGACTTAAATATTATGGAGAGCCATTTGTAGCCTTTAAATAAAATATATTCAATAGTGAAAATTCAAGTATTTTAGACTTTTTATAAATTCCACATCAAGAATATGAAATCTCCTTGACAATAGAAAACATGAATGATTTGAATCAATATAGTATGCCTTTAAAATAGCTTTTACAAAATATTTTCATAGATGCTAACGGCTTTCCATAATTGTTAAGTCCAACTTAGAGAAAAGTTCAACTTAGGATCTTTGTGAAACGCCCCCCTGGAGTGTCCGATCTGAAGAAAAAAAGAGCGTGGCACACGAACAAACTGTGCTTTGTTGTTGTTGTTATTATTGCTATTTTTATCTCCATCGACGGACACTTTGGCCGTTATTTTCGAAAGCAGACTGACTTTAAACCCCACTTACTAAAGTGGCATAGGGTTTATAGTCCACCGATTAATGGAGTGCAAAATGTCAACCTCTTTATCTTTTCCAAAGCACCATAGTTCTGTAATAACTAAATTAAAAATACAAAAACTATCATCACCCTGAAATTTAGATCTTATGAAATATTCAATGACCAAATCAAATTGTGTTATTTCCTTTCTTACACAATAGGAATTTGTAAAAAAAAGAAGGATGACCTTGTGCCTTTCAACAAGTTGCCCATTAAAGGATTAATTTCCTCTTCAAGTGGACAAAGACATTTTTGCTCTGTCTTCTCATTAGGAGCGGGGGGGGGGGGGGGGGGGGGGGGTCTAAATATAAAGTTATGGAGCCAAAACACAAAAGACATGTTGTTGTTGAGAGATGAGGGGAAGGAAGGGGGTCAAAATGGCAGCGTACCCATTCGGTGACGTTGATGATACAGCTGCTGGTGGGTTGGAGGAGAACGGTGCTCCGATGTGGTACAGCAGGGAAGCCCAGGTCTCGGAATGGAACCTCAAACTCGATGTCTCCTTTGGTCTGGCTCTCGACCTTCTCGATGAAGTTCTTGAAGGCAGACTTGAGCTTGTGTCTCAACTCCCTCTCAGCCTGAACGAAATAGAAAGTGGATGATTGATTTGAATACAATTACCTGGTTGAAGAACTGTCCTCTTTTGGAGAATAGTGTAATTCAAAGTTGCCTAAAAATGTTACGATAGCAAGTGAAAACAGCACTAAGGAACCACTACATAGACCCCCACCATTCCATTCTAACCTTCCAAGCCCTTACCCCTACCCCACCCATTCCATTCCCACCTTGCACCTTATTACACCAGTCTTCCACCTTCATTCATACCCATCCCACCCCTCTCTAATTCTTCTTGGTGATACGTCTCACCGTCCAATCAGGAACCAGTATGAGAAGGGTTAGGGAGGGCGCACTTTTGTTTAGTTAGCCTATGTTGCTTTCATCATGGTTACAGAAGAGATTGGTTGCTTTTCTCATTGTCTATCATACTCTGAATATCCAGTAGTAGAGAGTTCCAGTCCTTGATGCAGCATGGAATAAAGGAATACTTAGGAATATTTAAAACAGTTGGTGCAGGTAGAGTATTGACAATAGGAATTCAAATCACTGACTAGCCTTCCTGTTCACTGACGTGTCGTCTCTGCCGTGGATGTTGTGATATTTAAGCAGATCGGTTCTGATCTCCCCCATCTTTGTTTGGACTTAGACACCCAGATAACACTCTACCCATTCCATTCCCATCTCATCTTGAATCACCATAATGTCCATCTTCCACCCTTTATATAACCCTCCCCAGCTTTATCATTCTATCCCTGACTAGCCTACCTGTTCCCTGACTAGCCTACCAGTTCCCTGACTAGCCTACCTGTTCCCCGACTAGCCTACCCGTTCCCTGACTAGCCTACCTGTTCACTGGCGATGTCGTCTCTGTCGTGGATGTTATGATGCTTGAGAAGATCGGTGGTGATCTCTCCCACTTCAGTATACACTTGGATGTCAAGGTGACGTTTGTTTGAAAACAAGATAGCATTCTGCAAACAAACAAAAACATGGAGAAGTCCTGCGTTTTAATGATCATCAGAAAACGTGTGAGAAATTATCTTATAACTAATATGCACTCAACAACAAGTCGTCGGTACATATCTAACATTAAGACAAGAGCCTAGAAATAAGTCGAAAATCAGAGAAAATTTTTTCACAAATTTGTTAATATACTTTGCAGGTAATTAATGCATCCCGCCAATGTATCTAATTCAACCACTTTAAAGCCTATCTGCATTAGTTTGGCCAGGAGGGATTGGACCTCCCTGTGTGGTCACTGGTGGTTGGTTATCTCATCAAATCGGCTCTCAATTAACATGAGAAACAGGGGACCATGGGGGATCAACGGGTACCGCTTAGGCATTGTTGGCTATATAGAGGGCGCAAGTAGCTACAAGGAGTGCAGTCTCACTTTAACATTTCAGAATAACTGCCTTACCTTGAGGTGAAAGTGAAGGACGATGATCATCTCTCCGTCACAAGGCTGGAAGATGGCGTGTTTGATGTTGTTGTACAGGATATCAACTTTGTCTCCTCGCATTGAGGTGTAACGGAAACCTGGAATCAAACAAAACAAATTATCAAATACAACTCATTTCACTAAGTATGAAGTGAATAGTGACTTCAAATCATATTGTCTGTTGAGAACCGGGAGAGTTTCAACTCTTTGTCACAGAATATGAATTAAACCCATTTTGGCTTTCAGCACATGATATAATAATGTACAACATGAAAATAAACTAACATAAGTGCACCATATACAAAAAAAAGTAAAAATTCAAAACATATTCCAAAAAAAATTCTTAACCGGTTAGATACGACTTGAGTTTAGTTTAGTTTATTCAGGACCAGGATGTAAACTTGTCCTTTCTGATCTTGTTATCCTGATGAAATATGTTCAAATAAATAAATTAATAAATAATACATATTTTCTGAGGAATCCAGCCAGAGATATCTTGCGGTTAGTTTTCAATGGATTTAACTCTTAGCCATGACCATTTGACCCCTGACCCTACTAGGCTCTGGTCAAGTGGTCAGTAGGCTTGACCTGGTACTGACCGTTGACGTGTGCCTCTAGTGAGCCCTGCATTCTCTTCTGAACAATGTTTGGTCTGATGTAAAGATCCTTCAGCTTGGGGTTGCCTCGGTTTGGGTTGACGACTAGCTTGTCTTGTTTCACAATACCCTGAAATCAACAACGCAACAAATGATTTAAGAATTGAAAGGACAATACAAGACGACTAGCTTGTCTTGTTTCACAATACCCTGAAATCAACATTAAAGAGAAGGTTGAGTTATGGGAAGAGGTGAAAAATAATTTGTGAGAGTTATCATTGTTATAATGCAAGTGTGGAAGAAAATCAGATAAAACGTGTTCCCTGAAAAGCATGGCTCTTCAAATGCCTTTATATTCTGAATATGGCATGTAACAGCATAAAAATCACGACGGATTTGTATGCCACATGTTCGTCTAGGCCCATATACAACTTTCTGTGTACAGTGCTTGTAACGTTACCAAGACTGGGCCAAATTTCTTATCATTTTGATGGTTCCAGAACCTTGCAGTACACACCGATACGTACATGTATATATGCTAGATGATCAACCTGTTCTGATCGTTTTCACACCGTTTTTTCACAATGCAATCTCATGACTAGAACTCAACTTTCGCTTTAAACAATTCAACAAATGATTCAAAAATTGAATGGATAATACAACATCACCAGGTTGTTTGAACGGTACATGTAATGAAAAAGCATATTCCTGTTTCATGACACAACAGCCGGTTTTTGCCAACGCAAGTCCCTTGAAAATATGAAGGAAAGACAGCACTGGACAAACTATATCTTGAATATAGCCATATAGTCATTCTTCATATTAGTGAGGCCAAATGACATATAACTTGAGACTAAATTGACATTGCAATCAGTCACTGACTCTCTCTAACTATCCAGTGAAGATTCGGCAATGTGTATTTCCAGCTGATTTTCTTTTGATTGATAAACATTTACTTTATAGGAGATTTTGCATGATATAATATTAACTTGAAATGTTTCAACCTATCCTATTTATAGCTTACACAAACCCTGTTATAAATTCTGCACTATAACCTGATGGAGCTTGATGCCACCCTTTTGAAATAAAACAAAGCAAATCAATGGTTGTATAGTAGGCTTACAGTTGCACCATGCGAGAAAGGGGTAGGGGGAGGATTGGTCCTTTTCAGGACTCCCCAATCCTCCCCCTACTGTATATCTACATCAACATGCAAGTCGATACGTATAAGTAGCATCTAATTCAATGGTTGTAGAAGATGTCTACAATCTCACCTCCTTTTCCCTCTTCTCGGCCTCTAATGTCTTGAATTTCTTCTGGACATCTTTGATGAGACGGAATGCCAGGTTGAGGTTAGCTGATGGAATGGTGGACTCGCCGGGATTCTTGGTGTTTGAACTCCTGTACGTCCTGTTTCATCAAATACAAGAGACAAAAAAAGATTGGAGGTTGTATTAAATTGAATAACCAAATTAAGCAATTTGTTTGACTTTGAGCCAGAATGACAAAACGACTAAGAACTGTCGTAGTCGAGTAGTTTAAGCATTTGACTTGAAATTCAAAGGTCTTGGGCTCGATCCCCGACACGGCACTCATGTCCTTTGGCATGGCATTAATCTAAATTTGCCACTCAATACCCAAGCGAGAAATGGGGACCCGGTAGGACGACAAAAGCATTTGTGTTACCGGTATTCACGGTGACCATATGGTAGGAATACCATGTTTCAATCAGTTTGTATGACATGATATGCTTTCCTTCCTCAATCAAGATATTGCATTTGGTGCTAATGTAGTATCATAAGCTAAATTTTACTTCTTTTTCAATGCTTCTATTTGATGAATGCAAATTCAAGATGTTGTAATTTAAACTGAAATCACATAGCATCTTCACTTGTCTGAAAACATATACTTAAATTAAAAACTAAATAGAGGAAGCTCTTCCATTTACATAATAAATATGTGATTTTTTTTATTTTTTGGTTCCAAATGAATATCACAGCCAGTTATTGAGTAATGGTCTATCTCATACGAAAGAGGAACAGACAAGACTTACAGTTCTTTGATGAATGTAGCCTCAGGGTTAATGAAGATGTTCCCTTCGGTTTTCCCCATAGTGCTGCCAGGATGATGGAAGTTGATACGGAGATAGGTGTAGTTACCCTCAACACTCTGACTTATGTTCTGTAATAAAGATAGAGAGGAAAGATGGTTGACAGCTTAAGGTCATATTGACAGAAGGATTCTGGAAAAAAAATAGCATCTAACAACATTCCCCCCATTTGAGTAAGAAGATTGGGAAAAAACAGGGGAAATCAGGAAGAAAAACAAAGAAGAAAAAAAATTAGAAAAAAATTGGGGAAAAAGTTTAAAAATCGGGAAACCGATTTAAATCGGGTAATTATCAGGCCTGATATAGTCAAACCTGCTTTAGTGACCACCTGTCTACAAAGACCACATTTCTTGTTTCCCTTGAAAATGGTTTCTCATTGAAACATATACTAAAGGAACCTGTCTACAAAAACCACCTGTATATAAAGACCACTTTTTGTGTTTCCCTTGGGCGGTCGCTATAGACAGGTTTGACTGTACCGGTTGAAGTGGGTAGATTAAATCTATTGACTTATGGAGCGCAAAGAGCCAACCTTCCCATCATGTAAAATTACTGATTCTGAAGTACACAAACAAAACAAAAAATCATGTGATGGTGAAATTAATTTCTCATCTCCATTTTGAGTAATTTGTACAGAATACAGAGATCCACACTTGGCATGCATGACAATACTTAATTTAATGGACTAAATTGATCGAGTTTAATTCAGCCCACCTTAATGGCTTTGAGCCAAAGAGTACAAAGTTTGTACATTCAAACAATAGGACATAACTTCAGGGGGGTGTTTCACAAAACTTGTCATCAGTGACAAATGTCAGTTGTTGTAATAAGCTACTGAAATTCAAATCCTTGCTTCTGATTGGTTATCAGCAGATTTGTCACTGATATTTGTCATTGAAAAAAGGCTTTGTGAAACGAGTCCCAGTTATCGTGAGAGGGCACAACTGAGAGCTAGAGTACTGAGCTAGGTGAGCACATCCTACCATCTGTCATATGTTCTATAGTCAAAATAAAAGGAGGAATTTCACAAAACCTGCTAAAAAAACAAGACAATGATTTGGAAGATTACCTTGATAGCAGATATGTGGAAGGGTGTGGCTATCCCGAAGACAGGCAGGATAACCGATTCATATTTCTTGTCGACGAAGAGGCGGAGTTTCCTGATGTCGGGCTCTCTTGGCATCTGTGACAGGTTCTTATAGGCAACGCTAGATTTCTGCATCCTGGTTTAATATAGGAAGAGGTAAAATGGCAGAATTAATAATGTAAGTTCTTGAGCTGTGCAAGTTGCTCTACAACAGCATATGTACATTTGATGATGTTTATGTGTAGGTGTTGTGGTCTAGTGGATACGTCACCGGACTGTGGATCGCATGGTTCACAGTTCTAGTCCCGCTGCGGCACTAATGTCCTTTGGCAGAACATTAATCTACATTTGCCATACTCTACCCAGGTGAGGTAAATGGGTACCCGGTAGGAAGAAATTTCTTGAGTGCTTGAGCACTTTTTAATGGTTGCTCGATTAAAGCCTGGGTAATAATATGATTGCAGGGCCCTCAGGGAGAACAGTATGAATACTGATGAGGCTACCCTGGGTAAACAAGACATATTATTATTATTATTAATATTATTATTATTTTCCTTTTATTTTATACTTTGTCTGCTGGGAGGATCATTAATCTGTATTTCACAGAATGCATTGGAGGCTCTCAGCAGATCACTGTTAAGCAGTAACTTCCAACTTCACATTTACGTAAAAATTCACGTACCCAATAATGAAACTAAGACAAATTGTTGCAGTGCAATCGTACACAAAGGCATCTGTGCTAAAAGGTGCATGTCGTGTTAAAGAAAGCGCAAACCCATCATATTGTATCCTCAAAGAATCTATAGTAGTCTTTTATCCTGTAACAAGTCATGACTGAATATAGAATGCAAGAAGACTTACTTGACTTCACTCTTCGTATCCTTAGACTGAGCTAACCTCTGTCTAGCTTCCGCGTTCATTTCTCCGGCCAACTCCCGCTGGCGCTGTTTACGTTTATCTTCTGTCGAAGTCTCCGTCTGCAAAGAATAGAAGTAACAACGTAAATATGATATTCCTCTTTTTTCAACTAAAGGCACTTTCTCTTTATATCCTGATATTTCTTCTTTGTCAGCCCACTGCCAATAGTAAAGTCAGAAATTTGCAAACCATAAAAAGAGCCAAGAACCAAAATGAATCAAAGAAATCTTGTAAGCAACAATGTTATCATCAAAACACACCTCGACTGAGATTGTTTATTGCAGAAATAAAATGTTGCGAATGACAACTCATTTCGTTTGCATCTCAAAGCATCTCAATGCATCTCAAAGAAACAGAACAGGCACCAATCTCTGTGCGATTGAGTTGCAGTGAGGTAATATGGGCTGAGATATCTAACCACTGTTTACATGATACACACTGTGATCACCACTATTGTAATCACTGCACAAGCAGAGATGCCAACCTCTTGATGGAAAAAAAGACTGAATATCCACAAAAAAACAAATTTTCATGATTATTTTTGTTTTTTTGAAAGATGAAAAATCATACTTTTAAGAGGCAATATTGTTAATTGTATTTCACTTGTTTTATCGTACTAAATACATATCGGCTGCATATCAACCAGGCACTTCCATTGACTTACCCTAAGTTTGCTCTCCAGCACGGCTCTCCTCATTCCCTTACCAAGGAGTTGTTCCTGCTCCTTCTTCTGGACCTCCTTGTCTTCCTCTTGCTCATCTTCTCCCTGATCAAAAAGAAACATGAAAGATGATTTAGTCATAGGACTAGCTTTGTTTAGCTGTGGCATAATACAGCATTCCTCCTCATATTTGTTAATACTAGTTGTATTCATTTATCACTTTTAGAAAACATAAGCACTTTAACCATCTTATTCAGCTTTATCGTCATTGCTTCCATCATTTCCACCACCACCAAATCATCATCATCATCATCATCATCATCATCATCATCATCATCATCATCATGATTCACGGCCTTGCTGAAAAGCAGCTTCTAGCTGATAGCAGGCTTTTTAACCGTGATTAAATAAATAAAATTAAAAAAATAAAAAATAAAAAAAATCATCATCATCATCATCATCATCATCATCATCATCATGATTCACGGCCTTGCTGAAAAGCAGCTTCTAGCTGATAGCAGGCTTTTTAACCGTGATTAAATAAATAAAATTAAAAAAATAAAAAATAAAAAAAATCATCATCATCATCATCATCATCATCACCTTCACCAATTTTCATTATCTACTATTATACCATCGATTCTCACCATCACTATGGCAACCACCAGCACCACCATCATTTCCAGCATTATTATCATCACTATCTCCAACACCTTCATCCCCACCGCCACCATCACCACTATCACCACCACCATAATCTACAGCATGAGTCACCATCACCTTCATAACTAACACCACCAACTGCAGCAGAGCAATCCTTTGTCATCATCACCACTTTCATTTCACTCATTAACCGCTTCACCATCATCACTGCTAACACCAAACACCAATCATACACCATCATCACTGCTAACACCACACACCAACTATACACCATCATCACTGCTACCACCACACACCAACTATACACCATCATCACTGCTAACACCACACACCAACTATACACCATCATCACTGCTACCACCACACACCATCTATACACCATCATCACTGCTAACACCACACACCAACTATACACCATCATCACTGCTAACACCACACACCAACTATACACCATCATCACTGCTAACACCACACACCAACTATACACCATCATCTGATACAAGATACATGTACCTTGAGGAAAATACCGATATTCTTGACTTTCTTCTTAACAGGGGTCAATAATTTGGCAGCCCCCTCCTGTAACAAAAAAATAATGGGAGAAAATAAAAACATCTTTGAACATGTTACCAATAATCAAACTTCTGTAACTTCCAATGCAGCAAGAAGAAAATGGAATTTCAACTAAGATTATAGCAGACTGATCAGTAAAAGCCAATGGTGCACACAGAAACCCACCCCCCCCCCCCATTTCAATCTAGATTCATAATAAATGTCAGAGTTTACACAGACGCCTGTAGTGTAGACACAGAACCTCAAAATGTCACTCCAATGCAATTCCTTTCATTTATTTCCGAAGCCCATAAAAAAAAAGAGTGGAGCCAAGATTGAAGGCTTAATCATATAATCTTGAAATAATACACAACATTCAATTCCCATTATGCCTCGACTTCTTAATATCTTTTAACCTTTTGGCCACTCAATTCTCTCATTCCACAGGAGCTACCTGTACGTGATTGGTTCTTACTAGAAGTATCAAAGAATACATCCATTTATCTTACCTCGTTCACCATGACTGTGTCTCCGATAAAGAGGGCGTACTTTTTGCTTGTGGAATCCTTCCCTGCAGAGTTGTCCAGGTTGGAGAAACCGACGTTGATGCTGAACACCATACCCTTCTTGACCGTCTCCTCCGTCTTGGCATTGAGGACCATCGTGCCTTCACGGAACTCAATTCCGGTCAAGAATCTAAAACCAAACGGGGGAATTGGGGGAGTTAGAATCCTTTGTGTTGTGAATAGAGATACCAGTTGGTTTCACCCAGGGTGGCTGAAGAGAGTCCCAACATGTATGTGAGAGTCCAACATGTTCGGTACAATGTAAAACCTGATAAAAGCATGGATGGGGAATTGACGGAGCCTGAAAACTGGGATCCCTCCCTATAATAACCATAATAATAGTCAAATTTGTATATTGCTTATACTTTGTTTGTAAGCACTTCACATTGTAATTATTACTTTAAAGTACTGTAAATGCTGTTATTTTTCTGGTAACTAATTTTTCGCGCTGAGCCACACCAAACCATATTCAAGGGTTTTTAATTCACGTTGCACGCAATTCAGCACGTTCAAAACACACATTAGAAGTCGTGCTGATATTTTGTTAGTTCTAAAATTTGTGCTTGCCGATCTCAGCGCAAAATCCGCGGAAAAACTAATGTACCGCAAATATTTCCGCGTTTACAGTAGTGGTCTAGTATCATATGATAAGTCATAGGGCTGTGGAATAAATGGTATATGGTTGATGATCACATGCCGTACTTACCCAGCATTCTTTGTGAGGTTCCCAACCAGTTTGGAATTCTTTTCCTTGACTAGGTTGACCGCGGCATGGAACACATCGCATGCCTTCACACCTGGTTTGAGCTCCTGGAGTATTGCCTCCTCCACCTCCAGCAGGAGCTGATAGTTCTGCTGTTGCTCCTCCGTGGGATCCACCAGGATGGTGCGCACGATGTTGGAGCAGTAGGACTTGTACCTCACCCCCATGGAACATGTGATGGCTCCAAAGTGCATCTTGTGTTCATCACTGTGCAAGAAAATCAAGGTCAAAGGTCAAATGTCAGTGTGGGTATGACAGTAGTTTAGTTTACTCATAGCACTTTTATTTGGAGCATGAGACGACTCTGCAATGGATCTTGCAAAATGGAAGGTTAACAGGTCAAATGAGATAGTGTGACTCCGATAGTGTAAAATAATCATTGTTTAGTTCACTTGTAGCACACAACCATGCATGGACTTGCTCTAAATTGCATCTTGTGACATCGATATACAAGAAATTAAGGTTAAAGGTCAATTGTTGGTAGCGTTGAATGTTTCCACAGCGAGTCAGACAGCTATTATTTAACAAAAACATTGTGAGTTTTACTCAAAACGGCTATAAAGGTAATCCTACGGATCATTCTGTAACCACAGTCATAGCAGTACAAAACAGAGAGATATGTGTCTCTGCAGAGACTGGTATATCACCACTTCTCCTTTCTCACTACTGGTACTCACCTGACCACACTAAACTTGAGATTGTAGATGCCACCACTCTGAATGATGGGTGGGTAACACATCTCAACCTGTGAAGGATCCACACCACCCAAGTACTTCTTCTCTTCCAAGGCCTGCTCTAAGCTCTCTGCAAGCTTGTTGTGTCTCACTTTCTGCAACAATGCAAAGCAAAACAAAGAAAATTGTAATGTACATTACAATCAAATCATGAAAAAATAACATTGCTCATGATAAAAAAGCAAATTCAGTACAAAAATTGTCCAATCCGGTCATTGAATTACTTAATCCTTATCTGTTTCAACAGTTTTTCAATTTTCTTTTCTAGCCCTAGTACATTAGGCTATGCTCAAACATCAATCTCCCATTACTCACTTCAAGACACATAGCTAGAAACTTGAGAGAACCATGATGCTTCTCATAATCATATACCCAGGTTATGTTAATAGATACCCAGTAAGAAGAAATTCCTGGAATGCATTGAACACTGTAACCATACCCAGGGTATAAAAGATGAGAACATTACACTCTGCAAGCATATAAAGTACATGTCAAACACAAGTGCTAAGTCAGTTTCATAGCTGTCAATACAATGTCTGCCCGAGAGGATCAGGAATGCTAAACCAAACTGTCTTGCTCCTGGAATCGTCAAGATCTTCATAGCCAGGCATATTACTTTCACAGGGTCATCTAAAGGTATAATTTTGGTACCCCTCTGCCGTGGCAACTGGCAAGACATGACTGCATGCTTTACCATTCTTCAAATGCTGAACGTTTTATGTCATGATTTCATTATTACGCCAAAAATTTGATACTCTTTTAAACGTAAGTGAATTCATACTCTGCTTCAATCATAAATATGTCTCAGGTAAATTATATGGATCCAGTTATGGCAGATATGAGTGTAACAATATTCTAAATAACTTAATTTGTCTATGTCCTTTAAATTTAACATTACAAACATGGACAATCTTTCACACACACAATTTTATTTAAAGGAATCTCAAATGGAAAAATTAAGAATACAGTCTCATTTTGTATACCTCGTATAAAGAAGTTTTCAGAAAGAAAGAGGAATCTAGAATTCAAAGCATCAGTTTAAATGAGGAACAAAAATAGGATCAATTGCAGCTTAGTCATCATAAACAATCGGCCATCTTACCTTGTCAGCATCAACGATCTCCATGATGTCCTCCTTGAGTTTCTTTGTGAAGACATCGCAGGTCACCTGACATGCTTTCTTGATCATGTTGATCTCTTTCTCTTCCTTTACGGCCATCATCCGAGCAAAGTCAGGGCTGATGTCGACCTACAGGGTCAAAGGAGACAGAATATCATAATCATCATCCCGGACATAAATCTTTAGGAGTTGTTTTCAAGAAAAATATCCTGGCACAAATACAGGGTCCATCACATTCCCTTGGTCTTTTGTAGTTGCATTAGTCAAGACCTCAAGTATTAAAGTTTAATTAATTTTTAAAAATTGAAATCACATACTTTATGTATTGAAAATAACAAGAAAAAGCATGTTAAAGACCGTCAATACTACTGGGCCAGAAGGGATTAGACCACACAGCGAGGTCACTGACAGGTGGCTATCTCATTAACTCAACTCTCAACTAACATAAGAACTAGATGGAACTTTGACTGCGCGCAGTCGAAAATGATGCCTCCGTCATAGAGCAATTTTACAAACCAAAACAGAAGAAATTTTTCAAATTCATTAACAGGTTCTCAGAATATCGTGATTACAAGCAATTTCTCATATACATAATGAGCCCATGACCTTTGACCTTATGAACCAAGAATCTACTCAGTTTATTGGCACTGCAAAATACATAAATGATCTAAGTTTGGTAGGAATCCATCAATCTGTTCTAATGATAATACGATCACAAGCTATTTTTGCATACATAATGAGCCGCATGACCTTTGACCTTGACCTCATGACCCCAAAATCTAATCAGTTCATCAGCTCTGCAAGTTACATACATGACCTAAGTTTGGCAGGAATCCGTCAATCGGTTCTTGAGATAACGCGATCACGAGCTGTTTTTGCATACATAATGAGCCCTGTGACCTTTGACCTCGTGACCCCGAAATCTAATCAGTTCATCGGCTCTGCAAGTAACATACATGACCGAAGTTTGGCAGGAATCCATCAATCGGTTCTTGAGATAATGCGATCACAAGCTGTTTTTGCATACACAATGAGCCCTGTGACCTTTGACCTTTGACCTCGTGACCCCAAAATCTAATCAGTTCATCAGCTCTGCAAGTAACATACATGACCTAAGTTTGGCAGGAATCCGTCAATCGGTTCTTGAGATAACGCGATCACGAGCTGTTTTTGCATACACAATGAGCCCTGTGACCTTGACCTTTGACCTCGTGACCCCAAAATCTAATCAGTTCATCGGCTCTGCAAGATACATACATGACCAAAGTTTGGCAGGAATCCATCAATCAGTTCTTCAGATAACGCGATCAGGAGAACGGGACGTACATACATACGAACAGACGTACGTACGTTAAAAGACGGGAGTTGCTACTACCTTGTTTGGCGCTCAACAGTAAAGGGATAGGGCAACGTCGATCGGGCGCTGCTCAGTGGCTGCCGGGCTCACGATCAATTGGGCAAAAAGAATTTCCATTTTCGGTTTAATTTAATAAAAATAAAATTTGGAGTGGACCATTAAAAGATTATTATTATTATTATTATCATTATTATTATTATTATTACCTGTTGGAAGCCTCCGTTGGAGAGCGCTGTCCTCCATCCCTCCATGAAATCACCGGGAAACTTGTCCTTCTGGAATGTACCAAGTTTCGCGCCCTGGGAAACGACAACATTTTATAAACAAACAAAATTATCAAAAAGGGGGTTACCTTTCAAATATTTAGACGGGATTGAACACAAGAAATACCTCGTATTAAATTAGAACATCTCTGTGATGAAATTTGTGTCTTTCCTATCTAGTATTTCTAGTCATTTGAAGCATCTAAAATACATGTTGTTTGGATGTAAGTTGGTGCACAGCCATAAGACATCTGCCCGACATACAGCCTATTCATTAATTAAGCATAATAAGATACAGTTTTGTGGAAGAAGTTATTTTTTTAAATCTTCCTTTTTTTAGGGGGGGGGGGGTGGGGGTATACTTTGTACTCGGATAAATACCTTGTTCAATTAACACCAATGTATGCTGTAATCATTAATATATCGTTGGTTGGAACCAGAAGGGCATTCACTCATATACTTTAACATAGACTTAGCGCCCTTCTGGCTCCAAGCAGACGACATATACTCAACTTCAAATTTTGTTCCAGCATTACACACTGAACTCGCCTCCCAACCTTCTACACCTAAAATTCAGAATCTCACAAGATTTTTTAAATAAAAGTTTCAAGAAATGTATTCCAATAAGACCTACCTCCTTGCTCCCCTTGATAGCTGTCACCAGTTTCTCAAAGTTCGCTTTGTTGGAGTCTCCTTTCTCCCTGGTCATGAGAGTGATCTGTGGCACTCCGTTCTGGTTCTCCTTCTCTCGGTTTGAAGCGACCTGACGCAGGAACTCCACCTTCTTCTTGCTGGCCAGGAAGTAGATGTGTTCCTTGCAGAGCACCATGATGGTGTCGGTCAGCTCGTACCCAAACAGCCATGTCTAGATGAAGAGGTAACAGGAATATGTATCAATGGGACTGAATAATAAATTGAGCATTGAGCATTGAGGAATATGTATCAATGGGACTGAAAATATAAATTGAGTATTGAGCATTGAGGAAAATGTATCAATGGGACTGACAATATAAATTGAGCCTTGAGCATCCATGTAAGATGTTGATAAAGATGATGAAGATGATGACAATGAGGATGACGAAGATGATGATGGTGGTAGCAAAGACAATGAAATCAATTTAACGAAGATGATGTTCCTTACACAGCACCATGATGGTGTCGGTTAGCTCGTAGCCAAACAGCCATGTCTAGGTGAAGAGGTAACAGGAATATGTATCAATGGGACTGAAAGTTTAAATTGAGCATTGCACCATGATGGTGTCGGTCAGCTCATAGCCAAACAGCCATGTCAAGGTGAAGAGTTAACAGGAATATGTATCAATGGGACTGAAAATTTAAATTGAGCATTGCACCATGATGGTGTCGGTCATCTCGTAGCCAAACAGCCATGTCTAGATGAAGAGGTAACAGGAATATGTATCAGTGGGACTGAAAATTTAAATTGAGCATTGCACCATGATGGTGTCGGTCAGCTTGTAGCCAAACAGCCAGGTCTAGTTGAAGAGGTAACAGGAATATGTATCAGTGGGACTGAAAATTTAACTTCAGCATAGCACCATGATGGTGTCGGTCAGCTCGTAGCTAAACAGCCATGTCAAGGTGAAGAGGTAACAGGAATATGTATCAGTGGGACTGACAAAATAAATTGAGCATTGAGCATCCGTGTGAGAATGAATGGAACTTGAGTGAACAAAGAGTACTTACATGTAAATAACATGAATGAGGATACTAAAAGACAGTAAGGAGAAATGAGGATGATGATGGTAATACTAATTTGATGATGATGATGATGATAAAGATGATAATAATGAACATGTTGATGAAGTTGATGACGATGAAGATGAAGATGATGATGGTGGTAATAAAGACAATGAAAACAAATTTAACAAAGAAGATGAAACTAATGATGAAGGGGGTGAAAAGTTTTCACACGATCAAGTTAAATATGAAAATGATGAATAAAATGATGATTAAGAAAACATATGGGGGCCGTTTCTCGAAACCAACTCCATGACAGTCATATCTTTGTCGGCGACCTACGGAGATGTCATGAAGCGGATAAACCGTTTCACAAAGCCATGACAGACATGATATCGATATATATCGCGATACTAGCAGCTCAAGAACATAGTCTTTGTCACGATCCATTTGATTTACCAAGAATAACCCAAAACAAGTTTTGGGGCTAAAATTGTTCAAAAAGAAATATATACATATAAATTCTCCTAAAATAAATAATAAATAGTGTCATTATCATATTTACATCATCAAACGATTTGCATATTTCTGTAAAGATTCTTAAATTGAAGAAAAACCGGTGAGTGTTTTTTTTCGACAGTCGAATCAAAAGTTAGTTGAAGGATACCGTAATGTGATAGTTTATCAATACGTACTTTTTTGTTTATTGTGACGAGGAATTTTAGGCAAAATGTCTTTTCTCAGCCAGTTTTTATTCTAGAGTCTCATAAATACTTGTTATATAATTGATTTGATATTGAAAATATAATTTGGAAGAAGTAATTAGAGAGGGAATGATAATGCACATAGGCCCCAAAGGTATGACGGTATCCTAAGAAAAGACTATGGATCGACTATGGAAAACGGTGTGTAACATTCTTACCTCTCTTATTTATATGTTATAGTTTAATGATTTGTGATTTAATGTTTATATTCAGCTTTTTAAAGTTTCTGTATAATTTGTATTCTCACTTTTGTACATTTGCATTTCGCATCCCAGAGAATTACGTACCGAACTCGTCTATATTTTTCTCAAAATGATAGTGAAACTAATCGTCCATTTCGCGGCCCATGGAATGGCAACGAACTGACTTGTGATGGCGCTTTACAGCAATTAAAAAGATATGACAGGTTCGGAGCAGTGACAACTCGCTTGTCGCGGAAGTTGTCGCTCATCTTGGCAAAGACGGCTTCGTGAAACACTTAGCTGACAAGTTGCGTGACAGTGGCGAGATGTCGTTGATCTTGTAGTTATGACGGTTTCGAGAAACGGCCCCCAGATTATCATGATGAAGAATTTGGACAAGGGGTGAAATATATTTACCTGAAGAGCAGTTGATTTGGCATACACTATATCCTCATCCACACCTACGGCTGAAGCAATAGCATCCAACGAGTACAGCTTGCTGTTCTCCTCTTCATTCTGCAATGAATTTCAGACACATTGACAAATATAAATATTTTCTTCAAGCCAAAAGAAAAAAAATTGATGTTTATATTTAAACTCATATTAGCTTTATACAGTACATATTATCTGTTCGGAGAGTGAAGGGCATTAACCTGTGACGCTTTACAAAGAGTTGGTGTCCTTCTGGAACAAAAGGGACTGAGCAATACTGAACTGCATCAGTCAAGGAATAATGCTGAACTTACAATTTGCAATCACACTAAATTATTAAGTGAAAGTTGCCTTGAAGCAGTGAGTCTCCTGATATTTATCACAATGATCAGTGTCTGCCTTTTTAGTGCATATAAATAAAGTTATTGAAATGGTTCATTTGTATTTGTATGGCTAAAACATTGAAGGCTCTCTTGTTTGATGTGCCAATTAATGCCAGTGATATCCTATTTTAAAGAATCTTATTATCTCACAAACCCATTATTAAAAATCATTGAATATTATCAAATTAAGATAATCAAGATTGGGGGATGCCTGTATCAAAACTCTTGTGGGACCAAACCTTCAGTATCACAATCAGACAAAGAATTCAATCTTGCTAAAACATTACAGTAACAGTTAAATTTGAGTCTCAGACTCAGCATCTGTGACTGGCAGTGTGGTAGCTGCACTTTGTAGAGCAGGAGCTAAAATCTTAAAATCTAATGTCGGCTTTTTAATTTTTTTACCAATTTAAACAATTTAAAATACATATTTTTTTTATTCATTAGACTAGTCTAATCATTTTTTTCTTAAAGATGGTAAAAAAATATTTAATGAATAAAAAAATATGTAGAGTCTAGACTATTTTAAATTGTTCAAATGCGATATAAAAATAAAATTAGACGTCTATAAAATGCATAAAATCAGACAATTCCCAAATTCTCACTCGTCTTCTGCCCTAGGCCTAGTTTTGAAAGCCTGCTAGCCTAGCTAGCGTAAACAAGTAGACTCCGGCCTCGTGTTTGTGTACGTATATGTACCACGCGCTTAAAATGTGCTTGCAATAAAACTTAAAAGAAAAAGAGTTCTTTCCTTAACCACGACATGTAGGTCTATGATACATGTAGATCTATGTAGCCTTACTTTAGTACATGTAAATCCCTTAGATTCCTTATCAATATAGGGTCTAGATTTGATTTTGATGTGTTCGTGTTAGTTAATTAAGTGTTAAACTTTGAACTCTGGTCACAATCACAATCAAGATAACTGTCGGGTCAAATATATTAACATCAACAGAGTCAATGACATGACAACACTGAAAAACGACATAGTCTACAGTGCAGTGATGCACAACAGTCAAGACATTATCATGAATAATGAGTCAATAAGAAAAAATATAAATTTCAAATTCATACCTCCCATTCAGTATATATTTTCTTCATTCGCCGGTAAAATGCATCTTTGTCGACCGCAATGTTCGCCATGCTAGCAGAACACCTGCGTAATTAAGTCTCCGAAGCAAGTTTCCCGAAATATGAACGCAAAATACCAAATAGTTCCTTCTAAAGTCGACAAGACAGCGAAGTACATGAACTATATTCACACATGTACTAGGTCTATGTATGCTATTCACATTGCACAAGCGCGCCAAAATTAGCGCGCCATCTACAGCCGAATATCAGTACAGTGAAATACATGCTGTAGCTTCATTTTACACGTCCACAAGTTAAGAGGATCTTAAAATGACTGCATTTGCGGGTATGATTATCTTTTGTTACTTCTATAGCCTCATATTGTATATTTTATGTAGTAATTAAATCATTGCAATACATGGGTTGTCTTAAAGAGCCTATTATGCATGAGAATGAGACAAGCGCGTAGCCAGGATTTCATTTTAGGGGGGGCGGTAATGAGCACGCGAAGCGTGCGAATCACTTAAAGAGCGCGCAAAGCGCGCTCCCTAGGGGGGTGGGTGCAGGGAGGGGGGGAGTTTCCCCCCCCCCCCCATGCAAAGCGCGGAAGCTTTGAAAGAAGACGATTCGTTGTACCTTTCTCGACTCATAATCCTTGTCTGAATTCAGTCCCTCCCCTCTCTCGCGCGAAGCTTTGACGTTTCATTAAATTATTAGAGAAAGAAGACGATTCGTTGTACCTCTCTCGACTCTTAATCCTTATCTGTATTCAGTCCCTCCCCTCTCTCACGCGAAGCTTTGACGTTTCATTAAATTATTAGAGAAAGAAGACGATTCGTTGTACCTTTCTCGACTCTTAATCCTTGTCTGAATTCTGTTCCCCCCCCTCTCTGAAGCTTTGACGTTTCATTAAATTATTAGAGAAAGAAGACGATTCGTTGTACCTCTCTCGACTCTTAATCCTTATCTGTATTCAGTCCCTCCCCTCTCTCACGCGAAGCTTTGACGTTTCATTAAATTATTAGAGAAAGAAGACGATTCGTTGTACCTTTCTCGACTCTTAATCCTTGTCTGAATTCTGTTCCCCCCCCCCCTCTCTGAAGCTTTGACGTTTCATTAAATTATTAGAGAAAGAAGACGATTCGTTGTACCTCTCTCGACTCTTAATCCTTATCTGTATTCAGTCCCTCCCCTCTCTCACGCAAAGCTTTGACGTTTCATTAAATTATTAGAGAAAGAAGACGATTCGTTGTACCTTTCTCGACTCTTAATCCTTGTCTGAATTCTTTCCCCCCCCCCCCTCTCGCCCGAGGCTTTGACGTTTCATTAAATTATTAGAGAAAGAAGACGATTTGTTGTACCTTTCCCGACTCATATTTCTTAATTTGAACTCAGTTTCCCCCTTCCCGCGCGAAGCGCGGAAGCTTTGACGATTCATTGTACCGTTCTCGACTCCTTTTCCCTTTTTCTTCCTACGTCCTCTTTCTTTTTTTCCTTCTCTTTCTCTCTTTTTTTTTTTTTTTTGGCCGGCGTTTTGGGGGGGGGGCGACCGCCCCCACCGCCCCCCCCTGGCTACGCGCCTGGAATGAGAGATGAGAAATGGAGAAGAGTACGAGTGGAGTGGTAGAAGGCATCCATCCCACTCTGGGTCGGGCCCGGGTCCCCGCGCCCCTCGCGCAGGCAGCTAGCACTGCACCTCTCCCGTTGGTCGATTTATCGAGTTGCACCTGCCTTGGGGGGGGGGGGGGGGATAAGATAAATGGCCGAAATAATAATAATACAGGACTTTCCTGACCTAAGCTTTTGTCTGTAGACTATCATGAAATACAGAACTACCCATTTATTGTGTATGCTTACTTATGAATATGAACTTAATTATGGTTTTCTATTTCAGGATGCAAAGCAATTTTTATGACACGGGTGAAAAAGTTCTGAACACTAGACAATCACTTGTTAATAAATTTGCTGTGTTTTTTTTTTTTTGTTTTTTGCATGGTTCTTTCCCTAATTAGTTGTCGCCACATTTATAAAAAATAAATAAAGTGAAGACAGCCAAATTACAAGGGTTCTGCCTTTAGCAAGATTCATAAATTTAGAAAAAATATAAAAATGTTAAAATAAAGTCAAACCTTGCCAAGTTATAGATTTAAACAATTATACCTAATATACCTTGGAAGTAGGCATTTAAAGTTAAAAACTTATTTGCCTCTCGTTGACATTCAGATGAAGAATCCATATTTTGGCACATGTTTAGTGGCGCTATACAGCAATTGACGAACATGGACAAGCAAAGGACTCCTCTGGGTCAAATTGATCTTTTCTTGTTGACCAAAACTTCAACAAATTGGATTTAAATCTGTTTAGTGACTTGCTCTCCACAACTACAGAGGAGAGGTTGTTCCATTCATTGATACTTCTCTGTGAAAATGATCCATGTCTAAGCTTCGAGTAGACTTTCTTCTTAACGATCTTGTATCGATGGCCACGGGTTATATTATCAATTCATGAGAAATACAATTCAGATTTTGGAGTAGGCCTAGCTAGGGGTCTACTTTACACAATGACATTTAGTTAATAGTCACATTTTAAAATTGATATCAATGACTTTGAATTGATTCACCAATTGGAACCTATTGTCATGGAACCTAGCTATATAGTCAGTCTGCTGAATGAAAATGAAATTTGTTTTGCCCTTTGTTAAAAGAAACATCTCTTTGTGAAAGCAGGGAATAATTTTCCTCAAATTTTTTGATTAGCAATTTCAGCCGATGGATAAATATTTCAAATGAAATTCTGTACATTTCTATGGAAGAAAACTGCTACACAAAAGATATTTTGTATAGCAGTCATGCAAAAATGCATAGCAAATTGCGATGCGATACCAGGAAAATTATTCCCTGGAAAGCATTGTCTTTTTAAGTCTTGTTTGTCTCTTTTTTCTTTCAGAGTTTGGCTGTCTCCCTGAGATCACACAGGCTGTGGATGAAATGGATTGGCTGTAAGTATCTGCAAGGGAGAGGGTGGGAATTGGGGGGGGGGGTATTTATGGTGATACATAGTGATACAGAATGATCCTGGGTTTCATATTATAGGACATTGGTAGTGTTTATTGGAAAGGGTCGGGAAAGACATTTCAGATTTCATTAAGAATTACAGTGCAGAAAGAAGAAAAAACTGAAAAAAAATACAAGGGAGTTGGGGAGCAAAGAGCTTAGTAGCATATAAGCAGGCCTTAAATTTCGTCATTTTTAGGGCAAGGCCAGTTTGGCCTCGAGTACCTCATATTTTTAAGGGCACCAAGGCCAAAATATTTTTACAAAAAGGGCATCGAGGCCAAAATATTTTACAAAAAGGGCATCGAGTATGAGGCCAAAAAAATTGATTCTATTTTTGTTAGATGTCATGTGTATTTTATGAAACTTGTGCAGGATCAATTTCCCATGACTTTTAGCACCAGCTTCTTCACAGAATGTATAGAGGTCTACGGTACATACAAACAAGCAGGCGCGTAGCCACGGGGGGGGGGGGGGGGGGGGGGGGGGGGGGGGGGGGGGGGGGCACGGGGGGCGCATGCCCCCCCCCCCTAAAATTTCCAGGATCGGTTGAAATTTTGTAGACCCCTTTTTTTGACCTCGATCGATTACATGTATGTGCCCCCCCAAACACCAAACTCTGGCTACGCGCCTGCAAACAAGGCGGCGGCCCGCAAGCCTTAGATTTAGCAGCCAGGAGCAAGGGGCAATTTTTTTTTTAAGTTGCCCTTTGCCACGGGAATTTACCAGAGCAAGGGGCAATTTTCCAAAAACAGATAGGCCGCTTATCTAATCATAAGTTCAAAGAGAGTCTACAAATGTTAATTTCATAATGTGAATAGATCGAACGATCAATTTAATAACTTTTTAATCTTAACAATATGAACAGGAAAGATTGATTAAGAACATCAAACTTGCACATTAAACAGTATTTTAAAGTAACTAAAAATATTGATGAGCAAATGAATAAATAAATTGTCAATTTCACAAACATCGAAAGTCAGAAGGACTTAATTGGCAAGTTTACCGGGCCGGGTATTCCAAATCAAAATCGCACCTCACACACAAACCTTCCGCCACTCTCTCGGTAGTAGGAGCAAATTTGAAGAAATTATCTTTTTAACTGTTGTATAGAAAGGTCTACAAAAGGTACTAATTAGGCCTAACTAATGAAATAAGATGTAAAAATGTCCTTATAGACATTCGACAGCTGAAAGTGACACGCTCAGCTCAGTTGCGTAACGTGCATTCACGAAACCAAAATCGTTCCTCGCACACACACTCTCGCCACTTTTGGTGGGAAGCTGTCGGGCTGGAAGTTTGCCAGCGAAACCGATGCACCCTCGGAATTTTACCGGGACTCGAAACGTTCGTCTTGGGAAGCTGGCGGGGTAGCTTTTTGAAGCGAGGTCGGCTGGTGGCAAAATGAGAGTAACTACGATCGAGAACATCGTAGGTGTTCTTAACTTATTAATAAGATAATTCTAAATTCTATTTGAGATAAAATAATAAACTAGGCCTACAAACAAACCTCGACAGATCTCTAATGACTATTTGAATGCTTGTTTATTTCTCCATTTGACGATTTGTTTTCTTGATCCTGGCCTTCGATTTGTACGTACGTGCGTGCGTCAACAGCATGCACCATATCATGCGATCGCATAATATGAACGTACGTACGTACGTGCGCTAGCGCATTGCCTATATAATAACAAAGGGCGCATTTTCACGGCATTTGCGCCTTCTTAAAGCACTAAATACGAAGCTAGAAAAGAGCTCGTGGGCGGCAAACTGTTCGTGATTCGTGTATTTTTACTGTTCTAATAATTTATGGGCGCATTTTCACGGAAAACACTTGCGCCTTGCCGTCTAGTTTTAGATGATTATGGGCGCAATTGGTGGTTTTATGTGCGCAAATTTAAAATAAAAAGGGCACGTCCAGTTGGAAAAAAAGGCACGTCGGCCAGTTTGAAAAAAAGGGCACGGCCTTTTTGGCCGTGAATATATCTTTTTTTGGGAGGGCACCGCGGCCAGTCATAGGGGCATCGACGGCCTGGCCGTCGATGGCCGTCGATTAATTTAAGGCCTGTATAAGACCATAAAAGAAGGTCTTTGGTATGAAAAAGCAATGAAGAATACATACAACAACAAAATGAGGACTGCACATATTAGTGTCTGTCACTGAGATTGGCCATTGAACTAAAGCAGCCTACACACTGGTGAAATTCCTGCAATGGAGGTCTTTAGCTCTTGCTCTAGCGAATAAGAATGTATATTTCATATTTGCATCCAGTAACCAAGTCGAGAGTATGTTCCTTGATGTCTAGGTAATACTCCAGAAGTAAGATCAGAGACCAGTGTGATTATTGAAATGGGAAAGGATTGGTGGTTTGAAGAAATGAAATGTCAATGTATGGGGAAGTCAGATGTATTTTTCCCATTTGTTACAGAGTTCATTTATGAGTCCAAATGAGTTAAATTAAAACAATTGCAAGAATCACAAAAGGAGAGGCATCTTGACTGAGCGTGACAATACACCATGCAGTCCTGAGAGTACAGTTGATATGTAGAGCTCAATCCTCATTTTGTGTCTTCAACATTGAACAAGAATATCTCACAGATGTACATGCTATATAACGTTTGAATGGCTACTTGCTCTATTTTTGCAATTTTTTCAGACCTTCTAAGAACTTAAGTCTAAATGAATGTGCCCATACAAGCACGAAAGTCCCAAACTTTATCTTATTTGATGTTGGTATTACTTTCCTTTTAATTTGATATGCATTTTATCCTATTTTAATAATGGTTTATATGACAATTTTGAACTCTGAAAAGAGTGGCCACTTTCTTCTTTTTTTGCGGAGTGTATAATACAAAGTCATTTTTCCAACATTATTGCATGGAAAATGAAATGACTAAGTAACTTGCAGTTCTTTGATGAGACCGAATTATATTCAGTAAAATATTTGTTAAAAATAAATTATAGTCATATTCTTCTTCCAGTATGCTTGATGAGGTATGGAGCATGAAATGACTGAATTGCTTTTATTTGCCCTTCAGCATTAAGTGAATATGATTGATCACCTTCGTTTTGATTTTCATCTCAACATTTTTATCCCAGGTTGCCGACTGATGTCCAAGCTGAAGCCATTCCTCTCATCCTGGGTGGCGGTGATGTTCTTATGGTATGAAATCTTTTACAGTGAAACCTGTGTATAAAGACCACTCAAGGGAGACAAGAAAAGTGATCTTTATAGACAGGTGGTCTTTATGTACAGGTTCCTTTAGTACGTGTTTCAATGAGAAACCATTTTAAAGGGAAACAAAAAGATGTGGTCTTTCCATACAGGTGGTCGCTAAAGAAGGTTTGACTGTACTTGGTACTTGGTCTTCCAATTGTATACCCTGGACAGGTCTCATTAACTGGGTTGGGATGGGGAGACATGTCTCTCTTTTTTTTTGCCTCTCTAAAAAAATTCTGATTAGCAAAAAAAATGTTTAAAAAATAAAAGAGAGACAGAAAGAAAGAAATGAAGAAAGAAAGAAAGAAAACAAATGAAAGAAAGCAAGAAAGGAAAGAAAAGAAGAGAAAATAGGATGGGGGCACACAAGTATTCCAGTCATATTTTTAGTATAGCAGATTCTGTTTCAGGGTCTGAAATAAGATTTTCTCTTTCCATTGAGAAGATTGGTGATTCGTTATTAACAAGAAATTTTATTTTCCCATTCATTTCATAGGCTGCTGAAACTGGAAGTGGAAAGACTGGTGTAAGTTGACTTATGGAACAAATGTTTACAGTGAATGATTCTGTGATGCTGTTGATCTTGTTTGCTATCTGCTATGTAAATTTAGTGTTATAATTTGCGGACATTAATGCAGGGCTTTACACTAACAGGTGCCCTAGACTAATGGGCACCCAAAATCTAGGTCGGGAACTCCAAATTTCACATTTCTACATAGGGCTCATACATACAGACTTTCTAAAGCTAAATCCGTGCCCTCTTCCAAACAAGTTAGTGTGGAGCCATAATTTATGTATTCTCCACAGGTTCAAATGGTTCGCTTCAAATTATTTCAATGGTAACATTTTGGAGGTGATGCTTGTGTTTTAAATCAAAACCATCAGAAAATTCTATAACCCTACATACATCTTTAGCACTTCTTTAGTGATGTGACGTTAGCTATTTCCTTTTGTTCCCCTCAGAGATGTTGGGTTAGAGCGTGGTTATATTGCTTTAGGGTTATCTGTATTGTTGGTGTCAGAGTGGGAGTTTTGATTTAAAAGCTGCTAGTGTCAACAATTGATCATGGAGTCAGTGCCTTCGTGGATCATTCAAGCATGGATCATCCAATCATATTAATATTTCTGTTTCCACTCTCTTGTTATCAGGCGTTTTGCCTACCAGTCATCCAGATTGTCCATGAGACTCTACGAGACAAGGCTGAAGGAAAGACACAAGAATCTGCTGCTTCTGTCAGAACCGGTAAGTAACTTATAATAATAATAATCTTTTAGTCCACTCCATATTTTATTGAACCGAAATGAATATTCTTTTTGTCCAATTGATTGTGAGCCTGGCAGCCACTGAGCAGCGCCAGATCGATGTTGCTCTATCCCTTATTGTTGAACGCCAAACAAGGTAGCAGCAACTCCCATCTTTTAACGTCTTTTGGTATGATGCGGCCGGGGATCGAACCCACGACCTCCCGGTTGTGAGGCGGACGCTCTACTGACTGAGCCAACGCTCAATGAATTTGACATTTGTTTAGATCAAAATTGAAAACCATCTGATGGAAAAGGCATATTCAACCTAGTTCTTAAATTGTTACCTTACCTTGTTATCTTATGTTTCATAATTTCACTTTTGTTCTCTTGTCATTTCTCTGTTTAATTTCACTTAAATCAATATTGTAAAGCGCTTTGAAATAAATCTTTTATGAACAGCGCTATATAGGTAGAAGCTATTATTATTATTATGATTATTTGTATAAAGCTGTGCGGGATGTCCACCCAATGTTCCTCTCCAATAGTTGAAAAATTAAAGTAATAAGTATTGATATAATTGTATAGAAAACTTTACTCAGTTCATATTGATTCACACTGATGTAAATAAGTTAACATGTTCAATTCAATTCAAATCATTTTATTCTTGAAAGTCAAATAAAACATCAGATTGTACATTCGTAAATAATTGCTTTGAACAAGAAAAGGAGGACAACAAAACGTATACTCTTCTTTCTGCACAATCGATTGCTCAAGGGCACACACTGATGAAGTCACAATGCTGATCCCATCAAACTGATATGCATATTGATAATTAAACAGTATCTATAATAACCACACAACAATTGTGATGACAATTTTCTGGAAGGAGTTATAGTTTTGTTTCAAATGATTGTAAAACTTACTAATTTTTATGAGTTGGCTTGACAATGTTTTTCGGTTTGTTTTGCTTTGTATTTGTAGATTCTAGCTCTTGGAAGATGAATGTTTACGACAGAGGAGAAGCAATGGGTAAGAATTTTTGAATACATCTTCCATCATAAACTCATGATATTTTAAGATTGTTGTCAAATGCTTAAGCATTTTATCATTAAGTGAAATGTAAGACTTGTGCGCCTGCTAGTTTTGACCTTGACAATGAAAATTTTGTTATTTCTTTGTCAGTTTTACTTCCTGTCTGTCATTTATTTGTCATTTGTATCGGAATGATCTATATTTTATGATACATTTCTATGATTAGTCTATTTGGAAGTAGGTTTCCCCAAAACCAATGATGTAAAAACAAATACATGACAAATCCAAACAATCAAGCAAACAGTGCCCATGTTACTCTACAGGCCAAACATATTTTATACACTACTCATTCTAGACTTTTATATCAAAGATGACACTGTCTTTCATGAGATAGAATCAAGGGTTGAATCTGTCCACGAGAACAAGTGTCACTCATATCAACGCACAGTTCTATCAGCCTTTTCTCACCAAGTGGCAGTGAGTTGTTAAAGGTTTCCATTTTTGTGAAAGCTGTCTTCATTATTACAGAGATATACAGATATGATATGAGAATGGTCCCATCTCGTGAAGAATTGCAGTTAGTCCAAATTGGTTGCAAGTTGTTAAATCAATCAAAAACTTACAATCTTCTGTACAGAGTTTGTTGTGATCCTGGTCTAGAATTAACTTCAGGTCAATGCAAATAAATCGCCACTTTTTATGGGTAGAGCCCAATCGTGTATCATTTTTTATGATAACGTTGTACACCTGCTCTCACCATTGGTCTCTCAATGATGATCTTTAGATGATATTTTTCCTTCAATGATTTTAATTCTGTAGATTTGTGACCACAGTTTGTACGTTCCTTGAGAAACCAATGCCAGGAATGGTTAGAGGAACTAGTGGCATGAACGCCATAGTTCAGGTCCATCTTAAGTCGTCATAATCTTTGTGAAACACTCCCCTGGAATGATATTTTAGAAATTTAAGATAATATTGTTAACAAACTGCTTAAAAATACCCTAAGGGTGGCATTAACCAAACACTTTGGTCTATTATTAAAGGTAATACAAAGTTTTGGGAAATTTTTAAAATTGGCTGGAAAGTGATTCTTTACAATTTTGATATTTTTGGATGACCCTGTGGATGTATTATAAGCACTAGAAAATTTAGTCCCTAAAACATTTCTGCTTTCGAGAAAAATTGAATATAAAAATTTACCGGTACTCCCGGTAAATTTTGATAAATTTCAAATAGCGCTTACGGCCATACAATGGTAGCTGCAACCATGAACATCTCAGAATATGTAGATGTGATATATAATTTCCAAACAGGAATAGCTAGTCGGTCGATTTTAGTCAAGAAACATTGTTTTATAGCTTAATTAATATCTTGACATTGAAAGGGAGTTATACAGCATAAAGCGTTAATTATTTATAATTTCATAACTTTAGACTCGATTTCAATCGCGACAACGATCACTGAATATTGTAGGATCTCATATGCTTCCATTATGTTCATTTGAACCAAATTCATGACCCCATACCAAAACTTTGTGTTACCTTTAACAAACTGCTTAAAAATACCCTAAGGGTGGCATTAACCAAACACTTTGGTCTATTATTAATTGATTATTACAGCTATAGATAAAGAGGGTGTTGTGTGTCAGAGCAGAGAGCAGCAATCCTGGCATGGTACCAGAGCTAATAAGGGTGTCAGCGGTAAAGGTAAGAAACTTTAAGAAACTCTATCTCTGCTTCAAACATACTCTTCCTCTATTTCACCTTTTTGAAATTTACTCTTTGTATTCATGTATGATATATCCTTATTTCTTCACGCCCATTGTATTATGAGCGAAAATATCAACAAAGATTATAATAATCAGAATAAGATATGAGAATTAATCGTAAGGTGCCACATCCCCCCCCCCAAAAAAAAAAAAGAGATCACTTAAAAGCATCTGCATTATAAACAAAGGAACAAAGATAAGATAGAACATACATAAAAGTCTGAACGATTAATTGTATGCCGAATTAAACAGATACGTTTTAAGATTATTTTTAAACTCTTCAACTGATGTCCTATTACGAATCTTGAGGGAGAGCATTCCACAGCGAAAGGCCCTGCATTTCCAATGATGGGGCTACGGATTTGCTGTGTGCAGACTTGTACACTCATTAATGGTATTTCCACCAAGTTGTCAGCCAATTATGACCCACTGCACATGGAAATTGACTACCATCTCCTTTTAACTTAAATTAAACATAATGATATTTGTTTTCTTTCCTCTCTTCCTCTCTCTAGGCATGTACTACTATGAGGCTGAAGTGACCGATGAAGGACTGTGCAGAGTGGGTTGGGCTACTGACAAAGCTGACTTAAATCTAGGTAAATACAAAATCATTTGGTTGTTGGTTGGTTTGTTTGTTTTACCTGACTGTCTTTTTTTTAAAAGCATGCGTGTGCTAGTAAGTAAGCAGCCAGGGGACTGAAGGCTTTACATCCTCTCGGAGGGACTTGGTAATGAGGATGCCTTACCAACAATACAAGACTTGTAATTACTTGAATTCCTGGCAAATGGACATCGCATTCAATGTTGATTAGTCTGAATGCATCTACATTGTATCTTGTGTGTATAGAATTACATAGAAAACATACATAACCATTGCGCATTTTGAGTTATATATTTCTGAATGATCGAGTCATTTAGATGCACAAGATTTTCCTTTTTTACCCTTCCCCCCAGGTTTTTTTTTTTTAATTTTTTTTTTATAATCATTTTACCTTATTTTGTACTCTTAATGAATTTATACTGTTATTCTGTCATGATTATATTTTGTTTTGTATATTTTATTAGAATTGAATAAAATTGAATTGAATTGAATTGAATTTGTATTTGAACAATTCACTATGTTTAAACAAAAAAAGTACAATAGTAAGTACAATTTATGCAATATTTGTCAGTTTATGATATCATATTTCTTTGGGACTCGTTCAATACATCCAGATCTTCACGTTCACAATTTAGGTCTACGATATATATTTTGTACTGTGAGAAGTGGTAAGGAACTAAATTCCTTAATATCTCTTAATATCACCTCTTTTTTTTTTTTGTTACCTCAGGAACCGACAAGCAAGGTTTTGGGTTTGGTGGAACAGGCAAGAAGTCATTTGGACGTCAGTTTGACACATATGGAGAGGTAAGGCTGTGCATTAACCCTTACTGTACTGGGGGGGGGGGGGGGCCTGGGAGGCCCCCCCCCTCGACATTTCTGGTGATTGCGCCGCAACCGCTCGGAATTTTGAATTGTCGTTTCATGACTTTTTTCCCTCAAGTCTTACGCACATTTTGATACCATTTTTGTCGAAATCGGATATACCTGTAAGGTGTTACATAACAATTAGTATGCGCATGTCATCAAAAAAGTGCTATAATTGCATATAATTATACATGTACAAGCAGAAATGTGAAGACATGAATTGATATCAAATTGCTTTTATATGTTCCTCAAAGTTACTTGATGTATTTCAGAACAAAAAAATACATTAGAAATAAAACAATAGATATAATAAGAAATAAAAAACAATAAAATACATAAGAAAATAAATAGTTGAAAATCGCATCAAATTTGCATAAATTATCATTATTAATTACTTCAAATAACTTTTTTGTGATAGAAAAGATGTTTCATATGAATAATGAGTAACAACATTCAAAAAGTGGAGTCTGACAATTTTTGTAAGGATTCTAGTTCCCTATATATATTTCCGGATTTGATATTCATGAATGCGTATTCATAATTTATGCAAATTAACATATTGATTTTCAAATATCATAAAAATAATGAAACCTCGTGAATTTGAGATGAAGGAAACATTTATTCAATACATTTTCAAGATTCTTCACAAGTCTACGGACAAATATGTAAAGTTTTCTGTAAAATGCATAAAATTAGCATTTTGCATAATTAATTAGGTTATAACGACAAAAATTTGCATATTAGCAAAAAACTAATTATACCATCTTGTTCCTTACGTAAATATCTACAAACATGCAAATTTTCGCGTTCATCGGACATTCGACGGCTGAGATCATAGGGGGGGGCCTCCCAGGCCCCCCCCCCCCCCAGTCAGAGAGTGCTCGAAATAGCCCAGTACAGTAAGGGTTAAATACTTGAGTAATGTAGGCTTACCTCATGAATGATATATATTATTGAGTAAATGTGATTAGATGTATCTTTAAACAAAGCTGACGGCTGATATTGTCTGATAAACGTGTTCATGCCCCGTTTTTGATTTTGTAATGACTTTGCTATTAAAGATAAACTTTAGTACTGGCAATGCGATTGCATTGTGAAAGAAAAGGTGTGGAAAGGATAAGAAACAGTTGATCATGTAGCATGTAAGTATTGGTGTGCACTGCAAGGTTCTGGAGTCATCAAAATCATAATAAATTTGACCGAGTCTTGGTAAAGTAACAAGCACTCACATAGAAAGCTATATATGGGACAACACACATGGTGTCGGGGCTAGTACTACCTTGATTTCCTTGTCTTTCTATGCTCATTACTCAGCCAGTATACATTTTCTTCCAAAATTATTTGGCACATGTCATTTATTTGTAATCTTGAACATTCAGTGTAAGTTTCGTTTGATTCTGTGAGAATTTTTTTATATTTTTTTTTACCAGTACTGGAGTTTATCTAAGAGCTTTATTTCATGTCTGTGAACTGTTTATTTCATATTTAGCCATTTGGTATGGGAGATTCCATCGGATGCTATTTGGATCTCGACGGTGGTGAAATATACTTCTCTAAGAACGGTGAGCATTCTAATTCATTCTCTTTTTTATTGTTGATATAGATAAAAATTTAAATGAAGTAGTGCTGTAGTCAACGTTTAACCATCCGGTATCCGACCGTCCATGGAACTATCCATTTTCAATTTGACGGTTTTGTTTTCCTGTTTTTTAAAAAAATAATTTTTATATTTTTGTTTTGTTTTAATCGTTTAACCGAAAACCGTCCGGTTTTGACTAGTGGTCAAACGGAATTGGAAATATCTGTGATGTTACAACACTAGAATGAAGTGTGGATCAATGTACAATGTATTTGTAAACTATAATCATTGCCAAATTCTCTATTGTGTGGTCTGTATAGAGAGATGATGTGACATACTTGAGAGAAATAGAGAAAGGTAAGCAAAGGGTTCAAAGGAGAAAGTAAGAAAAGACTATTTCTAATGACAACAGCAGAGATCTATAATAAAAATTTATTTTGATAGACAGAACTTTCATTGCTTGTTAGTCTTAATACATGTCATGTAGGTGTCAGTGGTAAAGTTGAGTTTGGCTAAATATTGAAGCCTTTCATACCTTGAAATAAATCATCAGCATAATTTTTCCCATGTTAACGTTTTGTTGGTTTGTTTATTTACTTTTTTTTCCTGTTTGTTTGTGTATTTACTTCTTTTTCTGTTCTTGATTATTTATCAGGCAAGGACCTTGGATTGGCATTCTCTATCCCTGGTCATCTTCTGAAGTTGGCTTATTACCCCACAGTGGTCCTCAAGGTAAACTTTGAAACGCCATAATGCGAAGGAAATAATAATAATATGGATATTTATATAGCGCCAGGCTCTGACACGCATGGCACTTTACACATATCACCCTGGTTATAGCTTAGCTGCCAATGTAACTGGCGTTCAAGCATATCAGGTACCCATTTACACCTGGGTGGAGAGTGGCAAATGTAGATTAACGTAAAGGAAAAGAAAATTATTAAATAGTACTATTAAAGAAGAGAGGTTACTGCAAATAAAGACATGTCCTTGAGAGAGAGAGAAAAAAACAGTACCTGTGCATGATGTCGGTTAAGCACTGATATCGCCGTTATTCTATCCTAAAAGTAACTTTTTCATGCATTCTATAATTTTATCATTTGAACAGCCACGTTCTTATGATATGATGTCTTGATTTAGTAGATATGTGTATGAAGACATCAGCAACAATTTCCATATTGTTCTTGAATATTCAAGGATGTTTTTTAGACTACTAAAGAAGGTTATGTACTTGTCGATGGAGGGCTTTTGAAATGGGTTTTAATGCTTTAGAAGTGATCAGTGCATCGATTCATCTTGTGGATGAGGGCTAATACTTATTTTGCTACATGTATATGACTTCAAAGTTGCTCTAAAAACCCATCTCTTTCTAAACATTGCTATTTAATCATGTCAATGTAGCATAATATTTTTTGTTGTTTTAGTTTACTTTATTTGAGTTAAGAAAGTGATATGTTTGTGATTGTAATATATACAGCCCCATGAGCGTAAGAGTCTGGCGGATACCGGCACTATATAAATATCCATATTATTGTTTGTTTTTGTTTTTTTAAATGATAGCATGCTCTCATGTATAATTGTTTTGATTGTATTAACAGAATGCTGAGATGAAATTCAACTTTGGTCTGACCCCTTTCAAGAATACCCCAGAAGTAAGTTCTTGATTCTCATTTTAATATTGACAAGTTTATTTGTTTCATCAAACTTTATGTGTACTTGTTCTGACTTAGATTTCTGAAGTACCAAATGGAAAAGGATAGTGTAATTATATAGAACAATTTTTGCATAGTTGCAGAAAAGATAGCATTTTCTAAATATATTCATTGAGATGTAGTTAGATTGTGCATCATATATCTGGGCCCCATTTCACAAAATTTTTCATCAATGACAAATGACAATTCTTGTTATAAGCTACAATAATCCTTGCTTCTGATTGGTTATCAGCAGATTTGCCACTCATTTTAGTCATTTATTATTGAAAAAAGGCTTTGTGAAACGGATCCCTGATCCATGTGATGAATGCCGATATTTTTTGTATGCATTTTTTTCTCAAACATAGTATTTTACTCTTGCATCAAAAGCAAATTTCTGTCATGGTAGAGTTCTATTTTATAAACATTCATTGATTTTATCCCCTCTCATTTTTATCTGTTTCAGAAAGGTTACAGTGCCATCTGTGAAGCCCCTTCAAACTGTGTTGTCAAGTCTCCTAACATGGGTATGACATTTGATCACCTTACTTTAATATTTGGCAGCATTCTGTACTTAAATGTTAGAGCGTATAAGATGATAGTGCTCTTAATAAAAACACCTTGTAAAAAGCCAGTCTTGTAAGATCTCGATCTACTGTCCTTCTTCTATTCACCCTCTTTCCCCTTTTAATTGTTTTAGTGCTTATGCTTGGGTACTTTTACTTTTAAATGTCCAAGATGTCAACGTCTATATATTTACAGTAGGTTTGCAGGTGCACCATCTGAGAGAGAGAGAGAGAGAGAGAGAGAGAGAGTTGAGGAGTCCTGAAAAGGACTCTGACTCAGTAATCTTTCTTGGGGGTGTGGTAGTCCTGAAAAGGACTGTTTGTTATCTTTCTTAGCATATAGTTCTAAGGAGAACTATAGCTCTATATATTTATCGCCTATGTGTTCCGATTATTACTTTGTTTTTGCTGTTTATATATGTATTTTTATTGCTTGTAAACAAATCCCATGTAACATTTCCATGTTTTTTTAACTTGGACGAATAACAATTGAATTTTTGTCATAATAGGTGGTGGACTAGCTGGTACAGCTAAAGCAGCACCCAACGCCCCTCAAGCCATTATCATTGAAGTAAGTCTACAATCATAGAAACTAAGTCTTTCATCTTTCATTCTAATCTAAGTAAATTTCTGTTGGATTTACCTTCTGTGTAGCCATTGTTTTTACAAGTCAATGCTATATCAGATGAGCCTTTGGCATGCTTAAGGTACCTGTTAAGTGAGTGATTGTGAAGCAAATGAATATGGAATGTTATAATTTTACATTTAATGCGATATAACATCAGACTATATTTCTTGAAGAGTATTGTTTTTTCTAACATTTTTTAGAATATCAAATGAACTCTGAATGATCTTAATAACATCTATTCGTTTGTTTTCTTTATTTTCTTTATTTAGCCATCAAGAGAACTTGCTGAACAGGTAATGACATCTTATGATTCTATTGTATTACATGAATATATTTTGCACTTAGTTTCAAATACTGTTTTTTTTTACTTGTTGAAAATTACAGGCTCATTTTATTTTTCATATTGTTGATAGCCTTAGTCTATGGCTATGGTTACAACTCAGAGCAGCGACCGATCGATTTGAAGCCTGCTCGGTGGCAGGCAGAATTGAGGCATCGCCCAATGAGCAGGCTGTAGAGACCCAGCGATGCCTGGGCGGTGCCCTATCAATTTCCTGTCGGTCGCCAGTCGATTTTAGGTCAAAACTGGGCCGAATCGGGGAGCTTCTCTGCCCAGCGTCCCGGCAGTGACCGACTGATGACCCACCGATTCCCTGGCAGTCTCCCACCGGTCACCGGCTGATTTAAAAGAAATTGCTGGTGATCGGCGGGGCATCTGCGGGTGTCTCGTGGTTAAAAATACACTCGGTGTCCGGGCGGTCGCCGCGCGAGCACCACCTAATCGAGCGTTCGCCATTTAGCGAATTAGGTCAAAAATCGAAGCAGCTAGGTTAAGGGCTGCCGTGCTTGCGCTGCCTGGACGCCGACCGATTTTTCAACTCACCCAGTGACATACTGAACTCCAAGCGGCAACCGCGCTCGGCAGCCTTTGATGTAGTGGCTTCGATTTTTTACTTGAATGGCTTGACGGCGAACGCTCGATTAGGTTGATGCCTGGGCGATGACCAAGCGCCTGCTCACTTTTCACTCGCCGCCCGAATTTAACTCTGCGCTAAAATTCAAGCTGCGACCGAGAAATGCTCTAAAAACAAGCGGTGCCCGGGCGAAATTGGCTAATAACTCGCCGCCTGGCCGCCGAGCAGGCTTCTTTTTGGGGTTGGGACCATGATTAAAATAAATGTTGTTCTGTAAACTTTGGGAATGCTAATTATTTTGGATGGTCAATTAATTGCTGGTTGCTTATTTGCCATAGAATGTGTCTGTCATGTGTTCCAAGCTTGTTTTTTAATCATAAAAGAATTGAATATACAGACCATGTGTCATTATGACTTGTCTTTTAGTTTTAAAGAGTTAAGCAACCTACGTAAGAAAGTGTTGTTTAAAATGTATGAAATTTGTATAAAATAGTGTGTGAAATTTTAAAAGTGTCCATACTTCTAACCAACAATATTGAACAGCCCTTTTTATATTGATATATTGATAAGATTTGAAACTAAAATAGGAAAATTAGAAGACAAATAGAACAGATTACTATGGAGATCAAGATGAGAGAAGCACTACTTACCCCGTTTTGGAAGCATTTTTGAAAAGATATTACAGAGTTTCTGCATATATTGTACAAATGTTATACCCATTATATATTTGTGGTTACACTGTACTTATTTTTATGTGTTTTATTCAGACATTGGACCAGATCAGACTCTTTAAAAAGCATCTTACAACTCATTGCCCTAAGTGAGTACTCTGAAGGAATTTTTGATGATTCTTTATTTAAAGATAAAGTTGAGTTCTGGTCATGCGATTGCATTGTGAAAGAAACGATGTGAAATCAATCAGAAATTTAGCAAAATAGAATTTATGCCATTGGTGATATTGGTATCATCAAATTGATAAGAAAATTTGGCTGAGTTTTGGTAAAAGTAACAAGTGGGGGAAGGGGTAGGGGGGAATCCAGAGGATAGTTTTGTTGGAATAAACATTTCTGAATTCCTGCCAGATATCACTAAAAGGGTTTATCTGATTGTTAATGGAATTGGTGATTGTTGCTCCTATAGAATAAATGACAATTCACCAGGGCTTATTTTTATTTTTATCTTTGTTATGGTTGGGGAGAAACTTTGACCTGCTGTACTGTACTTTCACGGACTGCGTATTTCACATGTATCTAATATTTGTTCAGGCTAATAGGGTGTAATCAATAATTATCTACATGTATGATTAAATAAATGTACTTCTTCTAATCTTTTTTCCTCTTTTTTAAATCAGGGAACTGTTAATCATGGGAGGTCAAGCAGCTAAAGAACAGGTGGATGCTCTCTATAAAGGGGTAATATAAAAGTTCAAAATTTTATTTTATTTTTTGTTTTTGTTTTTAAATATCAATTTTGTATCATTATTATTGTTTTTTAAAGCCCCTCTAAAGTTTTGGGAGCCCCAAATTTGCCAAAGAGTTGATGTAAAAATTTCACTTAAATTGTATCATAATGAGAAAGAGGACTTAGACTTTCTTCTGCAAAGATTCGCCTCCCCCCCCCCCCCCCCCACCCCCACCCTAATATAAAAGGTGTTTGAAGACAAATATTGATAAAAGAATGCATAATTTGGGTTTTCTGTTGTGAAAACTTAAATAGTGTATTCTTTCATCGATATTTAACTTCAAACACATTCGTTTTGAAAATCCTTGCAGAAATATATCTTACATGACATTCTCTTTCACATTATGATACAATTTAAGTGGATCTTTGCCATCAAATTGTTGGGGCTACCAACACTATAGAGGGGCTTTAATGAAGAACGATCAGCCTTGATTATATATCATTCAGTAGTGATGATATTAAGTCCAAGGCTGCATTTTAGCCTATTTATTTATCATTCAGAAGTGATAGATATATAAAGAGTGCACATTCATATCTATGTAGTTGATATGCTTGTTCTTTCAGTTTTTAATATGGCCTCAATCATAACATCATAACACTATTTTAAATTTGGCATTAATATTTTTATGTACTGTTGACCTTTGACCTTAGATTGACATCGTCGTAGCAACACCAGGACGTCTTGAAGATCTGATGAGTACTGGAAAGCTTCTGCTGTCACAGGTAGGTCAAGAGTTCACTAAAGATCGATTTGGGGAATTAGAGTTTTCACATGTTTCTTTTCTTTATTAACTCATGTAATGTAATCAACTTTCATACCTAAAGCAATTCTCGCTATCGCCAATATATTAAATTACCTTTATGTTATTTTCAGGTCATATTTTAATTGCACTCTGGAATAGTTTGGTGACCATTTCGCATATCTGTTCTGTTCATGCCAGGGTTGTGTGTGTGTGTGTGTGTGTATGTACTTTTTTCCTACAGTAATCAGTGATTTATAATGATTTTCAAGCGATTTCAAGAATAAATCATTACAAAAAACGTATACAAACATTGTTTTAACAACTTATACCAAGGCTCTCTCTCTCTATATATATATATCTCTGTTTCTTTCTCTCTATCTTTCTCTTTCTCTCTATGTATCTCTCTCTCTCTGTTTTCCTCCTCTATCCCCTCATTCTCTTTTCCTTTTCCTTCCCCCTCTGTCTTTTGCCTCCCCCTATCTCTCTCTCTCTCTCACTCACTCTCACACTCTGTCTCTCTCTTGCACAGAATTATTGTATACTATTTCTCTTTTCCATTAAACTTTTCATTGGTATTAATTATCATCAGGACATGCTTAATTGTGTAAATTATTGTTGAGTGATGACCTACATGTTGTAAAACTTGTTAAGTGGAGCCTGGTTCTTAGGTCATGTCATCTTCTTTTAACTTTCTAATATACTTTCCTTGTATATCGCAAGTTCATCAGGAAGTCATTTCTTGCGTTCACTTCTTCACATGGAAACATGTTGATCGAGATGATTCTTTGTTCTTAAAATTTATTAGTCATATACTTATTTAGACAGATATTACAGTAATTTGATATGTTGTGAGATGACTAGTTCCATGCAACATGCTGTATTGTGTTAACAATAGGAACAAGTTTCAAATATTATTTTCAATATGTTTATCATGCACCAGTGGACAATTACTTCAGAATGCTAGTACATGTTGTATAATGGATATTTGTATGACTAAGTATTTGGAACAACTATCTATTTTTTAAATTTCATTATAGGTATTTTTGCGTTTTAAGTATAGTTTGATAGTACCTATTTCTATTTTCTTAGACTACAGTAAACTATAGTGTAAATACTTGATACATGAAACAGAAATCATGTTTAGTGCATTTATGCATACCTGACTCTTCTACTAAATACATGTATTTTGAATATCACTAATTTGATGCTGCTTGTATAAAGTATCGGCTTGCATGGTGATGTAGATATACAGTAGGCTTGCGGGTGCGCCATGTGAGAGAGAGAGAGAGGGAGGATTGAGGAGTCCTGAAAAGGACTCTCGGTAATCTTTCTTGAGGGTGAGTAGTCCTGAATAGTCAACGGATAGTCAACCTGTTCGAAACGTTGAGCCACTCCCCCCACTCATCCTCTCCAAGCGCTATAGTTCTCCTTAGAACTATAAGCTAAGAAAGATAACCAACAGTCTATTTCAAGACTATACCAACAGTCCTTTTCAGGACTGCTCACCCTCAAGAAAGATTACAGAGAGTCCTTTTCAGGACTCCTCAATCCTCCCTCTCTCGCTCTCACATGGAGCACCCGCAAGCCTACTGTATATCACTAATTTGTTCAAATTGGACTTGTTCTTGAGGATTTGCATAACAATTACAATTACCACATACTGTGTAGTTCTATCAAAATGTTATCACAGTATATCATATTTATATTTAGTTCACTATTATACAATTGTTCATGCTGCAGATTTGAATATTACATTTTGTTAAAATTTGCAAATGATAATTTGTTGTCAGCATGTAATATTTGTTAGATGAAATAAAGAGATTTACAACGGCATGCCTTTGTTCTAATCTACTTTCCACTCTTTAATATACTAATTTGGCTCCAGTGTCTAAAATGTCCAACTAAGACATTGCATAAGAAAGAATATACAATGAGAAGCACAGATTATTGCGTCACTCATATAACATATGTATGAAGAGAGTTAGGTAACACACAATACAGTGAAGCAATAAACTACATTTGAAATACACTTTATAATGCCTATGAAATACACTTTATGAAGTAATTACACAAGTAACACACAATACAGTGAAGCAATATAATACATTTGAAACACACTTTATAATGCCTATGAAATACATTTTTTAAAGTAATTCCATAAATAACACACAATACAGTGATGCAATATATACATTTAAAACACACTTTATAGTGCCTATGAAATACATTTTTCAAAGTAATTCCATAAGTAACACACAATACAGTGAAGCAATATAATACATTTGAAACACACTTTATAATGCCTATGAAATACATTTTTCAAAGTAATTCCATAAATAACACACAATACAGTGATGCAATATATACATTTAAAACACACATTATAGTGCCTATGACATACATTTTTCAAAGTAATGGAATGCAGTGAAGTAATATAATACATTTGAAACACACTTCATAATGCCTATGAAATACATTTTTCAAAGTAATTCCATAAATAACACACAATACAGTGATGCAATATATACATTTAAAACACACTTTATAGTGCCTATGAAATACATTTTTCAAAGTAATTCCATAAGTAACACACAATACAGTGAAGCAATATAATACATTTGAAACACACTTTATAATGCTAATGAAATACATTTTTCAAAGTAATTCCATAAGTAACACACGAAACAGTTATAATACATTTGAAACACACTTTATAATGCTTATGAAATACATTTTTCAAAGTAATTCCATAATTAACACACAATACAGTGAACCAATATAATACATTTGAAACACACTTTATAATGCCTACGAAATACATTTTTCAAAGTAATTTCATAATTAACACACAATACAGTGAAGCAATATATAATACATTTGAAACACTAGATTGTCTATGAAATACATGTTTTTAATGATTTTTTATGAAATGATGCCTTAACGGAAGATTATAATGACATTAAATGATATTCTTATGTAAAGGCCCGGTCACAATAAGGTCACTGCATCGTTGTGCAACCAACTCGTGTCAGGATTTGGGAGAAGCTAGCGAGCTGGCATCGAATGCATAGCATTATACTAGCACGCTGCGCATATACGGTACAGACCGTATACAGAGCACACATGTTAAAAAATCCTACGAATGCACAGCGTGTTGCTAGCGCGCGGGACAAATGGTCCACGCATGTTCAACACAGAGCCATCGCGCGAACGGCAGCGGTCACTAGACTGGGCCTATAAAAAGCGGCAGCTCGTCTTGCTTGCGTTTGTCGTCATATCAAAATAGCGCAACGACATTGTGCAACTGAGTTCTTCAAGATGTCACCCAAGAACCCCACTGCGCTATGTACACGCCAATTTTACGCTTGGGACACACAAGAAGAACGTTGGGTGCGCTAGAAACATGTTCAGCACGCGTTCGGCACGCTCATATTCACTGCATGTTCGCTGGACATGCGTTTGAAACGCGCTAGGTATGCTTTCGCTAAACGTTGACTGCCAAACTCACAACAAATACACAGCGTGTGCTCCACGTATGTCTGGCATTGGTCTAGCACGCCCCACACATGTCTGGCGTCCTTTTGGCGTTTACATTCATGCGTCGAGCTCTGCACACATTTGTGAGCATGCTCAAACAATCCCAACGCACACAGCGAATGACGTCGAATGCATAGTGTTGGTCCAGCGCACTTGACGTACGAGTAACGAATACACAGCGTGAATAATGACGCACACCTAGCGAATACACAGCGTGAATAATGATGCACACCTAGCGAACGACAACACACTGGCCAAAATTGCAAACTTTCAATGCGCGGGCTGTTAGTCTCCTATGTGTGACTGCCCTATAAGAAAGAATTATTCAAGAAACATATATATTGGATATGAGTGAATGTTTTACAAAAATTAAGACAGTATCAACTTTTATTATAGCATTTTGGTTAAAAAATAATTCATCATTGTCATCTGTCTTTTAGGAGTTTAATTGATACACTGGGTTTCCAATGTATGTAAAACTTCTGAGCAGATACAAATCTTTGACCAGACTGCTATGTAAGGAACTTTTGGCAAGGAAAATTTTTTTTAGAAAGAAATCCAACTTATGGTTGCAATAAATGAATGATTTAATATAAGACTGATTTAGCATTCCTTCTGATATTTACTCTGAATTTCAATGGAAACATGGACAGATAATCAGAATATATATATATATGCCACATTTTTCTTCAGTACAAGTACAAAAATATTTTTTTAACTACCACATTTCATTAACAATTTTTATTCAGTTTTCTTACTGATTTTTTCTTCTTCTGAGTTAAAAGTTGATTTATCATAATAGTTGAATCACATCCTACCATCTGTCGAGAAGTATAGGAAGCACCCATTGCAGTATTTCCATTCCATATATTGAAAGTGTTATTATGTTATTTGGGGGGGGGGGCATATTTTTTCATAAGAATATTTTTGCATGTAAATAATGGCTTCAACATTTTCTGTATACTTGCATAATTAATCATCAGAGTTAGTTGCATACTATTACTATTGAGGAAGCTTTTGCAAGGCATGTTCTTTGTAACATGCAAATGAGGTCATATTACAAATATTTATCAATCACAATGACAGGCTTATTGGTATGGAAACAGTAATCATTCTTTTCATTTTGTTGATGATGTTGATATGATATGAAGTGCTAGTTCTACAATGTAGGTTTTTCTAGTTATAAACACAGATTGATAAAACCATAGAGGAAGGGTATGCTTTAGAGAATTGAAAAAAATTTGATGACCACAATCATATCATACAAACATACATGGAAATGTTTCATTTTTCAATGGTTCCATGGACCTGATGGAACTATCTGGAAGAAGAAAAGTGTTCCAGGGTAAAAACTTAAGTACACTTCAAGAAAGAAAGACATACTCTTTAGATGAACTTACACAAAAATTAGTATGGCACTCGGTCGAACTATGAAATAACACA